ACCATTCTTCTTGTTATTCCGATGGTGATTTTCAACGGCTCGTCGGGCAGCTTGGTCATCCGAGTATCTTGCTTTCAAGACAGATAGGAGGTAATCAGCTCGTCGAACAAGATGCACGGCCCCAGGTGACTTGGCCGTTGTATCTTCACCTTGTATACGCAGCTCTTTTTTGTCCACGCGATGCTCTTCGAGGAAGAGCTTTTCTTGTAGCCCTAGTTCACGGTCATCCCGAATATCTGGCCAGGCTCCATAACCATGGCGATGAATGCCAACAAGTAACATGCCGTCTTCTTTCGCACCCCACTCGCAAGAATAGTGCGCGGCCTTTGAAGCCTCGGGAACGCGGAACTTTCCAAAGTCAGAAAATGCTTCAATGACCTCTTTCAGCATTCTCATCTCGCCCGGCCGTTCAATCACAGTCTCTGCATTTAAACGCTTTACCCCAAGAAAATCAAACAGGACAGCTTTCTTGTCTTTCTTCGTAAGAGCCTTGTTAGACTCTCGTTCTTTAGCCTCCATCTCAGCACTAGCTGCCTTCAAGCGTTTGTCACTCTCGTCAATGATAGACTGCAGCGTGGCCTTCAACATGCCGTGGTCACGGCCCACAAGGCGAGCATCCTTGATCAACTCGTCCGGTCGGTCATCAATAGAGCCATAGCGTAGGAAAGCTTTGAAGAGCCATCTAGCTTCTTTCTCATTGAGTTCTCTCTTCGGGTCCACCTTGTCGGCCTCCTTGAGCTCAAGTTCCTCTTGTTTGGCTAGGTCTCGTTCGCGCTTCTTTGCCAAACGTTGCTCACGCTCCTGTTCGGCAGTGACCTTTAATGCAGCCTTTCGAGGTGCGTTTTCCTCGACGACCCTAGCCAAGTACTCTTCATGGGCCTTCTTTTCTTCCTCAGCTTTAATCCCCTCGAGCTGATCCTTCGGGATAATGTCATCCCACTCAAGGTCGAGCTTTACGTCGGTGTATTCGAAACTTCTCAAGAAGTCCTCTCCTCCATCGGCGACCATGCCCTCGGGAACTTCCGTCTGGTGCTCTTCGGCATTTTCAAGAATAGAGTCGATATCCAATTCCTCCAATTTCTTCTGGTTGCCTGACTGTTCAAACATCTTCTGGCCTCGTTTCTTAAGAATGCGTGATATATCATCCGAGGATTTTGGCTCTTCAATTTTCCCAGCTTTCTGTGCCTTCTCCCGGAGTTGGTTCATTTCCTTGTCTGTGACGCCGCGCTGAATAGTGATGAATTCTAACATGAGCTTATTGCGTGCGCGCTCAAGAATCTCTTCCTCAACGGTTTCCTTAGAAAGTAGTCGATAGACACTCACTGGCCGCTTTTGTCCAATTCGATGAGCACGTGCCATAGCTTGGAGATCCGCCTGCGGATTCCAGTCAGAGTCGAAAATGATAACAGTATCTGCAGTCATGAGATTAATGCCAAGACCACCGGCACGCGTTGAAAGCAAAAAGCAAAAGTCCTGGCTGTCGTCTGCATTGAAATGATCAATGGCTAGCCTTCTTGGGCCAGAAGCCATGGTACCATCAAGTCTTTGAAAAGCGTGCCCGCGTAATTGCAAGTAGTCTCCAAGGATGTCGAGCATTTTTACCATTTGACTGAAAATTAGAACACGGTGATTGTCCTTTTTGAGCTTCGTCAACAATCGATCCAAAAGCATCATCTTGCCACTGCTAGCAATGAGCCCTTTCAGCATGTCCTCGCGTCTGTCCCCCCCTTTCAAAATTTTATCCTCGGCGTTGGGGAACATGTATGGATGATTACTAGCCTTCTTCAATTCCATCATGATGTTGAGAAGAGATTGCTTTTGGCCCTTTGAACCTTCGTTGAGTGCGGCGTAGTTCCGAGTTAAAATATTTTTATAGTACTCCAATTGTACATCAGATAGTTCAACTCGGATGATCTTCTCAGTCTTTGGAGGAAGATCATTCTCAACCTTCTGCTTTGTCCGGCGCAAAATGTATGGCTGAATCTTAGTCGTCAATGCCGCAATCTTTTCTCCCGCGGCTTCCGAGGTCAGGTCCATATCGTCCTCAATATCAACCTCGCCAGGCATCAAGAAATCCATGAGCGCGGAAAGTTCGCCGAGTGTATTTTGCACTGGGGTACCAGTAATGAGCAGCCGACTGGGGGTTTTGAAATCCAAAAGTCTCTGGTAGAGCTGAGATTCTCTATTCTTCAGACGGTGCGCTTCGTCAACCGCCATGAATTGCCACTTGATCTGGCCTAAAAAGTTGGCATCAGCCAAGATGTATTCGTAGGAAGTGAGCAAGACATTGAACTTTGGCTTGCGAACATCCCCGCCCGACAAAAGTTCGCAGTCTCTTATAATACTGCGGGACGACTCTTTGCCATTGTAGACTACATAGTTGGTGTCTGGTGCCCAGAAATCGAAGGTATCACCCCATGCTGGCATTGTTGACAAAGGGACGATGACTAAGAATGGGCCATTCTGATTTCGGTCATGGCGTAGCCAACTCATGAACGAAACTGTCTGCACAGTTTTCCCGAGACCCATCTCGTCAGCGAGAATGACATTTTTGTTCTTGCTCCAATTGTATGCAAGAAAATTGAGTCCTGTGATCTGGAAGTCTCGAAGCTGGCCACCCTTGATATAGGATGGTTGTTCACGGATTGGGACATGTGAACGTCGCGTATTCGAATTGGATTCAGACTTATCTGAAGTTAGTATTTGGGAAGTGCGGTTTAAATACCCGTCGATTTTGTCCTGAGCAATTTCACCAATGAGAGTTTCCGATTCCCATGTACATGAGTCGTAGTAGAGGCTTTTCCATTTGACGTAGTATTCCGCTCCATCATCCCCGTCTCTAACACCGATGACTCTCTCAACTTTGGTATAGTCAAGGAGGGCATCGGCGTCTCGTTCTCTGTCTAGCATCCACTTCTCTTTTTCTTCCGGCTGAACATCAGGGTCGGTTGCAAAATAGACGTCTTGTAGGACAACTTTTCGATAATAGTTCTCCAGCCGTCGGTGACCTCGGACAGTGCCCAAATAAACTGCATCCTCCCATGTGGCATGGTAATATGACTTCCCTTGCCATTTAACGTAATACTCGAAGTCATCACGTGTTGAGCCCGACAGACTGATGTCGACACCGTCCTTCGGCCTGTGTTTGAGAACAACTTCGATATAAGGAGAATTATCCTCATATCCCTCAAGCGCTTGGGTGGGCGTCATCATCTCTGAATCTTCCTCATCAGCTTCGCTTTCTTGGTATGCCCCAGCGGAGACCTGCGCCGCGCGACGGTTGCTCCATCTGGCAGCAGGTACTGGTAGTGTATCCAGTTGCCGGCGCCGGTTCTTCTTTATTAGACTCCGGGCACGAGAGCCACCGTATGTGTCGGATTCGGAGTCATTCGATGCTGACCGAAATACTGGAGTCTCCCGTTTAGAAGCTAGAACGACGAGTATCAGCAACGGCGGCGACGGCAGGTGTAGATGGACTGAGCTTACTTGGTCGAGATTTTTCTGCTTTCCGCCTCTTTCGTGGGGCAACGTCTGAAGCAGTAGCATAGTGATCTTCATCATCATCATCATCGCTATCAATCTGAAAACATTTAGCATACACGCTCAGGTATTGCAGGTTGGATATATCTCACTATGGTGCGATGCTGGACAGGCCGGCCCTGGTTATGTCGCGTTAAAAACTAGTCCCACAGACAGTCTGACATTGATACATACACTTCTGCGCAATCCATATAGCTCCGGATTGGCTTTTATATGCTCATCGTCCTCTATCCCCAATTTTCTCTTTGTTGGGCGTCGTGAATCGTGGGATGACGAACGGTCCATGCGCGGGTGATGAGGGGCTACTGTCCGCATGCCCTCTTCCGCATCGAACTCGTCATTATCAGATCCCTTGTCGTTGTCATCTTCTGATTCATCGGAAGGTTCGGTGTCCTCGGCGGCGAAATCGGATTGGTGATGTGGTGTGCTGGATGGCGACGGCGAGGCTTCTGCCGCTGGGGCTTCACGTACTTCAGATAAGTCGCTTCCCGAGTTGTCTGAAGCAGCATCGTTGGCGACCGAGATATCTCCAACAGGAGAGTGGTATCCATTGGACATTGGGATGGAAGTAGTCGTGTCCATATTTTCTGACGGTGACGAGCTGCCTGCTATAAGACGGTAGTGTCAGCGTAAATAACCTTCCAAATGATGCAATCGGCATCGGGTTCACACGGTGTAGTGCATCTGCTATCTGTGACCGTAAATCGATATGCACAGCATCTAAAACACATCTAAATGCCTTCATATCCTCGCCGGCGCATTGCATTCGATGATGTATCAGAATGAGGCTGATGAGTTGCACTCGGGGTAGTGGACACACGCGCTCCCAAAGCGCTCGCTCAAGTGAGTACAAAATCTGATAGAAACCTCAGAGAGTGTGTATTCATCAACTTAGACGCTTCTACATGTCCAAGAACCTGAACAATATAGCTGTATAGAAGACGGCGTAACTGTGAGCGGGCGGTAGGCACGGTGATAGCCTGGGAGCAACTGGAGCGCAATAAGGCGGCAAAAGAACTTTGGAAAAAGAATACTTACAAGCCATAATGAAAAGGCCTTCCAGGCAGCTTAATCAAAAGGTATTATCCGTCAATGACTGGTGGAATTGGTGGTTGTCGTACATGAAGGAGACGTTCGCTTCATTCACAGTGAAGACCGTGAAGCTGGACTGGACTACCCAGTGGTTACATTCAACATGAAGACTCGCTTACACCGGAATTAGCGCGGGCCGTTTCACACGAATGAGCACAGATCAAAAGGATTTTGTCATCGCGAGGACCCACGCTACCACCAAACAAATCTCGACGCCAAAGTCACAAACCCGACATTCTCCAAAATCGAAATATAAATTATTTTTGTCGCTTTGCCACAAATATTCGACGTTGTCCTTGAAATAAATAGGGGCCCAAACCAGCAAATACCCGGCTCGTTTGAGTGGCTCTTAAGCCGAAGAACCCAAGATGGCTGATAAACTTACCAGGTATGCCACGCCGCCGCTCACGACTTTAGAAGCATAACCCCAGGCAGCTCACTGGGTATTATTGGGTTGTCTTGCTGTGATATATACTGATTGTTTGATTTGAATAGAATCGCGATCATCAATAGCGACAAGGTGCGAAACATATTGCCACCATGGCTACCCCACTACTACCCCGCGTTGAAGTTTAAGGGATCACAAATGCTAATTAAGCCCGTCGCATACAGTGCAAGCCGAAGGTATATACATTTGTTCGAACGATAATGGTATGGCACTAATGATGGAAATAGAAATGTAGGCAAGAGTGCAAGAAATCGTGCCCTGTTGTTCGCAGTGGTCGCCTCTGTATCGAAGTCGACGCCTCATCGAAAATCGCTTTCATATCCGAGACACTCTGCATAGGATGTGGTATTTGCCCCAAGAAGTGCCCATTTGGCGCAATCAACATCATCAACTTGCCGACCAACCTCGAGTCTCAAGTTACCCATCGTTATTCCGCGAATAGCTTCAAGCTGCATCGCTTGCCCATGCCAAGACCCGGACAGGTGCTTGGTCTTGTCGGAACCAACGGTATCGGAAAGAGTACGGCCTTGAAGATCCTGAGTGGAAAGCTCAAGCCCAATCTCGGAAGATTCGAAAACCCCCCAGACTGGGAAGACGTCATCAAATACTTCCGTGGCTCGGAACTACAAAGTCTGTGTACCCTGTGAAAGTGGAGGAAGCAAATGTTCTGACAAAGGCTACAGACTATTTCACGAAACTCCTCGAAGACGACCTCAAGGCTGTTGTAAAGCCCCAATATGTCGACCAAATCCCCAAAGCTGTGCGAGCACCGGACAAGTCGGTCCAGGCCTTGATCGAGGGCAGGTCTCAGATGGACAACCTCAAGGAAGTCTGTGATGTTTTAGGTGAGCAGATATATTCATTTATATTGACTCTGTTGTACTAATTACATACAGAGTTGAATCATGTTATGGATCGTGATATCAACCTTCTTTCTGGAGGAGAGCTTCAGCGTTTCGCCATCGGAACAGTCTGTGTCCAGCAAGCCGATGTCTACATGTTTGACGAGCCGTCGTCCTACCTGGATGTGAAGCAGCGTCTGAGTGCAGCCAAGATCATCCGCTCCCTTCTCAAATCATCTAACTACGTGATCTGTGTCGAGCACGATTTGTCCGTGCTGGATTATCTTTCCGACTTCATCTGTGTGCTCTACGGCCGCCCAGCAGTGTACGGTGTTGTTACTATGCCTGCATCGGTCCGTGAAGGCATCAATATTTTCCTGGATGGCCATATCCCAACCGAGAACTTGCGTTTCCGAGACGAGTCCTTGACTTTCCGCATCGCAGAAGCCGGAGACGAATTCATAGTTGATCGTTCGCGCGCCTTCCAATACCCGTCCATGGAGAAGACCCTAGGAAACTTCCATCTTACGATTGACGACGGTGACTTTACGGACTCGGAAATTATTGTGATGATGGGAGAGAACGGAACGGGAAAGACGACATTCTGTAAGATGCTGGCTGGCGCTACAAAGCCCGATGGCAATAGAAAGGTCCCCGACATGAAGATCAGCATGAAGCCCCAGAAGATCACACCTAAGTTTGACGGCAGTGTTCGCCAGCTGTTCTTCAAGAAGATCAAGACTGCGTTCCTTTCTCCCCAGTTCCAGACTGATGTTGTCAAGCCGTTGAAGCTCGAGGATTTCATTGACCAGGAAGTGAAGAACCTGTCTGGCGGAGAATTGCAACGTGTGGCTATCGTCCTCGCCCTTGGTATGCCGGCTGATATTTACCTAATCGATGAGCCGTCTGCCTACCTCGATTCCGAGCAGCGTATTATTGCTGCTCGCGTCATCAAGCGATTCATCATGCACTCGAAGAAGACAGCCTTCGTTGTGGAGCACGATTTCATCATGGCAACTTATCTCGCCGACCGTGTCATCGTCTTCGACGGTGAGCCAGGAATTGAGGCTCGCGCTCATACACCCGAGTCCCTCCTTACTGGTTGCAACAAGTTCCTCAAAAACCTTGATGTTACCTTCCGCCGTGACCCGACCAACTTCAGGCCACGTATTAACAAGCTGAACTCTCAGCTGGACCAGGAACAGAAGTTGAGTGGAAACTACGTAAGCATTTTCCATCCATATACCCAAGAATGTACTAACGAGGCCTAGTTCTTCCTGGATGAGAATAAGAGTTGAAAAGGGCACTCAATATAAAAACACACCGGCTTTAGATGCATCATTAGGCGTTACTGGGTTGGCATCAGGAGCGGTATTACATAGAGGGGGTTCTCCTGGGTTGGCTGAGGAGGAAGAGGTTAACGAAGAAGACGATCCGGATGACTAACGATAGCGGCGGCGCTCTATCCCCTGTTGCCTGGTCCTACACTGATAGCTGTTCTCTTTACTGCACATGGTATAGATTGAGGGGCAATGAATGAAGCGGATGAGTGCCGTCTGGGTGGTGATTTAAAGCTAGCATGGAGAACAAAAATCTTCTACTGTTGGCATCGTCATTCATATTAAGTATTCCGAAATGGATTCATTTACGGCTTTAAAACTAGTTCATCGAATAAAAGCAAAGAGATACGATATACACACCAGATGTCCCACTAGTTGTCCCTGGGCTTTATGATCGTGATTTGGATATCTCTTTTGGTGCAGTTAAAGATTGGCTAGAATAGAACTGTCATATGGCCGAGGTTATCGTGTTGGGCCGAAAATGTTAACTTAGTACGTACAGGTCTTGTACAGTGCCTTCCGATGGCATGTTAGTTCCCTACTCTTCTTCAATTTCGCCTTCTTCGCTTCCTGAGTGTACGGCTGGATCCTCCTTTGGCGGCAATGTTGTGGTTGGCGTCTTAGCCTTCAAGGCACGGTCCTGTGCGGGAGACTCTCGTGGCGGGGTTCGTTCCCTCCTTGTCCTCTATAGAAATGTAATGTTAGGGCAATGTTCTTACTATATCACAAATGTTGTTACGTGGTATCGTGGGAGTTATAATATGTCATTTCTCCAACCCCACCATCGGCCGGGAGTCTCTTTGAGCTTAGCTTCTTTAACCACAACAACAACTATTGTTTGAAACCTCGAGAGCAATACTCTTAGAGATCTTGTTGGTCAAGCATACCTACTCCTAATACGGGGAGGCCAGACGGCCGAAATTGTGATCACGCTGAGCACAGTTTTTAGAAAATCGACGAACCTTAGAATCCCTTTTGCTACCCCCGCTTTCAAGGTCACTGTCAGCCCTTCTACGCCTGACCGAACTCGGCCTCTCATCACCATAGGGCAACTCATCAATGCTACCCCTTGGGTCACCTCTCCTCCTATAGAGCCTCTCGCGGTCGTCATCTCGCTCTCTCTTGTCGCGGGGATCCCTCTCATGGTGATCGAGAGGATCATCACGCCGGCTTCTGTGAGACCTATCAAAGTCGCGATCCCTTTCAGACCGATCGCTTCCTCGGCGGGCAGGTGAGAGTAGAGTATCTGCAACGTTACCTTTGCGGTAGTTCTTCTCACGATCGGCGATAGCCTTGCGTCTGTCTGCCTCGTATGCATCGGGCTCGGGGCTGCGACTTGGCCTAGCATGGCGGACACCATTTCGGTGAGATCTCTCACCTCTATCCCTGTCAATTCTCTCTCTTTCCCCATCTCGATAGCTTGATCTCTCGATAGACTCTCTGTCACGGCGCTTGGCTCGATCTCTCTCATCATTTTCCTTGTCTTTCAAACGACGAATAACCTTATCGAAAGCAGAGCGGCGTAGATCATCAATGGGAAGGGCAAGGTACTCTCCTGATCGCTCAATGCGAGGCTTAACCTTCTCATAAGTGTCATCCGCCTTGATTGGAGGCTCCAGATGTTTCATGTAAGATCGCAGGTCATCTACAGCACGGCGTTGCTTTCGCTCTGCCATATGTTTGTCGTCTTCATTTCGACGAGATACCTTCTCATGCAGCTATAATCTGTCAGCAAAGCACGCGGAACCCAAAGATTTTGATTCAACTCACCCTTCCAAATATCAAAGACAAAGCGTCTCGATCGATGTTAGCAGTACGCCGGTCTGTTTGCATAAGGGTAAGGAACTCCTCAAAGGTGGTCTTCTGCTGTATCTCAAAACGTTTGTCCTGTAAGGCGTTAATAAAGGTAAACTCGACGGAAAAAGGGGGATTACAAACATCCAACACGTCCAATATATCATTCCGAGTTCCACGCAAGGCTCGTTCCTCTTCTTCAACAATGTCCCAAAACAAATCCAGTGGCGTAGAGCCTGGTTGACCGAGCATATTGGTGTACCTTTCGTCAGATTGAACTAAGGGGTATACTTGACTCCATTTAGCCCCAGCCTTGATCTTTCCAGCTTTCCTCAAGTCATTCAGAAGGTCAATGAAGCGGTCGCGGTTCTGGCGTTCTCGTCTCGATTTCTGATTTTTCTGCTGTTGGCGAGCATCGTTGAATGTTCTCTCCAGAGACTTGATATGATTCTCGAAAGCGGTCAACATATCAGATTTCGTGAGTGTCTGAAATTTCTCATCACCTTTGAATCGCTGGTTTGATTGGATGATACCTTGTGCCTCTGCCCATCTAGTGTACGGTTCCAGGTTAAGACCATGCATGATCTCAACAAGCTCGTCCATAGCGGCCCTGCGAGTTGAAGCCTCGCGCTCCATGTTTGTCTTCTTTAACTCAATAATGTAATCTTCGAATAGTTGGCGCCGCTCATTGTCGTCGTCTGTGGACCTGAAGATCGTTTCGCCTTCAATGATAGGTCTAACAGTCTTCCAGCGTGAATAATGCTTGATCTCAGGGTGACTTCGCAGCATAGTGCTGAAATCCGTACGAAGCTTGGTAAGCCTCTCCTTCGCCCGATCCTTTTCTTCTAGGCGCACCTCGACCGCGAATTTCTCAAAAGCCGCCTTGCGATCTTTTGGATCTTTCAAAGCTCTGTATTGTGGATCTCTGATAATCGCGCGCATGGCCTCTTCCCAAGTCCAATCCGGCCTCACTCCGCTTCGTCGGAGAAGCTTCAAAAACGCTGTCTCTGCTTCTTCGAAAGTTGAATAGTCGGGGTCGGTATTTGCGGGCACGAACACTTGGGCTCTGCTTCCGTTGACATCGTTGCCATATGCGATTTGACGAGCTTCGCCAACCGGCTCTCTGTCGCGTGGCTGATCGTACTGCGAGAAACCTCCTCCAGCAACAAATTTCGGGGCACTAAATAGATCAGATCGGCATATATAAGGTGGATAATAAGAAGTGTAACTTACGATGGCGTCGCGGCTTGCGCAGGAACAGCTTCTTTCGAAAGCGCATCCTTGAAGACCGCGGGCATCTCCCACGAGCTCTGTTTGCTTTCGGTATTATACCAGTATTTACGGCCACCTTCAGCAGTGTATTCCTTCCATGGTTGATCGGCCAGAGCGCGCTGTTTTGTGTTAGCTTATTTCAATGCCTAATACCGTTGTTTATCTTACCTCCACTACAGTCATGAGCTCCTCAGGTTTGGTCCACTGGGTCGCTTTGGTGATAGTGTTGTAGTAATACACTCGCCCTTCGGCATTGCGCGCCTCTTGCCAAAGGCCCGGAGGGGCCATGTGCCCATTGATGCCGTTCATTATTCTGGTTGATGTTGATGGAATAACGTTACGGAAAATGTTAGGACTATCAAAGTATTTGGAGGTCGCCTGCGCTAGTGGTCTCGAAGGTCAATTTGCGGCGTAGTACACCTGGAAGGCGTTATCCAATCAAGATTGTGATACGGCAGTAGCCACCGTGCCAGGAACTTAAAGGAGAGATGCAACAATGCACTTCGGATTCACAATAAGCCACAACTAACACCTGAATTTAATCCAAGCGACCTTTGCGAGGCTGGAGCATAAAATTGCAGAAATCATTTATGTTTTGTTTTGGAGTCAGCTTACCGACTTCTGTTCTGTCCTGTATATATATTACAGGGAGGGGGGTATATAAGCTTTGAGAATCGAGATGTCTGACGATGACCATCCACAACAGTCTCGTGGCAGCTTGGAATTTGTGGAAACTTCAATTATTCAGACAATTGTCCCGGAATTTACAGAATTAAGTCTTGAAGAAGGGCTGCGGACTTCACTTGCAAAAAATGGCGATGTAGAAGCGGCTCTTCAGGACATGGCCCTGAGGCAAACCATATTCTTTGGTGAGTAAATGATTGGCTCATCGAAAATTCATATCTTACTTATCACTAGATTATAGATGAAATATTGAATGTCTATGTTGTTTTACAGACACCACATTTGGATGAAAGGGCTGTTCATCGATACCTTGACCGGCTGGTGGTCACGGTAGATGCCAACGTTGTCAATGCACTGACAGATCCACAAGGCCAGTCCGGTCATGAATTGATTTATTCAGGATCAAATGATCAGCTCAAAGATGCACCTGTTATCATTAAAAGTCCCGGGGAGGACGATAAAACGAGTCTTTTAGTGGTCTGGAAGTTCCCAGTCCCTCTCACAAGGCCTGGTAGGCTGCGCCTCCAAAGCCCTTCCGTCGTCTTTTCAATTTCCGCGAACTTAAAAACAGCAAAGCAGCTGAAGGCGATGATTCGGCAGAACGAATACCTGCCCAGTCAGATGCCTTCAGGAATCAACCTGTTTGAATCCTTCAACGGGGATCCGGCTCTTGGAGATGCCATGCCCCGCCTATCTGCTCTACGGGTCTCACGGGTTAAACCAGTTTCACCAGGCGAGGCTGATTCTCTCAGCCCATTGAGGATAGCACCTGCGCGCCCTCTTAAGATATTACCTGCATTCCAACTACGAGCACGTTATGCAAGACCAAACAACACACAAAGCAACCCTTGCATTTTCGCCTCCTTAGACATAGAGGCCACCCCATGGGCTGGCAACTCCCTCAGCTTGTCGTCAATTGATTTTAAGCTTACTGACGGAAACGTTGAAGATCTGAACACAGCCCCTGATATGGCACTTCCCATGGACTGCCTTCCAAAAGACGATGTCACCTTAGTATATCGCCTCTCACGCACTCCTCTGGAGCAATCTTCAAACCCAGTAAAGCCGCTACGCGTCACCGTCACTGGCACCGTCTGCGTCTCTTCCAACTGCCTGCCAAAAATCACCATGATTTGGGCCACAAGCGTTGACTTCGCGCCCCCCCTGAACCCCGGCTTCGGAAACCCAAGCGCAACCATCCAGCGCGACCACCGCTCAGCCCAGCTAAGCATATCCTCCAACCACGAGGCCCTAAACACCTCGCTCGCCGCATCCCGACCCGATGCTCTTCCCACCATCGAATTCACAACCAAACACCAGCGTTCCCTCTCCGTCCCCGACTTTGGCGTCACCATGACCTTCACCGCCCCAACAACCCCAATCTACCAAGGCGACTTCTTCACCTGGACCGTCTTCGTCGTGAACCGCTCTGACCACTCGCGCAAGCTGGCACTCATCCCGATCGCAAAGCGTAGAATCCAATCCTCTTCGCACCACCGCGCCCCGACGAACCGGCCGCTCTCAAGCTCGTACACACAGCAGAAAGCAGCTTCTGGCGGCGCCAACACCGACATCGCGGACGCAGTGCTCGACGAGAATATCCTACACGCCGCGCAGAAGGGCGCCGGCATCGAGTGCGCCGACATCATATGCTACAGCACCGACGTTCGTGTTGGCCCCCTGGCACCCAGCGCATGTCACATGACCGAGCTGCGGTTTATTTCGCTCCAAAGCGGGGTGCTGGGCCTGGAGGCGGTGCGAGTTGTGGATTTGGGGACACAGGAGCATGTTGATATCAAGGATCTGCCGAGTATAGTTGTTTCTGGGGCTAAATAAATATAAATCATTTATAGAGGTTTAAATCCTCCTACTACTCCCCCAAGATCTCTCTTCAAATGTTCCCGCTCGAGTCCCCCAAGTGATTTCCAAATAATGTCTAATGCAATACCCCGCAATCCATAATCCCTTAGTGCAGCTACTGTTAGACATGATTATCGTCATAGCGCACTCGACGGATTATACGCCCTGTTACGCCAAAATGTCATGTCTCATCGTAACCAATCAACTCCGTTAGCCAAAAATGAAGCCATGGAGTTCTATAACCGCAGCTTCGGAGCTGCGCTACAAGATCATCCATAATCCCTTAGTGCAGCTACTGTTAGACATGATTATCGTCATAGCGCACTCGACGGATTATAATAAGTCGGCGGGACCAACCCCAGGTAATCATCAATGCCATCAAGCCCATTAGTCTCCAGGCTCTCCATGAGTTCCACCTGTTGGCTGTAGCTCAAGCTCCCCATACGGTCTGTCTGCGTATCATAGTCTTGATCGGTATATACTAGTGGCCCAAAGTTGTACGTCGGTTGGATGAAGTAGTTGGTCTCATCCAGACTGTTGAAACTTTGTTGGGCCGTTGTGGGTCCTGGGGCTTGCATTGGCAATGTGGCAGTCTGAACAGGTGTAGGGCCCCACTGAGGCGGTAGTGGCTGCTGTTGCTGAGGTAGCTGTGGTTGAGGTAGCTGTGGTTGAGGCTGCTGTGGTTGCTGTTGAGCCTGCTGCGATTGAGGTTGCTCTGGCTGAATCTGGTACGACTGTGGCTCTACTTGCCCATACTCAGGAGGGAAGTAACTGAAGCGTCGATCTGTCGAGCGAGTCGCCGGCTGCATGAAAATGGAATCTGACCGAAATGTAGGCTGCTGTTGCTGGAATCGAACGTTCTGGTGGTACTCATTTGCCGCAGTATTCTCAGGAGACTGGTTAAACACGTAGCTGAAAGTTGGAGCTGGCTCTTGTGAATTCTGAGAATACGCTATGGATGACGCAGTAATATTTGAGTGGTAAGAAAATGGGGATGACATGGATTCGTTGATTGATGCAGGTGAGTTTGCCGAGAGTGAAGAGGAGGAATCGGAAACCTTTCCACCATCATAGGCCTTGAAACACGCTCGCCCAAGCCGTTGATAAAGCTCTGACGCGGGTTTGCTACCAGGCCATCGGTCGGTACAGCGGACCATCACGCCTACCGCCAACTCGAGGAGTTCTTCAAGTTCTTCTTTCGGGTGCAGACTTCTCACGTCTGGGTATGATATCGACCAGAGAAGTGTGTTCACAGCCATGAACAGGCTCTGAAGGAAGATCCAAGTAACGTCCACAGAAGGATTGTCCATCTGATGGTGTTGCATCTTGATATTATACGCTGAGGCGTCGTAGCACATTATAGCGCCACGAGCAGATGGCTTTGGAACCTGAGGAGAAGGGCGAAAAAGGAATACAATCATGGTGTTGACCTTGCCAGTAAACCTATGAGAAGGGTTAGCGAATATTCGAAACGATCTGAAGGAAATTTGCCATACCAAGGTTTGCTCCAGCTAGGGTTCTCAGGGGCTGCTTCTAGCCAAGATTGAAGTTTTTCTTCCATCTGAGGGAACCAAGGGTGTGAGTCGTTTTTGGGCTCAGACCGTTTCCTTTGGTACAGTACTCGGCGTATTTCAGCTTGTAGCAAACGCATTTTGAAGAAATGAACCGCCATGACCTTCTTTTCTGATATCTGGTTGGTAGTGATCCCACCCGGCGTGATGTATTCATCATCGACTGTGGCAAAGAAGCCGACATCGACATGGTCTTGACCAGTGGCATATCCATTGGGACGACCAAGGCTATGCGCCAGCCCAAACTCCATCGAGAGTACAATCCATGATAAGCGCCTTCTCATGTCCATCTGTAGTGGATCAACTTGCCCAAGAGACACGCCCTGAACAATGGTCTTCTCTTCTGTGAGGCCTAACTGCTGGCATAATCTCGTTGCGAGGCCAACTATGTAGTATATCGGTGTCTTGGTAGGCGTCAAGAGGGAATATTGTGCTATCAGGACGAGGCATTGTAATGTCCTGAGATCTTTTGGCCGCACCACTTCATCAACGCTTTGCATGGCAGCCAAGTAGTAGCTATCCGCCAGGCCCGCATATTGCGAATCAAGCTTCTGCATGCTGATGGCTAGAACTATTCGCACAATAAAGTTCTTAACCGGGTCTGTACCGCCAGCATAAACTTCATCACATTCCTTATAAAATGTAGGCTCATGTAAGGTAGGGAAAAGATACTGAGCTGCGAATTGGTTAATCGCTACTCGTTCAATAGAGCGGGAAATTTAATGACCGACCTTTTTGATTGAAGACTTCTATCAGCTTATCAGTCACTGATCGATTTGGCAATCGATCTGCTGGAATGGCACTGATCATCGGGTATGATTTCATCCTCTCTTGGATGGACTCCGGAGACTGGCCGGGAGCTCGTCGAGTGCTAACCTCCGGCACAAGTTCACGAATGCTCCTGGAATCTGTGTAGCGCCTAGCTTCCTCCATCACCAATCTCGTCATGGCAATGCCGCTCGAGGGCCCAAGATATCGTGGCATCTCATCGTCCTCCTCCAATCGAACGAGACCTCCAGGACGTATCGAATCCTCCGTCTTAATTTGAGCATCATCATCGTCAACATATCGTCCTAGTTCCAGTTGTAGGGCGCGGACTCGATCCTGGAGGCGGATCACATAGGTTCGAGATATCTTCTTGTTTTTCGTGGTATCATAATATTCGCAGACAGAGCCCTTTCGTTCGCAGGGCAGGCACTTCGGAAGGGTTGGGTCGCACCGCGTCTTTCTCTATCAGAGCATTAGTAAACGGCAACATGAAAGCCTATTATCGCTGTATCAAGAGGTACTAACCTGTCGACATCGGCAACATGCGGCTAATGTGTGCGCGATTCTTGGTGAGTTCGAGTTCCCGTCGCTCTCATGGCTGCTCTCCCTCGCGCGAGGGGTTCGAGCCTCTCGTGCCTTGCTCACCGACCCCAGGCCCTGCCGAAAAGCTTCGGCTACATCCATTTGCTCTGGAGCTCAGAGTATATTAATTGCTGTTCGCGAGGAGAATACTGCGCATGCTGGGGCGACCTCAGCAATGAGCAGTTGTCTCTGGAGAAGCTGTGTCTCGCAACTGCTAGCCACCCGAGGCTCTCGAGGCGACTCGTTCCGGGGTTGATGCGAAATATGGAGACGACCGGTTAATGTGCGATTGAGATTCGTCGTTGGTCATCACAGTCCTTGGTGGCGCATTTCATCTTCGCTGGGTATATGCGGCCATAGGAGTAGTGTTGGAAGTGCCCACTGGAGCAAACTGACAGAACCGTAGTTTGTGTTTGTGGAGGGGAACAATCCCACAACAGAGGTGTAGGTTAGACTTGGTGGGGGAGTGGCTTTACAGATTTGGAAGATGATGTACCAACCAAATAATAATGTCAAAGTTATACTGTTTGTGTGCAGTACATACAATGTACAACACACTCAGCGAGAGATTCCGTACATATTGGATTCCTGTCTCCAGAGGACTCGAGTGCTCAAATCTTAAGCGCCGGCGTGGTTGGCCCACGGAGAAGACCGGCACAACTAAATGCCAATACGGAGGACGGAGTACTACTCCGTACGCCGTTTCTCTGGGGTTCAAAATGAAGCGGGTACTTGTTCAATTCATACTGGGGAGTTACGAGAATAGTACTGGAATGTCGCTAAAAAGACAATGTGGACCCTGTGTTGACTTGGTCATTTTGCCTGTCGACATGCATGAAGACGTGCGAAATGCAAACAATTACAAGTACCAGTTGGGTACCATCCGTCCTTGGCTCCAATCCACCCGCGCACGGGCCGCGACAGAGTTGAGCCTAGAACACCAAAGGAGTTAAGTGCACAACATCACCTTGCTGCAACTCGTCGTATCATTTGCTTCCCCTCTTCACCCCACTTACTTAGCATAGAAACATCTCCGTCTCTATCCTGCACGTCTTACTTTCCCAAACACCCTCATTTCTGCCGAAAGCGTCGGGCGTCGGGAGCCGGGCGTCGGAAAGGGCATTATGCATCGGTATACTGCCCTTGATTCGCCATTGTTAAGGGTCTCTCGGCCAGTAGCCGCGTGCTCAAGATGTGAGTTCATGAAACTCAGGAATTAAAACATGGCCCTAATTTTTTTCATAGGCCGTGCAGCAAAGATCAAGGCATGTGCTCTGGAGGTGTATTAGAGGTTTGCTACTTACATCCATTAGTGTGACGGCAAGCTCCCCGCTTGCACGGCGTGTGAAAAGAGTGGTAGGGAGAATGAATGTTCGAGCTCTAATGACCAATTTGCAAAAGGAAAAGAAAGGAGGTCAGTTGTAGTGGGGAACTGGGCGGTTGGAGGCATATGCTGACGAATATAAAGCTATGTTGCATCTCTCGAATCACGAGTGGAAAAGCTCGAGAAACGCATAGCATATGCGAAGATGAGAAATGCATCTGTCACTATGCACGAAGGCGATAGCCCGCCTATGCCCCCCCCCGATCGAAAAGACTCACTGGCTGCTATTCGTGCGGCCATCCAAGGAAAGGCTGCTCGACGGCGGGAGGCCACCGATGTCAATGAACTTGTGTCTGACTTTGGGTTTATGTTTGACCCCCTTTTCCTTACCCAACGTTGACCGTACCCGTTCCTAACTTTTATAGGACTGTCAATGCCACCATGCGAGACTTCGACACGAAAACTACAAGCTTAACCTTTGCTAGGCTTATTTTGGCAGCGTCTCTCAATGAGCCATTGCCAAGGCTGAAGAATCAACAAATGCCCTCGAGGCAAACAGCTATGGGGCTACTTCAGTATTATTTGGAAAACGTGTTGTCCCTGTTTCCAGCATTTCCAGAGACTGCCCTCTTTAACGCATTGGATGCGGTCTATCAAGAAAATCCACAACAGCATGTTGAGGACTTCGATTATTGGATACTGTATATGGTTTTGGCGATAGGCTCCATGTGCCAGTCCCGCAGCAGCACAGATACCTTCTATAAGGATGGCGTTGATTTTGTTGTGCGAGCACTCAAATTTGCCGACCGCGTCCTGATGCCCGGCTACCCACAGCAGATCCAAGCGTTGATTCTGCTTGTGCAATATTCCACGTTGGACCCGGCACACTTTGACAGTTGGCAATTGATAGGATTCACTTGCCGCGCTGCAGTCGACTTGGGTTATCACCAGGATCCACCAAAAGAGCAGGCGATTGACAAGAAGGCTCTTCAACAACGGCGAAAGATATTCTACTCTGCATATGGACTTGACAGGTAATGTACATGCCATATATCACTGATATGCTTGTGCTCACGCAACATAGATCTATCAGCATGGTACATGCACGACCATTCTCATTTACGGACGACGCCATCACCGTAGCATTTCCAGCAGATCTTTCTTCGACAGCTGACCCAGAAAGCCCAATTTCGAAACTGCCAGCCCTCGATGCATCACTCCTCATATTCCAACTGCGGAAAGCTCAATCCACTTGGTACCAAGAGCTTTTTCAGTCGAGCCGCGACCCTCTTCATCACTCATCTCAATATCTCTGGCAGATGTGTTATGAAATGCGCACCTGGTCCGAAAATCTACCAAAACATCTCCCTCAGGCCACACGAGAACTTTTCGATTTAGAGCTACTATATAGCTACGTCTATTGCTTGGCGCCGTCATGCCGATTCCCGTTAGTGTCAGAATTGGGCAAGACACTCATATTCGAATATTGCATGTCTTATATTCAAAAACTATTACCCATCGCCAAGGACCCCATCAATACCGCATTCTACACATATCATGACGCCCTCAGGGTCTACTTTATTGGAAGCCAGTTCATCGCTGTACTTCCTGATAACCTCAATGCACTTCTGCAAGGAATCATTCCATTCGTTAACACCATTCCAGGCGGGCCACCTCCGCCCCCAATCCCAAATATGGGGCGTACAGATAACATTAGCCGGAGCATTATCTGTATCGAGCAGATTATTGAGGCACTGAAGACTTATGGTGAGCGTTGGGATGATTCGAAAGCGCTCAAGTCTAGTTTCGAGGCACAATCGACAGGTATGCTGGGCGAGTTATACAGGCGGCAAGAAGAGCAGCAACAGCAACAGCAGCAGCAATATCACCAGGATATTAGAAATTCAAGCTCTCCCGGCACTACAGTCCCTGGAACTGATTATAAAAGTTCTCCTCCTTCCCAGTCACAGTCACAGCTGGGAGATGGATGGAGTATAGATCGATTCACCGAGGACATATATAAGGGATGAACGAGAGGTTGTCGATTGGCTCGTCAGAGTGCTGGAGACATGGCTCCTGGAGATCCTTAACTTATCCATGTTTGATTTTATTTAATAGCCTATCATTTTAAGATGTCCTGAGAATAGAAATAAAATGTTCAGACAATCTAAACCTTAACCACTCCAGAGTCTAATACACAAACTTCGGTTACCTCCTCCCAAAGCGAGAATCCCTGTATTGATTTACATAATATCCTAAACAAGCAGTGCTTCGACAGACGGCTCAACGAATCTTCCATCAAAGCCTGTCAATAGAACATCATAACTCTTAGGTTTCTCTTCAGAGTTTGTCGTCAAGAGTTTGTTCAATTAGCGACTATATTCCCCAGGTTTGTCGTGTCGTATGAATGACGAGCTCTTGGCGCTTGGACCTCCCAACAACCCCTAGTCACCCCAGACAGACGTCATAGATAGGCGTCGATCATGACATCGGATCCGCCTTCGATACCTCAACCTTCAACTCCTCATTCCCAAGGTCGCAGCCATGGTGTTCGATATACAGAGGCGAAAGTTACTACGATACCTAAACACCACATATACCTACTGGAATACTGTAAGTGGGATACATGTTGCGATTTCGTGATGCCTGGTGCAATTGTTTGTTTCGAACCCATTGCTGATGAGACCTCTCCACCACACAGCCGCTTCTCCATGCTATAATCGCCTTTATAGAACTTGCAATCATGTCGAGGCTCGTAGCCAAATTCCACGGCTACTATGCCGAACATCCAAGTATGCCAATCCAGCAGCTCCCTTGTCATGGCGTTCACTAATTGGCCTTCAGTCCTTACGATGATGGCGTCAAACGCCGTCCTCAGTGGCATCGCCGACACAGTTGCCCAAAGCATAACTGAAATCCGCGAACGCGCCCTCCGAAAACCCGGCGGCCCAAATAACATAGACGACCCATTTGCAGTCGAGATCCACGAGCTTGACAAGAGAAACCCTTTCCACGTGGAGGACCTCATTCCAGAATCCAAGATCCTTCCTCCGCCATTCGACTTCGAGCGGCTGTCTAGATTTGTGGGATACGGCTGTATGATTGCCCCGGTGCAGTTCAAGTGGTTCCAGTTCCTGAGCAAGTCGTTCCCGATTACGAAGGGAAGTGCGCTCGGACCGGCAATGAAGAGGGTTGCGTTTGATCAGCTGATATTCGCGCCGTTTGGCCTCTGTCTCTTCTTCACGGCTATGACGGTTGCTGAAGGAGGGAAAATGAAGCAGGTCGTGCATAAACTACAAGATATGTTTGTGCCGACGCTGAAGGCTAACTATGTCCTCTGGCCGGCGGTTCAGATATTGAACTTCCGCGTAATTCCAATCCATTTCCAGTTGGTAAGACACATCTCATTGTATCCCATACACTCGGCCTCTACTAATACATTATTTGTAGCCATTCGTATCTACTATCGGAATCGCGTGGACAGCATACTTGTCACTTACGAATGCGGCGGAGGACGTGAAGGAGGCCGGATCTCCAGTAACACCTCAGAGGGCGCAACTGCGGAGGGAATATTCCGATTAGGGGCGTGATGAAGTGTTGTATTTGTACATGTTTCATACTTGACACGCTCATATCAACTGTCATAGGGTAGATGGGCATGGATTCATGGATTATATTTAAGGACATACGGTTCTTGGTCAAAGGGGGCGTCGTGGTCGAAAAGGCGGAGCATCTAGATCATATTCTTGGGCGTTAAATAAAGTTATACTATATTTTTCTCCGAGTATTTCTTGAACAACTTCGTTGAATCATACATTGGTAATCGTATTGTCGATTTCACGTGATGGAATGGACGATGTCATCGGCTATGGATCTCGCAGGGGGTAAGCTCGTCGATAGGTAATAGCATCACCCCACCAAATCTCAATAGGAGGGGTACTTTTACAAGACCCCTCGCCGAAAACGCTTATCCGTTTCATCCCGCAGCCACGAAGCATCTCAACCTTTCTTACATTTTCGTGCTTTTCAATTGCAAATAACTATTGCAAAATAATCGCCATGTCTCTCTCCAACAAGTTATCCATCACTGACGTGACCGTCAAGGACAAGAAGGTCCTGATCAGAGTACGTTGACTCAGCTTATGGAGGTGTTTATCCTCTTGTAAAATACATCATTGACAACGGTTCTGTAAACAGGTCGACTTCAACGTTCCCCTCGACTCCAAGAAGAACGTCACCAACACACAGCGTATTGCCGGTGCCATCCCAACCATCAAGTATGCTCTCGACAACGGCGCCAAGACTGTTGTCTTGATGTCCCACTTGGGCCGCCCTGATGGAAAGGTCAACGAGGAGTTTTCGCTCAAGCCTGTCGTTCCAGAGCTCGAGAAGCTTCTTGGCCGCAGCGTCACCTTCGCCCCCGACTGCGTCGGACCAAAGGTTGAGGAGATTGTCAACAACGCCAAGAACGGCGAGGTTGTTCTCTTGGAGAACTTGCGCTTCCACGCCGAGGAGGAGGGAAGCAGCAAGGATGCTGAGGGAAATAAGGTCAAGGCTTCGAAAGAGAGCGTTGACAAGTTCCGTGCAGACCTTACCAAGCTTGCGGATATCTTCATCAGTAAGTATTACTCAATTTCTAGCAGTCACTTCACTTTCAAACGGCGGTTAGATTCTAACATATAATTAGACGACGCTTTCGGAACCGCTCACCGCGCTCACAGCTCCATGGTCGGTGTCAACACCCCACAGAAGGCCTCCGGCTTCCTCATGAAGAAGGAGCTCGAGTACTTCGCCAAGGCCATTGAGAGCCCTGAGCGCCCATTCCTCGCCATCCTCGGAGGTTCCAAGGTCAGCGACAAGATCCAGCTGATCGACAACCTTCTCGGAAAGGTCGACTCGCTCGTCATCTGCGGTGGCATGTCTTTCACCTTCAAGAAGACCCTTGAGGGCGTCAAGATTGGTAACAGCTTGTTCGATGAGGCTGGCAGCAAGATCGTCGGCGACCTGGTCGAGAAGGCCAAGAAGAACAACGTCAAGCTTGTCCTGCCGGTTGACTACATCACCGGCGACAAGTTCTCCCCTGATGCCAAGACTGGCACCGCCACTGATGAGCTCGGCATTCCTGACGGATGGATGGGACTCGACGCCGGACCCAAGTCCATCGAGCTCATCAACCAGACCATTAACGAGGCCAAGACCATCCTCTGGAACGGCCCACCAGGTGTCTTCGAGTTCGAGGCCTTCGCCAATGGCACCAAGACGATCCTGGATTGTGCTGTTGCCGCCGCACAAAACGGAAAGACTGTCATCATCGGAGGTGGTGACACCGCGACCGTTGCGGCCAAGTACGGTGTTGAGGACAAGCTGAGCCACGTCTCCACTGGTGGCGGTGCCAGCTTGGAGCTGTTGGAGGGCAAGGAGCTCCCCGGTGTCTCTGCCCTGTCGAGTAAGTAGATTTAGAAAAGTGCAGGCACGTATAGCAATTTAGAGCAGCTCTGATGTTGCTAGATCTATCTCTAAAATCAAAACTGCGCTTATGAGCTTGGAATGTGATAGCATAAAATAGCATATCTGCACATGTGTTTCGAAGTCACAAATGATCTCATGGTTCGATAGCTTGTGTGAGGCGTTCGTATTATTTGCGCAAACAGCTGCCTTCTATGCTATGCATTGCATTGGTGGTTGGCCTTCCTGACTCCGAATATAATGTGTCTCCCTTTAGCTTCCAAACTCCCAGTTCACCTCTTTTTGCTCGCCTTCTTTAGTTCCTCCCTGTGATAGATGTCGCGTTAGTATGCTGATATTATACTCGGGAAGGCGTGGTTGGGGTTCTGAGGTGCATGTAGGATGCTGACATACTTCAACTGTGCAGAGAAGTCCTCGCTGGTATCATCATCGTCCCAGCTCTCCTCCCAAAGATGTGTGTTGTTATCTGGTACTTCGGTCTCTTCTTGTGTCCAATCTGTGATGACTTAGTTAGCTTTAGCTCTTGCTTGTTGTGTATGTGCATGGCTCAGTTCATAATGAAGACGCAGAGCCCACGACGAGGTTGAAGTAGATTGCCTGCGCTGGCAAGTTCCTAGAAACCACTTCGCAGCATCTGTGAGATCTGATAGATTGCGTCGCCAATGGACACACAAGACCGCCACTTGGTGCCTTCGGAGTTGAGAGCTTGGTTGGGGCGTCTTTCGGCGTTTTATCTCGTGCGGGCCAGTATTAAAGCAGCCGATAAATAGATAGTGATGCAAAAAGTCCAACGAAAAGCATATTCTTCCTACCATCTACAGGGAAGTCCTCAAACTCGTCATCCTCCTCCAAGGTAACAGTCGGCTTCGAGTCTTTGGCAGGTGTCGCGGCCTCTGCCTTGTTGTTTGCTGGCACCTTGCCAGAAGCTGGAGCTGTGGACATCGTGCTTGGCTTTATGTGTTCGTTGTGGCTGTCAAGAAATACGGTTGTGTTGTAGATTGCGAAGAGTTATTGGGAGTCGTATGTCCTTGTCGCGATAGACCAGTTGCGGCTTTGAAATGCACAGATGGAGCTAGAGCCATCCGTAGACGAAGTCTACCTAATGCAGAAGCGCAAACGCGATAAGCAATTAGCGCGATTTGGCAGGGTCGGATCCATCGGCGTTATTGGGGGTTAATTCAGCTCGTAGATGATGTAAATGTGTGAAAGCCTTGAAGCAGGTTGAGGCGGCCCCGGTCACAGCCGCGAGAGGATCCAACGTTACTTCTTCCTTATTTTTTCCATTGTGTAAATATTACTGTATATGCTCGATTTCCTTCGTACCCCGTCGTTCTTTCTTGCTTAAACCCTTTCCCCAGACGGAACTTGTGGGACCCTTGGTTTTCTATAACCCTCCATGTCAGCATTCGCCTCCTTCGTGTGAATTTGTTCAACCTCCCCAGGGCCAGTTTCCACAGCACCGCTCGGAGACTACATCATGGTCGGCCTCGGATGGCTTCGCGGCGCAGCAAAACCAGAGCCTGTAACTTCGCCCAAAACTCCAGCTGATGAGCTGAAACAACTCGAGCATGCCCTGGCAGCTGTAATATGGATTATGTCGGATGACGTCGATGCGGCGGACAATGCTCTGCACGAAGAGATGTCCTCCTTCCATTATCTCGGCCGCGGGGTAACTCAGTTTTTGCGATCAGTCTTGGGATTTGAACAGGATGTTATGAAAGAAGCATCCAACAGACTTGCGGCGGCTGAGGCATCATCTTGGGCCGATCTAAAGCGGGCGCAAAAGGACCACAAGTCATACCATTCAAGGCTGTATTCTCCCGGAGCAGAGTATGCATTATGCTACGCAGAATCGCAGATGATGAGCGCAGTGGTTGGCGTGCTGAACGAGAGCTTGACGGAGAGCATTAAAGGGTTTTATAAGCTAAGAAAGGCCTACTTTACGCTGGATTCGATCATACAGGAGGAGGCGGCATTCATGCGCAAACAACGGGGCGAGAAAAGTACTTCAAATGAAGATGCGCCAAGAAGACCGTCTATGCCTGGGAGCTTCGATGAAGGAGAATTTATGGATTTAACGGACTCGAGAGACGTTAGCCAAACGAACCTGGCCACAATAGATGCAGAGTCGGTGAAAAAGACTCCAGACGATAGCGATTTAGAATTTATGGATGCAGATGAATCGAAGGCAGAAATCGAAGCTACGGCGAATTACCTAGGCCACACTATTTCCAATGAGGAATATGAGCTCCGAGCCGCCAATGGTTCAGCAAAGGGCGAAAAGGAAGGTGAGATGCTGCGAACAGCTACAGATATAGCATCATCTCACCATGCCCCTGAAGCCGACTTTTTTGCCAATCCCATGGACCTCTTTATCCACTCTGGCACCAATTTATGCTACGGACTCGTCCTTTTGATTATTTCCATGGTCCCTCCAGCTTTTAACAAGCTCCTTTACATCATAGGCTTCCAAGGTGATCGTGGACGGGGTATAAGGCTCTTATGGCAGGCGACTAAGTTTGACAACATCAATGGCGCTGTCGCTGGGCTTGTACTGCTGAGCTACTACAATGCCGTTGTTGGATTTTGCGATATTGTTCTCACCGATAAGGATGCGAGAGAGGATGATTCCACAGCATTTTCAATGACTAAATGCAACGACCTTATTGAGACCATGAAGTCACGCTACCCAACTTCCCGGTTGTGGCGCCTAGAAGAGGCCAGAAAAGAGGCTACGAACCGCAATTTAAAGGGTGCAATCCAAATTCTCAACAACAACCAAGATAGTAAAACGAAGCAAATTCTGGCATTGAATATGTTCGAAAAAAGTTTGTGTTCTATGAGTCTCCACGAGTTCGAACTTTGCACAGAAAGCTTCGTCGAATGTACGACATTGAACAGCTGGAGCCATCCTTTATATATCTTCGCTGCTGGATCAGCACAAGTGGAACTATACCGGAAACACAGAATTTCTAATCCAGAGCTTGCGAAGAAGCACAAAGACAGGGCCACAGGACTGTTACGGAAGGCTCCAACGTTAACCGGGAAAAAACGCTTCATGGCGAAGCAACTACCATTTGATATTTACGTGGCCCGCAAAGTTCAGAAATGGGAAGAACGTGAGAAGGAATGGAAGGTCGATCTTGTGGACGCCATTGGTGTCAGCCCCCTGGAGGAAATAATCTATTTGTGGAACGGCTACAAGAGGATGCGGTCAGAAGAGCTGCAAGTCTCCCTGCAGACCTTGAAATGGGACAATGCCACTTACCCGGAGAAGTTCAAGGATAATATGGATGAAGTCGGACTTCAATCGTTAATGCATGGGGCTGTTCTGAGATATCTTGGGAAATTCACCGAAGCGCGGCAGCTGCTTACAGAGAATCTCACCAGCCGCGACAAGTAAGCCCACAAGAGTTCTGTTACTGCTCATATTCTAACCTATTGACTAGGAATGTCTTCAAGGGCCACCTCTACGACGACTGGAATTGTCCCTCTTCATATTACGAAATGGCAGTGATATCATGGATGGAAAGAGACCTGCCAGGCACGGATAGCAAAGCTAAGCTAGCGGAGTGCGAGGAATGGCTAAACAAGGTAGCAAAATGGGAGACATCATATGTTTTGGACGCTCGTATTGGGATGAAGGTTACTACCGGATTAGATACGATCAAAAGATGTCGCCCAAGAGTGTAAATTATTGGGACAGGGCTTGGATTGGATACATATGGGTTTGGAGTAGAGAAAAGCATTTATTGGCTAATGCAATGCTTCTTACATATAAACTGATAGAAGAGATTTGGCGTTCTTTGGCGTGGAATAAAAGCAGTTTGAAAGCAGTTTCAGTTGATATTCATCGGTTTGTTCCCACATGCCAACTTACTGTTCTGCGTCGTCGCTTGATACCAAAGTTATAGCCTCGTCGATATGAGGCTGCCGTAGGCCAAATACAGGTTAGCGGCAGTGGCAAGTTCTTTGACAATGTTTTATGTCAGTTTAGTAGTCTTATCACTTCCAGAGTATATGGCGCCATAGCGAATCTTACATTCGAATGCGAACACCTCCCCTGGAGCACCACCAGCATCGCTATACTCGCGCCCAGCCATGTCCCAGATCCCCGCAAGGAACATGAGCAGCCCACCCCCAGAGTCTCCGATCCAGGACCCTTCAAATCTAACAGATTCTGGCGTTATAGTGGATGTCCCACAAGATTCGCGGCCAGAGAGCAGTCAAGAGAACGAAACTAAAACGGATGCGCGTGGTCCCTTCGAATCCGAGAGGGCTGAACCTCGGCACTGTTGGATTTGCCTCCAAGATGAGGGCGACGACTCCCCAGAGCACTCACAATGGCGGTCGCCATGTCCCTGCAATCTCCAAGCCCACGAAGAGTGCCTGCTAGAATGGATAACCGACATCCAGGCACAGCCATCTGGGGGAACGAGTCTGAGCAGGAAGGTGTTATGCCCGCAATGCAAGTCTGAAATCAAGGTGGAAAGGCCAATCGAGCTTATAGTCGCCGTTACGGACCTTGTTTCCGCCATCGGACAACAATTGCTTTTCCCCACTGGGGCAGGCATGCTGCTTGGATGCCTATATTCTGGGTCTATGGTGTATGGGTTCAACGCTATAGAGCTGGTATTCGGTGGGGGGGAGGGGCGTCGGATGCTATTCGCAGCAAGGGAGACTCCGTCATTAATCCGACAGATCCTTCCAGGCGCTGTCATAGACTGGTTCTTTACAGTCCTCAGAATGACGGATCCGTTCGTACCTACTTCGGGTGGTACCTGGGTCTTTGGAGTTGCACCTTTAATTGCCCCTGCGCTTCTCCTATCCCGCACCCACATCGCGGACCGCACATTCTCGATGCTGCCCATAATGGTAAGTGACCTAATATCCATGGATCTTCCCAAGCTGCTGTCGAAAACGATCTAACAAATACCAGTACCTTTTATTCCCTCAAAACCACCATATCCCACACTGGCCGCCATCCCCCGGCCTCGCCCTCGCCACCCTCCCATACATACGCTCTGCCTATAACGAGCTTTACTCCTCCCTTTTTGCGGACCTTGAGAACGGCTGGAACCTCGCTGTTCAGCGTAGACCGCGCGAAGGCGAGACCGCCGAAGACGTCGCTCATGGACAGCACGCCCGCGCGAACGAGGGCAACATTCTAGATTTCGAAGTGGAAATCATCAATGTTGAAGAGGGGCATGGCGCACTAAACCCACAAGACGTCCCGCCACCACATATAAACCTCAACCTGGATGCTCCTGAAGGGCAGCCGCAGAATATAGAAATACCTCTGCACAACCAACCACAGGCTGAGGAACCACAAGGAGAACCGCAACAGGCTGGAGCTCCACAGGAAGGGCAACCGCCACCACCACTGGCAGGTCAACCTGCGCCGCCTAATGGGGTCCCAGCAGCAGGTAACGAGCCCTGGGAGTTTAGACAGAACATATCCACGGCGCAAGTCGCACGCTCTATGATCGGTGCGCTCTTCTTCCCAGCCGTCTCTTCGCTCATGGGCGACTTGATTTTCCGCACTGCACCGTCAACCTGGGTCATGAAGCCGGTGAAGAAATTTAGCTTACAGCAGCAGCAAGCGACGGGGTTGCTGCAGGAGAAGTGGGGCAGGAGCATCGTGGGGGGATGCTTGTTTGTGGTGCTTAAAGATGCACTGACGCTGTACTGTAAGTGGCGCAAGGCGAAGCATCAGGGGAAGAGGAAGGTTCTGGATTATGATAGGAGTAGGAATGGGAATAATGGCAATAATGGGAAGAGGCAAGCTGCGAGATAGCGGTAGCGGCGATTTGCATGATGATTGCATTAATGGGAGTTTGGGGTCATTTCTAGGGAGTTATAGGGTTGGATTCAGAAGTGGCAAACCTATGGGCATACATGCGCCTCAATTATAATATCTCAGGCCCTAGAAGGATTTTATACAGAATACAACAGACATCACCTGCTAAGAGAATATGGGCGAATGTAAATAGTACAAGTCTCTAGGCCTTTCATATAATCAAAGGAGTCACAATCATGAATGAAGACGGCATGTGAGTAGCTTAAATGTGCGGATCAGCTCGCATTCATTCATTAGCAAGTCCTAGTTCCAATATATCAGCCTCGCTAAACAGATACAACAGCCGCATCCGCAGCGTGGAGGTAAGAGTTAACACCAAAGGTAGCAAGTGCAGAAATAGCCGTAGCCCCTGCTTGTCTTGCAATGCACACAAAATGAGAGAGAACGCAAAATCAAAGTTGCCGTACAGGTAAGGATATTAGAACCCCGAGCCTGGCCCTGACATCCCGGACGAGAATCGATTCGAGGGCGTTGCGTTAGCGCTGGTGGCAATCGGGCTGCCTATATCACCAGGTGCACCGACAGGCCGAAGAGAGCCACCCCCTGAGTCGGGTTCGTGCCGAATCAAGACGCGGCCATCTCGCTTGTTCCGTACATCGAAGAATCCACCGCCATTATTTGGGTTGCCTTCTGTCTCGCACAGATCTAGTAGCTCTTTGTCGAATACAATGTCATCGCGAGTTGTGTTGATGCGGTTGATTTGCTCGCGAACAGCATTGATAGGAAAGAAGCCGTCGGGTGTAGAGCCTTCGAGTAGCTTACATGCTCTGCAGAGCATCAGTCGTACGGCAACAGACCGAGGTTGTGACGGCCTTGCCGGTAGTCCGCTGACGTTACCAAACCCACTTGGTGCCGAGTTACCCCAGCCACCCATGAAGCCCGGACCAGGTAGAGATCCCGAACCAAATGGATTGGGAGGTCCACCCCAGGTACCATATGACCCTGGGCTTGAAAATGCTGACGGGTCCATGCTATATGGCTGTCCAAACCCACCCTGTCGACTAAGACTACCAGGCGCTGCACTGGAACGTCGAGTATTAATAGCGATTGGCTCATCCGAGTCATCTAGTAATGCACTGCTTCCAAGGTGGCCTGCTAGGTCATCGATATCGGCGTCAGAACGCTGGCCTTGAACCACGCTTCCAGGGCGACCAATAGGGGCAGGTCGCGCAATAGGTTGGCCCGCAGCGGGTGGTGCATTAGAATCTGACAACGGTTTGTCAAACGACCCTGACTTTTGTCTGCTGTGCAGCTGGGATGGCCCAGGTTCTTTGTGGCCGCCAAATGGTTGCGATAGAGGCCCCATTCCGTTCGACATCTGTGACATGAATCCCGGCGGAGGAGCGTGTGGGCCAGGTAATCCCCTGCCTTGTGGCATAGGCATGTTGCTCATTCCAGGGTACATAGGCCCGGCATTGTGACCAGACATTGGACGAAATTGGTTTCCAAATGACTGGTGTGGAAACATCGGTTCTTGATGCATCCTACCACCAAACCCTGGAGCCATTTGGGGCAAACCGGGTTGGAATCCATTCATACCCATAGGTGGTTGCATTCCTGGAAATGGCGGAGGCCCAAACCCCAATTGAGGTCCCTTTAGAGTAGAATGCATTGGTGCATTTGCTTGAGGGTGATGTAGGAATGGCTGAGATGGAGTCCTACTAGGAAGAACCTGGGGGCCTGGGCTGTTCCGTAAAGGAGTTGAAGAATTCGGAGAAGTGCTCTGACTCCCTGAGGAACCAAACCGTGGCGTATGGGGTATTGGCACTGCCGGTTCTCTTTGAGGTAGGTTCACTGGACGGTTAGGCGTTGGACCTTTAGGAATTGCAGGCGTAACAACAGGAATATGGGGGTTGCTTGGCGTCTGCCATGATTGGTGTCCTCCAGGGGTGGGAATGGAAATAGGCTGCTGTTGGCGTTTATTTTGCTGTTGGGCGGCCTCTTCGCGCTTACGGTTGTCGCCCGCCTCCTTATCTGCCTTGGCCTTCAATTCAGCTTCTTTCCTTTCTTTCTCTTGCTTCTCCTTCTTCTCTCGTAGCTCCTTCTCCTTGGCTTCCTTGGCCTCTTTCTCTTTTTGCCTTAGCCCTTCCTTCTCCTTTTTCTCGCGCTCCTTGGTTTCTCGTGCCTTGCGTTCTTGCTCAGCCTGCCGTTCTCGCTGCTCTTGAACCCGGCGTTGTTTCTCTGCTTCCTTTCTTAACCGCTCTTCGTCTTCGGCCTTCTTCTGAGCTTCACGTTTCCTACGTTTCTCCTCAGCTCTCAGCCGAGCTTCCTCAGCCTTCGCAGCTTCCTCGGCTAGTCGTGCAGCTTCTTCGGCAGCTTTCTCGGCATCTCGTCTGGCTTTCTCCTCGGCAAGGACCAGCTTCTTTTGCGCAGCTTTCTCCTTTTTCTTCTGGGCCTCCTTAGCTTTCTTTGCCTTCTTCTGCATAATGGCCATGTCTTCCTCATCGAGCTCCTGTAGAAGCTTTTCTTGGCGTTCGGCGGCAACCTTCTCTTTATAAGCTGTGAGTACCCGCTGCTCGAACATTCTAGCCGCAAATATTTGGAACATCCTCCGCCCTTCCTCCATACGTTGTTCTTCCGTCATGGCATCCTGGGCTGGATTAGCCGAATTCAAAGCATCATCGGTGTGAGAGGGTACCATTTCCTCTTCGTCGTACTCCCCATCCTGGCTATCATACTCATCCTCCTCCTCCTCGTCATCATAATCCTCATCTTCCTCAGGGGCCGGTGGGTGGTTATGATGTGAGTGTTGTGTATGAGTTTGCATCCCATTCGGATGCGGGTAACCGTTCGGGGTATAATGTTCTTTAGCATCTTCCTCTCGCGCCATCCTCCGCTCAGCTAACTGTTCCATCATCTCAATGAATTTCTTGCCGTCGTTTTTCAGAAGATCATCTGCAACTGTGAGTATACCACCTAGAAATCGCATTAGCATAATGGAGAGTAGTTCACGCATATATATATAGTTACCTTGCACCGTGAGACTCTGCCCAAAGTTGAAGAAATCGGTTGCGTGGCTCCTTGCAATCTCTTCCGGAGGGTCCTCGTCGCTAATATAATCTTCTTCCTCTGCTTCATCCTCACTGTATTCCTCGTCTCCTTCATCATCTTCTTCATCGTCTCCAAATTGCTCTACTATTCGGCCACGAGAAGGCTGTCGACCATTAAAAGCCGGGGGTAATCGATTTGGTGGTTGAAGGCCACTTAGAGCGCCAAAGCGCTGTGATCCAGGCATCATTGGCGGTGGTCGGTCCCCGTGCTGGTTATTCGCGTATTGTTCCAATTCCTCATAGTATGCGTCATACAGAACTTCCAGCTCTTCTTCAATAGCTATGCGTTTACGCCCGCATACTGTGCAACTACACGAATGCTTCTGCTGCTCCTTCATCTTTTTAAGCACGGCATCTTTCTCCACTTTGACGAGGGACCTGCGCTCTTCCTCTCCAAGAGAAAGCCAAAAGACCTTGATCCTTTCACGTTCTTCTTGCGAAGATGTGTTCCAAATCTTTTCCTTCGACATGCCAACTGCTTGAGAGGGTGCGGCCGCTGTTGCCAGGGCGGTCTGGTCGGACTGAGCACTTTTGCCTTTTCCCTTCCTCTTCCCCGGCTTGGCAGTCATATTTGTAGGCGGTGGAGATAAACTATGCGGCGGAGACACGCTGTGCTCATATGACCCGGAGTATCCATCTCCCTCGTCATCGCTATAGTATACCCGGTCGCTTGTCGTATTTTCGAATGCCTGGTCTCCCTGGTATCCGGGGCTGGGCCTTGATTGAGCATCGCCCGCTCGACTTAAAGCCTCTGCTTCTGCTGCTATTTTTGCGGCCTGTTCTGCTAGTTTTTGCCTTCGTTTCTGTTTCTTCTTATTTACAGTTGGCGCACTAGCCTGGTCTGCGGGCGATGGGTTTATTGCTTCTGCGTTTGCCTTCGCTGTGGCTTGCGCCATGTTTGGGGATGTCTCAGACGAATCGGTTGAGTTGGAGAATTTTGGTATGGTTATGAACTTGGAATCATCCTTGTTTGTATATTTCGAAGTCGTGGTTACTGCGTCTATGCCAGGCGATTGAGCAGGTTGCTGTTTTGAGTTCGTTCGCATTCCGCGTCCCCAAGGAGCTTGGAAACAACCAACGGAAGGGGGTGCTCACGTCTGTTGGCTGGCGCGTGACGATGTCAGTAACTAGATGCTCGGCCTGGATGTTTGGGAATTGCTGCCAAAGACTAAACTAGTATTGGTTCCGTCGGACGTACCTGCGATATGGATGAGTAGGTGGCAACCCGCGACTTGCCCCTCCAAGTCGGCAAGACCAGCTTCTCCAGAGAATCAACGAAAGTCGAGATATGCCGCGGTGTGTCTGGGAGGTTGTGATAAGGCGGCAGGCAAATGTTTGAAAGAGTACGGAGCTCTGTCCGGCTTGCCCAGAAACGGTGGGGAAATGCAGGTCCTGGAGATCGTGACTGGCATTGGTATGGATTTGAAGGTCAAAGATGGCTTTGTGCCTCAGGCATAAAGCAACGTCAAGCCACAAGTGGCTAGCCTCGTCTCCTTGTTGACAACGGCAAGGAAATAAAAGGAAGCATTTATAATAAACTACAAAAACAAATATAATTATTCGAAAAGGTAATAAAGCCCATTATATCTAATTCTTAATTAAGAGACAAATTTCCTGTGACGCATCAGACAGCGCCTTTGTTGGCGACATTGACACGTGGTAGCTTTATCATATCTGGACTGGAATAGAAACCTCTCTGCCAACGCTAATGAAACATTATCTCGGAGCATCTAAGTCTCTATAAACACGTATAAATAGGTTTCAAGTTCTCTATATTATTTAAATGGTGCTGATTCTCGTCAAATCTTAGTCTCTCGACAACGAAGCGCCTATATTCCTTTTTTCACTCTATGTGCCTGCTTCTAGTAATATTTACGTAATCTGATCCAATATCATCGTATTAAAGTAGCCCTTCACAGAGTAAAAAATTCTCTCTCAATTTATCTAGTTTGAATTCTCAATGAGATTCCAGTATATATCAGGATCAGTTTAGCCTAGCCGTCGTTGTTGAAATCCCTAACTGGCCCGTGCACACACTTTTCAGGCCGTAATTTAGTGAACGGCAAACCCCTGGACCCAGATATGGCGCCTAGGCGGCCGCAGAAGGGAAACTCAGGGCGTTAGATATCAAAATCTACACTAACGCTATGATGGTACCATTCCAAAACTCAGAGTGAGATTTGACTGTAATAATGCCAAAATGAATGTTACAGAACTGGCTCTCACAAAAACTACGAGATAAGTGTTGAGAGGCTCGAAATCATACTCAGCCACTATCAGCTACCGTCAGCCACGCTGTGGAACGTGGCGGCTGTAAGATACGTAGGTACCTGTAAGTAGGGTGTTTGGCGTTGTGGTTCAGCCGACTAACCACTTTTGGTAAGATGGGGGTTGGAGCGACCCGCGCGTCAACGGTGGTCAACCCAATCTGTATCGGGGCGCTTCGAGCGATTAGAGTTGCACATCTCAGCTTACTATACAAGCACAGAAACAACGGAGTACGGTTCCCGTCCTAGCAACATTTTTCAAGTTGCCATTTTTCACAAGTATTTAGGTTATTAATTGCGTTTAATTCCTTCTAGCCGTATATTTCTTTTGCTCCGGCGAGGCTGATCACCCCATACGACTGGCAACCGACAACATCATCCGACACTATCGACAAGTCTCCCTGCTGGTGAACTTTTACTTCCACCACCCTACAAGTGCAAACCACGACCATCTTCAAACAACCAACCAGCATAACCAATCTGTATTTCCATACAGGCCCGGGAATTGAAAGAGGAGCATAGCCAGCTTATTCCTCTCCAACGGGAGAAGTTAACTCCGGCACGATGGAAGAGCACCCACAAGTTCAGAATGTGATGCGTAGGTGAGCACATCATCTACAATTTTCTTCCATGTAGTTACCACCAGCAAAACCACTGCTCCCGTCGACTCTATCAACCCCCCACCTTGTGGGCTCACCAGAACACAGCCGGGCATTCTGGGTCCGACATTTGCTGACAGCGTGGCTCTAGGAAGCTGGTTATTATAGGCGATGGTGCATGTGGAAAGACAAGTCTGTTAAGCGTCTTCACATTGGGGTACTTTCCCACAGTAAGCAGACCTGAAACTGAGCAACACACCTGGACAGTTACTAATGGCATTCTCTAGCATTATGTGAGCTACCACCACCATCGAACGACATAAACAACTACTCGGGTTGTTCGAATTCATACTGATATCAGATATACAGGTTCCCACGGTGTTTGAGAACTACGTGACAGACTGCAGAGTGGATGGGAAGTCGGTACAATTAGCATTGTGGGATACTGCAGGACAGGAAGACTACGAGCGGCTTCGACCCCTTGCATATTCCAAGGCACATGTTATCCTGATAGGCTTTGCAATCGACACCCCAGATTCTCTTGATAACGTGAAGCACAAGGTAAGCAGCTATATTTCCGGTATATTTCCGCCTCCGGACGAGAAAGGCTGACAGTGCTATCAGTGGGTTGAAGAGGCAAATGAGCGATGCCCTGGTGTCCCGATTATACTGGTGGGCCTGAAGAAGGATCTTCGAGAAGACCCCGTCGCAATCGAGGAAATGCGGAAGAAATCGCAGAACTTTGTCGGGACCAGGCTGGCCACAGATGTCGCACATGAAATCGGGGCGAGGAAGTACCTAGAGTGTTCGTCTCTGACTGGTGAGGGGGTTGACGATGTGTTTGAGGCAGCTACTCGGGCGGCGCTGCTCACGTTTGAGGGTAAGAAGACGAACGGGTGCTGCGTTATTCTATGAGAAGTGCCGTGGACGTCGATAATGAACAGGATGGCACCCAAGCTAGGGTTGGCACAGTGTTGCTGCGCTCGCGACAAGAGGTCCGGGGCAGTGCCGGCGATATTGCAGTTTTCATGAGCAAAATATGGGCTTGGATGTGGGCCTCGTTCACACAAGAACGCCATTTCTAATGTCGGCATGGGATGGTGTTACTATACCTTGGCTCAACGCCCTTAATGACTTACGAGTCGATTCACTCTTTACTTCCCTTACATAGCCAGATTTCGGCGTTGTTCTGGAGCCACACTTGGTAGCGATGGATGAGCAAAAATGTACATAGGATGGAAGCGAATTTTACAAGATGTTATACTGAGCGCCCATTGGGATATCCCCTCGACTCCTCGTCTATATACCCCTCAAACATCTCCATCTCATTTCGTACAATATCTCCCACATTCGCTGAACCCTGTCCCTCCTAGCAGTTCTATAGCACCCCCCTTTGACCTATCCATGCCTTCCTCTTAACGGGTCCACGAGTGGTCCCACGGCTCCCTCCCTGGTGTATCCGTCTGCGCACGCGCATACTCAATCGGCACTCCATTCGGGCCAAAGATACCCTTCTTCTCCAAAGCGATTCTGTACAAGCGTCCGGTATTCTTGTCGCCCGGCCCCTGCAACGCCCGCAGCTCCTCGCAGGCATTGTGCATGCTCTTGTACATCCTAAGAAGCCACCATTAGCAACCATCCTCTCTCTGTCAAGCTACCGGGGAGCAAGGAATTGCCATACCTCTGCAGCTCCAGCTCCTCCTCCGACATCTTCTGCCGCCTAAACAGCATCCACGCGCGATGAATCGTCCAGTGTCGCAGACTCCTCATGCGGCTCAGACGCAGGGGTCGCGGCGTCTTCGAGTGCTGGAGATGGTAGCGGATCAATTGCACTCTGGGATCTGGCTTGACGTCCTTCCCGCGGTTCTTTGGGTTCATGGTGCCGCCCGAGGCGAGGTTTGCGGGTGTGGTCGAGAGGGAGCGGACAGGGAGGGCGGTGGTTGAGGGGGCGGCGGTGCGGCGGACGGTTTGGAGGAGGGGAGTGAGGAGGCGGAAGAGGGGTGAGACATTGTTGGAGGCCATGATGGCGGTTGGGCGTGGTGAGGTCGTGGGTGGGTGAGGTTGGGGATGGATTGGGGGTTCCTGAGTTGCGATGGAGTTAAATTCGGTTGCTGGATCCATGAATTATTTTGTGCACGGCGGATACCACGTGACGACATAATTATGAATGCCAGTTGGCTATCAACATCTGATCGATATCAATCGAAGGAATAACACAAAACAAACACAACATATCTGTACAAAATGATTAGTAACGGCGCTGTTCCTGGTACTTTGCACCATTATGTACGTCTTCAACGTGGCAATTCGCACCTTAATCCCTTCAACAACACAAATTGCCCAACTGGTATCAGATTAGCTAACAGGAATAGGCTGGCAAACTCGTAGCTTTCGAGCTTACAGCCACCGAGAAAGAAGAACCGCGCCAGAATATCCTATTCTTTATTGGAGGGCTAGGTGATGGTTTGCTCACCGTCTCATACGCGGCACAGCTTGCCAGCCAACTCCCACCCACCTGGTCTCTAGTGCAAGTCCATCTATCCTCATCCCACATCGGCTGGGGAAAGTCATCGCTAGGAAAGGACGTCGATGAGCTATCACAATGTGTTGATTACTTTCGTAACATAGCGGGGAGGTCTGGCAAGATTGTCTTCATGGGCCACTCTACCGGGTGCCAGGATGTAATGCATTACCTGGTGGGCCTCGGACAAGAGAGTCGCGCACCTATAGACGGAGGGATTATGCAGGCCTCTGTCAGTGATAGGCAGGCTATGGAGGGGCAGCTTGATGAAGGGCAGCGATCTAACACGAACAAAATCGCCGCGGAATGGGTTGCCGCGGGTAGGGGAGAGGATGTTCTATCCTCCGCGGCTACACATGGCTTCTTTGATGCTCCAATCTGTGCGAGACGGTGGTTAAGCCTGGCCAGCCCGAATCATGATGGGGAGGATGATTATTTCAGCTCAGATTTGACTGATGAGCAGTACCAAAGATCGTTTGGGAGCTTGCCGAAGGGAAGTAAGCTCTGTATCCTGTACTCTGGGAAGGATGAGTATGTGCCTGAGCATGTGGATAAGAAAGCGCTGGTTGAGAAATGGATTGGGTTTGTGAAAAAGGGTTCTGGTGAGGTGGATGAGAAGAATTCTGGCGTTGTGGAAGGGGCAACCCATGACTTGAAAAACAACCCAGAGGAGGTCATTAATGGCGTCTTCTCGAGAGTCGTTAGCTTTGTATCAGATCTATAGAAGTAGAAAAATCAATGAGACCAATCGATATTATAATTTAGAATGGTTGCTGTTGAGAATTAATGTGAAAGGTTGTAACTCGGCACCATATATAGCTCTGTCGCGTGCATAAAATCGTCTACAAGTGTCATAAATCGCGCCAATGCAGGTGAGGTATAGTCCGATTCGGTACTCCGAACCTCAACTTCCACCTTCAAAGACAACATACAATCAGACCAGGATGGCGACTCCACCAAGATCTTCCGTCGGAGAACGGCAAGAAAGGCCCATATCCAGCGGTAGAGGTACGATGACCCTCGATAGCCCATCCCGCCTGCCCATTCCCTCTCAAGCTCAAACCAATATCACGTGACATATCGACGTCCACTCTCACTTCACAAGCTGATGAGAAGCAGCCCAGATGCCGCGTCGGTCAACTAGAGGTCTCGTAGATCTATCGCAGTAAGTCCCCATCTCTCTCTTTCCGCGCAAAGCTAACCCCTCCAGGGCACCCGTCTCCGGTCCCCTCGGCTCCTCCTCACCCACCCTCTCTAACTCCCAAACTCTCTCACCCACCCACTCCCAGCGCTCACCCAACCCCTCCTCGCGCCCGACCTCCTCCCCCGCCTTCCCCGCAAAAGACTTCTCCCGCCTCCTCCGCCCCGAACTCTACCACCCTCTCCCCACAACCGACATCCCGGCGCCCTTGCGCCCCTCCTCCTCTCCCCCACAGGACCTCCCCACCCTCCTCTCCACCTCCCGCTTCCGCGCCGCCGCCGTCCTCGCTGCAAACCTCCTCACCACCGCCACTGCCCCAACGGACCACCCCACTATCTTCGCCCTCCTTTACGTCCGCCTCGCTTCACTAACACTCTGCAACGCCACGGCGCTCGCCGCACAGGAAGTCAAAGCCGTCGAAGACCTCAACTCGGCGCTGTACCTCGATCCGCTCACCTCCGCGCACCTCGTGCCCTGGGAACTCCGCGTCCTAGCCGTGCGACTCCAGGGCATCGGATTCAACGATCCTCGCCGCGGAGTAGTAGGGTACTTCGAGCTAGCGCGAGATGCGCGGCGCGCGCTTGCCGCGCTGCGAAAGGCCATCGCTGAAGACCCCGAGAGCGGGGACGCGACGCTGGTAGAGCGACAGATGTGGGAGGAGCGTCTTGTTGATCTCGGGGTGCGTGTTGCGGGGGCCTTGGTGGAGATGGAGGATTTGGAGGGGGCGGCGATGCATTTGAGGACGCTGGGGGAGGGGGGGGTAGGATGGTTGTGGCGAGGAGGGCGTTGTTGTGGTTGCGGTTGGGGGATGTGGAGGCGGCGAGGGGGTGTGTGGGGGGGAGGGAGGAGGCGGATGGGGTGGTGCTTGCGTTGGGGGAGATGGCGGATGGGAAGTATGAGGATGCGGCGACGATTTGGGAGCAGCTTGCTGAGAGGGATAGGGGGAATGAGATGTATGCGCAGAATCTGGCTGTGTGCATGTTGTACTCGGGGCAGATTGATGAGGTACGTTGTTGGCTCTTTTCGTTGGCTGGTGAATTGGGTGGCGTGATGGTTTTGCTAACGGCGTATAGGCAAAATATATGCTTGAGGATCTGTTGGACAAGGGGAAGAGCTTCCACGCGCTCACTTTTAACCTGAGCACGATTTATGAGCTGTGTACCGATCGCTCGAGACAGTTAAAGCTGCAGCTCGTGGAGAAAGTGGCGGCTATGCCAGAGGCTGATAGGGCTGGGTGGGAAAAAACCAATGCCGATTTCAAGTTGTAGATACATACATAGTCTACGATACTTCGCTCAAAACCTCAGGCTCTGTTTTATTTACTGTCTTTTTTGCTCCCGCAAAGCTTTTGACAGCAATGACCCGCGGCCCCGAATTAATACTATACATTGCAGAGCGGGTCACCGAACCAGGGTTCTTTGTAGCACTTCGAAAACCTGTATATAAGGAGTAGTTAGCATTCAACCAGTCAATCCATCGGTGGTAAACATATGGAACCATAGGCTGTCAAGGATGGAGCTGCCTGCATTCACATCTACCAACTTACCAACTCGCGCTCCACCAACCCTCAACCCCACGAAGCCACACTCAGCAAGATTCTCACCGGAGCCCGAAACCGGTGACAAGAACGCTGCAGTGACGGCAAACAGCCGCGACAAGAAGAATACACGACAACAAGAATTCGAACACCGAAAATAGGCATCAGAATCGAAAAGGGGAAGCAGGTAAGCAAAGCTAGCAGAAAGAAAAACTTACTAGGCCATGGTGCAGACCCGCATCCCGTGTGTTCTTGCGCTTGACTGCGGCTCTCTTGCTGTTGAATAGCTGGACAGACTCATGAACCTTAATTTATACCCATGAATATGGGTTGAGCGGCTCTTGAAGGCAGAAATAGCGGGGTACTGAGTGGCAATAGCATCACCAACAGCATGGCGAAGGATTATAGGAGAACAAAATGATACAGAGAAAACCGGCAGCGAGACACCACAGAACCAACCCTACCCCCCAACCCACACACACATCATCGTGCTAGCTAGAACATATAAAGCAAATATTTGTATTCCTAGATCTAGTAATCTCCTAGCCGAAGTATGTGTTCATAAAGTATAGCCGGGTATATGCAAGCAAACCCATAAACCTCGCTGCCCCTCCCCATCTTGTAAATGTATGTCTGTCTATAATTACCACAGCAATAGTCCCCCCAGTTCGCCCCCAACATAAAAAATCATCGCCGCCAGCAACGATCCAGCATCATAATATATTACCCCCTCCCCCTTCTCTCACCCATTATTGGCATGTCCTTGCGGCCAGTCATTAGGTTCTACTGGGCCACTCACTTCAACAAACTCTCATCCCCATCCAAAATCCGATACGCAATCTCCAACCTCTTCCTCCACACCCTATTCTCGGCACTAGTCCTCCTCGTCTCCTGCAACCCCACCACACACTTCCCCACATTCGCCACCAGCCGCTCTACCAAAATCTGATCATCGCGGTGCAACATCGACACCGGAGATGGCTGCGCCGCCCTCTCTTCGCCGCCATTCAGCATCCCCGTCGTGAGCGCCATCCCGAGGAGCTCACCCGGATTAGACGCAGGAGAAGAGGGGTAGCTAGAGGGCGTGGAGGTACCGCTCGCGTTCCTGGGTCTGTTGATGAGGGGGAAGAAGCGCGTGGTGCTGGAGGAGGAGGTGAAGGAGGAGATGGAGGGGCGCTGGATGGCGACGGGTTGGATGACGCCGGATTTGATTACTGAGCCGCGGCGGGATTCCTGTCCCGCATCTCCCGCCTCGTTGTCAGGTGTGGTGGGCAAGGCTTTTGATGTGTCAACCCCGTGGATCTGCTGAGAGCGGCGCACATGCTGGACGGCGAAATTGTAGTATTCAGTCTGCAGATCCACCTCCGTATGTCTTGATTTCGCAGTCGCGAATGTAGCCATCGTGCTCACGGTATCAATACTCTTATGCCTCGTATGCCCCACAACCGCGTGTTTTAATTCATCTTTGTAAGTCCCAGTAGCAGGAGCATCAACGCCGCGCGTGGTTTCGACGGAGTCCTCGGAGCCGTAGCTGTCGGTGCTGCCGCGTCGGCCGTATTTTTGTTGTGACATGGTGCCCATGGCACTGTGGAGGAAGAAGTGCTCGTAGTCAAAGGCGTCTTCGCGGTCTTCGTGGGAGAGGGGGACTTGGGAGGTGTCGTGGTAGAGGGAGGCGACGTCGCTGGAGGCGTCGTCGTATTCTTCGCCGTCGACGGATTCGTCCTGGTCTTCATCGTCGACGGGTTGCTCTTCATCGAGCTCTCTGTCCTCGACGTGCTCCTGAAGGCTATCTTGCTCAAGGTCGTCATCCTGAAGATCGTTTTGCTGATGGTTATTTTCCGCGAGGGCATTTTCAAACTCGGCGGGTTCTTCGGAAGCCTCATGGTCATTACCCTGTTCCTCTTCTCCAAACGAGTCAACAACATTCCCATATTCCTCTTGGTCCTGGTGTTCCTCAAAGTCTTGGTAGATACTCGTCGTTTCCGACTCCTGGTAATCCTCCACATCTTCCGCCGCGTCCTCAGTAACGTGATCAAGCGTATTATTAACTTGCTTCTGCTGGATTTCCTGCTCTGTTGACGTCGTGTACCACTGTTCGGCCGCTGTAAATGGACTCAGGGTACGGAGGCTCTGCACGCTACGCCTCTTCATATTCTCTTCCTTCGCTCGGTCCCTCAGTGTCGATATCTTGCCTTTTAGGTCCTTCATTTTGACCGACAGGTCTCGCATCTGCATTGACGAAGCCGAGCGCGTTAGGGCACGTGGATCGATCTCGTGCCAGGAATGGGGCTCGGCAGTGCTGGATCGGATGAATCTGTCAACTTCAAGAGGTGACGGGAAGGGGTGATCGCCATCGCTCCCCGTTTCCATGATAACTATCCCAGATACTGGGTCTAAGTGCTCATTTAAAGATAACCGGCGGCTCTCTTGAGCAGCAGTCTGAGATCTATAAGAATCCTGCCGTTGCGGTCCTTCCGACTGTGGTGACGCGATTGGTGGCAGGGATTGCCTTGAGACGAGGGTCGGCCTTGAGATGACGGTCGTTTTTTGAATATTATTATTAGGAGATAGGGGAAGCGAATTCTCGCTACCGACTCTTGCGTGAGCCGGGCCGTTGGGGCCCAGGTTGGGGTGATTCAGTTGTCGGTGTCTGGCGGGAGGCAGGCCCATCTGAGAGATTATGCGCGGCTCCGGAGGGGAGGGTGTCAATCTTGATAGCGGGCTGCTGCTATGTATTGACGACATCGAGGACGAGGGGCTGATATATAGGGAGCTCCGCGCACGACTGAGATTCCCCTCCATGTTCTAGAATAACTCGGTCAGTGCGCGTTCCCGGACAAATCTATTCTGTCAGTACTCACATCAAGCCGCTGTTTGGCGTTTGACAAGATCATCTCTGCCCTCTTGCTCAGCGCCGCACTGCTCAATTCCTCGTCCTCCTTCTCCCTCCTCGCGTCTACGGTCCTAGCATCCGTTCTATACATAGTTTTCACCTCGGCCAACATTGCCTGTCCGTAGGTTTCGCCCACGACACTCTCCTCATCATCGCCCTGGAAGGCGCTCTCATCCACGCTAACAGTATCATCGAAATCCCCAAACGGCTCGCCCGCCGGAGCCTCAGTCGTCACGGTACTCGTACTCTCCATACTGGCGCTGCGCTGGTGAGCCGGCACTTTCGACCGCTTCACCGTACTCTGGTATCCCATCGTTGGCGACGACTTCACTGGTGAATCATCGCCCCTTGCGAGCCGGTCCCGCATGCGTCGCACGCCTACCCCAGGTGTGCTCTCCGCCTCCGTCACCTCGCCGATATCAGATAACATTGTGCCGTTCCCATATATAATCGGTGTGATAGGCGTCATAGGCACGGCGACCATGCTATTGTCTCCGTACGCCAGGGGCTGCGCAAAGTCCATGTCCTGTGATCGGCCCTTCCACACGGCCGAACGCGGCGGGGAGGGGGTGGAGTCGTAGTCGCCGTAGGGCAGGATCATGTCCGGGTTCGTGAGGGTCGGGGAGGCGGGAAGGGAGGGGTAGGCCATTGTCGCTGTCGTTGTCGGTGCCCCCTGATGCATCTTGCCGTTGAGTGAGACACAAGCCGGGAGGGAGGGAACAGTTCTATGTGAGTTGCCGTATGCGACGGCCCGCTAGATATGGTTTATATGGCCCGCTTCGAGAAGCGGTTCGGTGGCACGGTAGGGGATGGCGGTATGGGGAACTTGCGGGGATTGAAGACCAATTTGTCCAAGACCAATTGTCCACCCACCCGCGATCGCAACGTTGATGTCGAGGCGGTAGTCGTGGTCGAAGTGGCTCGTCTAGTCCAATCGCATGGTCGTCGGTAGAGCGCGTGAAAGTGGAATGTTGTATGTCTAGAGCGCCATGTGAAGCATGTCCGTTGGCGTGAAGGCGCGTGATCGTGTGAAAGGGTTTGACGACGACGACGGCGATGGCGATGGCAATGGGAGGAATTAGCGGCCGTTGTAAGGGATGGATGGCATTTTCAGTGGAGGCGGCCGGCAATCAACTGCCCTCTCATTCGCTGACAATCCCTGTTTGAAGCCCCTTGGCGGGACTTTTTAATCCCAATTTGACCGATTTACTGCGAAGTTACAGTACTTTCTGCGTTTAAGGGAAAGGCACATGCAGGTCATTCGTCGCATAAACTTACTCGTGTATGTGTACAATTAATCTGCAGTACTATAGAGATAATGCCGTAGCATGGAGGTCGAAATTGAGATTGAGATATTCCCTAGTTCCATCTGAATATTATAATTTCTCGACGGCACGGTTACGCGGTTATGCGGCGGTTACTGTAGGCGCACTTTTGGTACAAGCCGAGACCCGCGCGTTGCCCCAAAAGTCTCTCGAGATGGACCCTGTACGTTTCAGTCACCGGCATCGCGGAAACGGAAAAGGCGCTCCCGAGCTTCTTCCCTTCTTCCCCACATTCCCGTTTCGCTCGTCGCTCAGCGACGGTCACTCGGCGAAGCGTTTTGGCGGCGCTTGCTCGAAAACTCCGCTTACATCGGATTACACCTGTCAAAACCAAATGCAACTCCTCATTCCCAATAATCATAATAGATAACTTACCCGTAGTCCATCCCTTAACTCCCCTCAAACCAAACCCAATTCCATCCCCATCCAAATCAATCCCTCACCACACCCCGACGACCCCCCACAACCCCGCACCATCACCATGTCGTCCACCACCTTCCACATCGAAGAGTGCACCCCCGCCGACGTCGCCTCCCTCGTGCACGTCTACCTCTCCGCCTTCACCCCCGAACCGAATCACATCGCCTGTTTCCCCAACACCACCTGTTCCTGGTCCTCCCAATCCGCCTGGCTCACCAACCGCTTCGGGAAGCGACTCAACCACCCCGGGCCAGGAGAGCGGCATTTCAAAGTGATCGAGACGGCGAGTGGTCACATGGCGAGTTTCGCTCGGTGGGAGTTCCCGCACACTCCTGCGCCGGACGAGGCTACCGAGGCGGATGTAGAGGAGGGGGGAAACATGGATGCGGATTCCCTGCCCGAGGGCGCGAATGTGGCGGCGTGTTGGGAGATGTTTGGCGGGCTGGATCGGATGCAGAAGAAGTGGGTGGTGGAGGAGGAGATGTATTTGATGGGGTTGTTGGCGACCGGTCCGGAGTTTCAGGGGAGGGGGTGCGGGACGATGTTGTTGAGGTATGGGTTGGAGATGGCGGATCGCGAGGGGAGGAAGGCTTATATCGAGGCGACGCCCGCGGGGTTGCCGTTGTATAAGAAGTTGGGGTGGGTGGTGGTGGATGAGACGGAGATTGTGAATGCGAGTAGGGAGACGCCGGAGGACGAGAGGAGGTGGATTAATTGGATTATGATTAGGGAGCCGGTGGCTAAGGCTTGATTACAGAGCCCCGCGGCGGGGAGAGCATTATTAAATTAGAGTCTCGGCCTATCCTAATTATTCAACTCCTCAGCAAACTCGCTCCTCGGGCGGTCTCCACGGTACTCCAAGCTCGGCGAATATCTTCTTCTCATCCGCCCCCTCCACTAGTTCTCCTTCATTAAGCTTCACCCTCCCAGGCCCTCTCATTACATCTTTATACAACCCCCTCTGGTTCAATCTCATACCACGCTTCGAAGCCAAAAGCCGAATACTCCTATTAAAGATGTCATTCCCCGTAAAGTACAACAACGCAGCCCCGAGCTCCGACGCCGGCGCAAGATGGAAGTCAATCCGCCGCCAAATCGGCGGCCCCTGCCCCGGCAAGACGCAACAGCCATGCCACTTCGAGCTGGATTCTGTCCGTCCGACAGAGAGAGGCGCCACAAGCATCCCCGAGGCCCGAAGTTGCGACACGAGCTTATAGAGAAGGGGCGTCAGCTCAGAGCAGGCCGAGGTGCCTGACTTAGTCAGGAGGACGTCGATGTCTCCGCAGCTCTCCGCGCCACGGCGATAGCTACCTGCGACGATGGCCTCGATACCTCTATCAATACCCCTCGCAGTATCCGCGACGATCTTAGCCAGGGCGCTGACTTCTGCTCGCGGTATTCGAGTCTGAAAATCTTGATAATGATCAATGCCCAGCCGTTGGTTGTCAGTCAAGCTGGCGTGGGCCAGGAGATCCTCGAGGGTGGTGTAGCCCTGTTGTAGCCACGTTGTTGCTTGCGCTATTCCGACGCCATAGATTCCGAGGAAGAGCTGGAGTATCATGTCGTTGCGATCTGACTTGGTATTGTCCAGACGTCGAAGCTTGTCCGTGTGGACGATCTCCTCGATCTTATCCGCAATCCGCTGTCCTATCGCTGGTAACTTGACAGCTTCTCCTGCGGTTGAGATGAGCTTATTTTGCTTCTTGAGAGTCGTTATAGCCTTCCTATATCCTATTGGGCGCCACGTATCATCCATCCGTGTATAGTAGGCGGCCATTTCTTGGAGAATGGATATGGTTCGCGCGTTAGGATTCGAGGAAGTGGCATCTAAGGTGCCACCTTTCATGCAGCTAAAGCCTTCTTGGTTGAAGTTGGACCTCCGAGTAATATGCTTTCGTTTGGTTTTCGGTGATCCGTTGTCATCAGAGCTGTCGCCCCCGTGACGGGGCGAGCCTGTCGGGGACTGGTCCTCATCATCATCCAAGGGTAGATGCTGCACTTTGAGAGCGCCTTTGATAATCTCATCAAGGTCATCATCTGCCCTAGTACTCTCTTCCACACTTTGTGGGGACTCGACAACAGGTCCTGCACTTGGAGCTTCTGTTGTGTCTTCATCGCCAATCGTTCCATAGACGGCTGCCTCTGCGTGCTCTGGGCTCTTCGCCATATCATCAGTTTCTCCCGCTGTAGGTGGTACGGATTGTCTATCCCCTCCATTCTGGCTTCTGTCCGGTGTAGCTTTCGGAGGTACATAGCTCCATCTTCTCGGCTTTGGCCTCACAGTTTTGAGTTCCAGAGACTGATGAGAGACCGGCGAAGAGGGTGGCTGTGCCGAAGTTCCCGCCGCAGAATCTTTTGTCGTTGACTCATATCCCTTCAGTAAATACTGTTTCTGATTCGGGTTCAAAATAGCCTTGAACTGTATGCAGTCCAACGGGTATAGTTCATTGACGAGTATGATGTGGTCCGGAATGGATGAGGTTTTGAGGAACGAGGTGATATCCGCATATGAAAGGTGCTTATCAGCGATGATATGCGTAACAGTCTCGGTCCATTCTGTAGCCCAGGTAGCGCCATATTCCCTGGCCTTCACGATCCGTGCCCTGCGCACTGGGGCGATGTCATCAGGAGGGACGTAAAAGAATACCAAGTCCTTGAAGATGCGATGCTGTTCCGGAACAAGCTTTATGCTCGGCTCTTTGCGCTTTCGCTTTCCGAGGGCTGTCGAGGAAAAGGATGAGAACTGAGCGCTGCGGTTGAGGGTAGTAGGGGTTGGGGCTGATGTTTTTCTCAGAGGCCGAGCGCCACCGCTTTGGATAGGCTTTGGGGATGTAGGCGTTTCTGCGACAAAAGAGACTTTGCTTGACAGCGGGGTACCAGTGCGGCCCTGCCGTAGCCGATTCTTGATTGATACTAATGGAGTCTCTTTGATGAGGTGGCCTGGGGATGGTGACTTCAGAGTTGGTGCTGATAGACTTCGTTCCAACTGAGGAGCTGCGTTTGGTTTAGGATGAACCGGTTCGTGACGTTTATGTAGAGATGTATTGTGGTGAGGTGGAAGAGAAGTAGTAGGCCTATCTCGACTGGAGCCTATGGGGCTCTCGTCGTCTGAGTCCTCATCTAGTGAGGACAGTGCTTTAAAATATGCGGCTTTATCCATGTCCTCTCGCGCCATACTCTCATCCAGAAGCGCGTACTTCACACCCCAAACAATAATGGTAAAAGATTCAAGACTTGCAAACTCATATCCAAGTCGCCACGGCTTTTATATTCAAGAATGCTTAGTTTAGGTTCCAGCGTCTTAGCTGAATAAAGAACTTTGTCCTCCCGAGATAATCGGATGTGTCAAAGTAAGGCACGATTGAGGCTAACAAAGCTACACTTCAGCCTGATAACGTTGGAGGTGGTGAGGTGCTGTAATGGTCATGGTGGCGTAATGGTCACCAAAACCCCACCTCGTAACTTCAAACTTGTAAAAAAACAACAATGGCGAGACGAAGGAGCCTTCGGGTTCAGGAAACTGAGGCGCTGAAGCTATAGAGGCATACAGAACACTTTGAAGTCAGCCGCTTAACATTGACGCGTCAGGTGTCGGGACATCTTTCTTAAGTGTAAGCGCGACATAACCAACAACTTTTATCTGCAGTTGAAGAGAGCACTTTAGAGAAGTGGATTTGTCAATTTTCATCTATGGGACGCCCTATTAGACACCAGCTAATCAAGGAATTGGAGGATCTAAAGAGTGCAACGCATTAATGACGCGTCATCCCAAATTATACATATCCACTAATTGGTCAACAATGGGTTCAACGCTTTATTCGACGCCATATAGAGCTTGCTACAATTACTACTTGACAAATCGAGCTACAAGCAAAGACGCAAGAACAAAGCTATGATATTTGCAACGTGTAATAACATGGATGAATTAGGTTTAGGTATTGGAAGTGTATAACATGGATGAATTAGGTTTTGGGATTGGAACGAGTTAAACGAACCGTGTAGTAGTTGACGCAACTATGTGTAGTAGTTGACGCAACTATGTGTAGTAATTATCCTAGCCGTTAAGAGTAGGTGTTAGTCATTAAGTGCATCTCTGTAGATAGATGCGTCTTGCTACCACTTGAGATTTTTTAAAGCCAACACTATTAACAGCACTTGGTCTACAAATCCACACGTAGGGGATTGGCGATTCTTAGCAAGTACGAAGGGTTGGATGTCAAACGTCCATGGATTACAATGGTTACAGCAAGTTTTTGGGCTAGAAACCTATGAAATTGCAGATGGCAAACCACGGCTTTTGGTTGCAGATGGCCATGAAAGCTACATTTCAGCAAACTTTATTGCTCATTACATGTAACATAATATCGACCTTCTTATACTTCCGCCACATTGTTCCTATATCCTTCAACCTCTTGATGTTACGGTGTTTGGACTGCTAAAGACTGCGCTTACAAAAGCGAGACAGACCAACTTACACGAGTTAGAGTAAGGCGTATACAATGGATAGAAATGTACTACAAAGCACGATATATCAATACAACATTCAAAGCGCATGGTTAGGAGCGGGTATTTATCCATTTAATCCTCAAAACGCATATAAACACTTGCTAACTTTACACACCAGCTCCCTACCAAGTGGTACAGAGTTGCGCAGCTCAAACGCGGCTCTTAATTTGATGTTATAAGCTCAAAATGTACTTGACTTACTAACGCGAAAATATATCTCACAACTTACACGCACAGCTGAAACCTTAAGAACACAAAACACATTATTATTAAAGGAGCTACAAGATACGCAAAGTGTTCTGCCTGTACGGAGAGCTAACAAGCGAGGCAAAAGAGTAGTGTTGAAAGGAGTTATTGTGATGAGTTCTTAAGAAATCCAGTCGGCAGTTTCACAGATTGAAAATGAGACCTATAACAACAAGGGGAAAGGTCGGCACAAAGGGTTGAACAAGATAGTATTATCGACTAAATTGAGGAGGACCTACTTAGAGATGATTTGTCCGACTCGTAAATGGGTACACTTAGTTGTATTATAGTACAAAATTAATTTGAAGTTGTCGAGTCGGATTTTGGTGACCATTACGCCACCATGACCATTATCGTTACATGGTCTTGGCATTATGTCGACGCAACCACCACGTTATCACATGCACGGACGAGCTTTACAATTATGTGAGATCAACATTAAATACGGCAAAATTGCTAACAACATTCCAACTTCAACTCAATTATACCATCTTCGTCGGCACGGCGGAGTTGACCTCGATTTCGTTAGCCTCGATGCTGCTGCCCTTGTTCTCTTGAACCGGGACCGCATGGTGAGCATCCTCAACATGTAGCAGATCGGCTCCCTTCTCAACGTGATCGGCTCCACCGAATAGGACATCCATCTCCTCCAGGCTGACTCTCCTTGTCTGGGGAATCATGAAGTGAACGAACACAGCCAAGCATGCGTTGATCGCGAAGAGGTCGAGAAGCCGCAGTTTGCGAGGAAAATCGGGAAGAACTGTTGGAAGATCGAGTTTGCGACATTCTGTGTCTGGGATGCCATGCCAACGGCTTGTGCGCGGACGTTCATGGAGAAAACTTCAGCAGATCATCGCTCCCCAACTGGGCTTGTAGAAGAAGATGAAGAGGAAGAGCAAGAAGGTAATGGCAATGCCGACCGGCTCTGCCTTTGTCGGCTTGCTCACGCCCTTAGCCATATAATAGATCGTCTTGGTCTTTGTTCCCACTAACGCCACAGCCAGCATACAAACAGCCATTCCGATAGCACCAACGATGAACAAAAACTTGCGACCGAAACGGTCAACAGTCCAAGTTGCGTTCAGAGTGAAGATGATTCCGAAAGTGGCATTGAGAGCGTTGATGAGAAATTTGCAACTGAGACTTGAAGACACCCTTGTAAATGATGGTGCTGTAGGTGTTGAGTGTTCCTTGGCCAGTAACCTGCTGTCCGGCATTGAGGATGATGCCAGAATGAGACGCTTACGGACAGAACGTCCTTCCATAAAGCAGAGTAGCTGCTGGAGATAGCTTCCTTCCCAAACTCGAGAGCCTCACAAATCATGAGGATTTCATCTTCAACTCCTTGTTCAGTCTCTCGGACACGGCGGAGTATCGCACGGGCATCGTCGACCCGGTCGCCGTGCTGGAGGTACCAACGTGGGGTCTCGGGAATAAACGGAAGAAGAATGATGATATAGATAGGGACCATGATCTGGAAAATGTTGACAATCTTCCAGTCCATTCGCCAAGCTTCTCTACATTGAGCTGGCAGGCGTAGTTGATCCAGTAGGCAAGGAAGGATCTCACACTGTAGAACAGTTGCCAAAAGGACATGACCTTGCCTCTGATCTCTGGCGGGGCGAGTTCACCGATGTAAATCGGGCCGGCGGCTGCATGACTGTTAGATACGTGCATGGAACTAGAGTGATAACGACATACTCAAGGCAATACCCTGGCCGATACCAATAATTGCTCGGCCACCAATGAATGTACCGATATTGTGTCTTGGTGTCTGGATGAATGTCACGATAATGGTCAAAAAGCATCCAATACCCATTCCCCATTGTCGCCCCAAGCGATCCGCCTAGTTAGGAGTTGGATTCAGGCCAAACGATCAATAAGCATCGGCACTACTCACAGTAGGGCCACCGAGGAAGAAGCCAGCAACGATCGCACCGACAGTATAAGCGGTATTGACGGCACCAATAACATCTGCTCTCGATATTAGTATAAGCAGGAAGCTTTAATCTGATATTCAACTTACTGGCTTGTTGAAGTAATTGACCCAGTTGGCTGAGCCTCGCACCTATTTAAGTATAAGCATATGTAGTACGATCATAGTTTCTGCAGTAACATACAGAGTTGTAGACTGAAGCATCATATCCGTATAGCACCATACAACTGGCAGCTACCATGGAAATATACCTGTTGGCGGCATCAGTATAGAAATGATATGGGGGAAAAGTTCTTCTCTTTACCAATTGTACACGCGGGTGCTGTGAACGATCGCCATTGTGGCGAGTTAAAGGAGGCTGACTATCCTACAAAAGGTATACAGTGTTGGGTGTCCTTGGTCCGACGGTGAATAGGGAAACAGAAACAGGAGGAAAAAGTGCAGGTGCTCGGGAGCAGCATATACGATGAGCCATTGCCCATCCATGATACAGAAAGTGGACATACCTCACAGGCACCTACCATAACTACGCGCCCAGACGCAATACGCCACACATGATAGCTGGAGAAGACCCAGACCCAGAACAAACTCGTTGTATCGGAGTAACTTACTGTACTTGTACAGTGCTGCACTTGAAACAAGCGCGTTATGGCTGGTGGAATTTTAGAAAGTGCAGAGATCTCTGACAGGTATCAACATATCATCACGTGATTGACACCGTATGGTCATGTCATAGAAAACCGATGTGCAGGCGAGGAAGTTTCCTCTACGGGGATTTCCAGGCGGGCTGGATCACGGCCCTTCATGGACAGCTAATCTTCGGCTACAAATGGAGATCCAGGAACCGATGTGTAGTCCTCTGCGGATAATTTAATTTCAGGTGGTCCGGATCACGGCACCCCATAAGCTGAAAAATGGTAGGTATTGAAGGATCAGTCCTTGGGATTAAGGTCGCCATTCACCTCCAGTCAGCGCCATCATAACTGAGTTGGGCGCCCAGAAACTATAGCTCAGACTTGCCTTTAACCACGTCATCATTGATTGCATAAAGCCGTTAGCTATTTCAAACTCTCTGGTTACTGTTGTACAGAAACACACGAAGAGTATACGAAATGGCTGACGGGTTGCAGTATCAATTCAGTAGTATCTGAAGTGTCATCATCGCCAGATCTTGGGTTTCCGCCAAATTATCTCATGAGAGTAAAGTCGTTCCTTTACTGCGTCCCGTCTCCATCTTCGCAGTTCGTGCTCCGAATTGGATCTGTGTGTCCGTTAGTAGGTTCGATCAATAAACAACAGATCGTCTTACCGCGCGTTTCTTCTCCTGGGACACAGAGTGCATTCCCAACTTCCATGCGAGGAGACGAAGTACTTTCTTCCCTGGCTCCAATGCCGGTCCACCGGTGTCCAATGCCTCATTTGAGCCACCAAACCCACATTTATCCCACACAGGACACGCCAGTGACCATCTCACGAGATCCTCGTCAAGATACGGAAAGCGGGCTTCTCGACCCCAGTTTGAGATGGCCCGATCATCTCTCCCTAGGTTTCGCTTTCCCAGTCTACCCACATCTAGGTCCAGCTCTTCAATTAACCCTTCGAATCCGCGCCTAGAAAATGCTGTGGCATGTCGGGTATAACCTCCAAAGAGCTCGTCTGCGCCCAAACCCGACAAAAGAACTCGAGCTTCTGTTGTATAGTCGGTTGCAGGAATACTGTCGTCAATGGATGCTTTCCCAGATCCTCGAGATGCAAAATACAATGCACCTGCTATAGATAGGTCCATTTCTGTGTTGTGTGGGTATATAAGAGATACGACTTTACTTCTATGAGCTAAGAATTCTTCGTATGGTATATTAGCCTAGATATAATGTTAGAGCCATAAGGTACAAGGCTTTGGGATGCTTTACCTCTACGAAGTTCCATTTCCGCCCCGGACAGACTTGTCTCAGCTCCTTGAGCGCACTTCTCCCAGTCATTCTATCTGGACACGCTTCAAATGGGCTGTCCACCCCAACAGGCGGACAGACAACGGGTAGGGTATCGCCTAATGGATCTTCTTTGGCTACAGCCTCGCCATGAATATCTAGCTTGTCTCGTCCTTGCCGAGCTTTTCGCTGTAGCTTCACTTTTGGAGGTTGCTTTGATGCCAAAACAACCCGTGGGTTCTCGAAGGCCACATTAAGGAGATCTATCTGCTCTTCCAATTGCAGTATATCATGCGCCATGCGTGCAAGGACTGCACAGTCCAGACCGCCAGAGAATAGTATGGCCAGCTTGACCTTGGCTGGACCCTCAGAACGCGGAGGATCAGGAATATTCAGCAAGCGTAGCCGCAATGATTGTATCATATGCTGCTCAAGTTGCCTGACAGATTCGGATAACATATTTAGAGACCACAGCGTCGTGGGGACTACTTGGTTAAGAACACCGAGAGAAAGCGACTGAATAGAAATCAGCTTTTGTTGCAAAACGTTGGCTGCACAGTTATACTGTTGACTTACAGGAGTAGCACCCTGGTTGTCACTTGGCCATGGGCATCTGTAGCAAGGAAAGTGTTTGTTTCCCACGGATGATTCCTCTAGTAAAGCTAAACCTGGGGTTATAGATGCTCTATCAAGCGCGGCCACATAGATCCCATCTGCCTCAACTTCTTTCCAAGAACTGCTCGTTGGGTCCGCAATACTAGAAAACTGGATAGCATCCGAGATATCTTCGGAATTGTACAACAGCGATCGTCTCCCAAGGCAGTCCCGCCCGAAATAAACAAGACGATGGATTTTGTCATAATAAACGAATGCAAAGGGACCAGATATGGTCCTCAGGACATCGAGGACGCCATTGATAGACTCATCAGCCGTAGACCTTGAGGTAATACTGGCATCAAGGAGGCCAATAATTGCCTCCCCATCATTACCCTCTACCGCATCGTGGCCAATTTTCCAGGCCTCTCCATTCCAGCACAAGACCGAGCCGGTTTTTGTGGTTGAAAGTGGCTGCGCAGTTACGTGGCCGCCACGCAGAGAAAGCACGGTAGATGTAAATAGCAGCGAGACGATATCACCATCTATGGTTAAGGTATTGGAGAGGTCCGGCCCCCTGTTGGCGAGGCGTTGTAGTAGTTCAGGGTTTGGGCTTGGAGCTTCAGTTTTAGAAATGGAAGTAAATATGCCACACATTTCTGCTGAATAGCCCGACAGAGGCCTTTACCGTTAAGGTGAGAGACACGTTCACTCGAACCGTGCTGTTGTCCTGTCCGTCCTTACAAATTTAGTTCGCTTGGGGTTGGTGATGTCTGATGTTCGTACCTCGCTAATTGAGACTTCGTCATTTGTTGGGGGTTTCACACATGGAACTCCATCACCACCTGCAGCTCTTAGGCTTTTCTACGTCTGGTAAGTGACAAGTGCACAAAAGCCGGTCCATACACAATAAAAGCATACAGGAGAATACTTGTTATAGTGGAAGTTCATTGTTCCTACCACCTCAGCCGCCTTACCTCGATCACCTAACAGCTACGACCACTCCCAAGGTACCTACCGCCCTACCCCACCACGAACAGCTCACAGCTCCAACAACCTACCTACTCTTGCCACGGCGGCCGGCAAATCCTGCATGTCTCCCCCGAAACAGCAAGAAGGAGAAGCTGAACCGGACCGCGATCTTGAGAACAAGCCGAAGTTGGATGAGATAGACACCGTGGTTGGGGACCGTTCGGGCACGAACGATGACCCAGTAGGAATTGCGGGGAAGGAGCTACAAGACGCAGGCAGCACGGCAGGTCCGTCAGACACGGGCAAGATCATTGAGGATACGATGGAAAAAGCTGGCACAGCCAGTGTGTCTACTGACGAGACAGCACTGGAGGAAAAGGCTGTGGAAAGCCATCGGGATCAACAAACCACGCTCGACGCGCCAACCACCGAAGCGCAAACTACCGAAGAGCCAACCACCGAAGATAAATATGTCGGCTCAGATCCGATGGAGTCGTCAACGGCAACGCTGAGGCCACATCCTCCTTCAAATAACGAATCGAACACTACACAAGTTCCGACTAAAAACAATATGTTCCTCGAGCCTACCCCGCACTCTCCACACACAGCCGTACCCCCGACGTCTAACAGCGCATCTACACCTCGGTCTGGGGCTGGGGAAAGTCCAAGCGACAGGTCGCCGACACGGTCTGATGCGGGATTTGATGAGAAGCCTTCTCCTAGCGAAGATGGGCGCGAAGGAGAATCCCGATCGGAAATACAGAGCATCATGGATCAGTTCAGTGCAGAAGGAGGAGGGCCAGGTGAAGAGGAGGTGATGTCTCCTCGATTCGAGCTCGCAGGGCCATTGCTTGGGACTCAGATCCAGCATCCTCCTAGGAAATCAAGCCTTGACCCGCTGAATCACAGGGTGATCAATATATCCCAAGGTTTAGAGAGCACTGATTTGGGGAAGGGCGTATCATCTCGGCGCGAAAGCAAAGATAGTGATATAGGCCCAGAAGTACCCCCCAAGCCCACCTCCATGTATGCAATGCCATCCATGCGCTCGTCTGAGGGACACATCTCACAAATCGAATCGCCCGTTTCGCCTCATGCTACATCGCTACATCGACCCCCGCCACCAGAACCCGAACCGGAGCCAGACCTTCCTTTTGATTTCCATAGATTTCTGGAGCAGCTGAGGCATCGTACCGCTGACCCAGTTGCGAAATTCTTACGGTCCTTCTTGCAGGAGTTTGGTAAGAAACAGTGGATGGTGCATGAGCAGGTCAAGATTATAGGGGACTTCCTGGCATTTATTACAAATAAGATGGCTCAGTGTGAGATATGGAAGGAAGTTTCCGATGCGGAATTCGATAATGCTCGCGAGGGCATGGAAAAGCTTGTTATGAACAGACTATACACACAGACTTTTTCGCCAGCAATTCCCCCTCCACAGCCTATACCCGGGGCGAGGCCAAGGAGAAGAAACGGAGAGCGCCCATTGGGGCCCGGAAGGAGAGGCCAGCATCAAGAGGATGTTGAGCGTGATGATATCCTAGCCCAAAAAGTTGGCATCTATGGGTGGGTGAAAGAAGAACACCTAGACATACCTCCTGTTGGGGAGAGTGGGAAGCGATTTTTAATTTTAGCACAACAAGGTGAATACAACTTCGACTCAATCCAGGGAGCATTTCTAACCCACGTGTAGAACTACTTAAAATCAATACATATAGAGCACCAAGAGACAAGATCATCTGTGTTCTCAACTGCTGCAAAGTCATTTTTGGTGAGTAAGCTGACAAAAACATGCTCTCACTCTGCTAACTTTCTACTCCAGGACTACTAAAGCATTCCAAGTCAGATTCGTCAGCGGACTCCTTTATGCCTCTGTTGATTTACACAGTCCTACAAGCAAATCCGGAGCATTTGGTATCTAATGTCCAATACATTTTGCGTTTCCGCAACCAGGAGAAGCTTGGTGGGGAGGCCGGCTATTATCTGTCCTCGTTGGTAAGAAAATCCTGATTCGTATATTGCAAATATCAACTAATTTTTGCAGCTGGGTGCCGTTCAGTTTATAGAAAATCTAGACCGTACAACATTGACAATATCCGACGAGGACTTCGAGAAGAATGTGGAGGCTGCAGTCTTTGCCATTGCTGAGAAACATCGCACAGACGAGGCCGACGCTCCACCAACACCTACCCAACAGCTATCCGAGAAGTCTGGGCAGCCTTCATCGGAGCCCAATTTTGGGAAATCCACTGAAGCCGAATCCTCGCAGCCAAGAAAATCGACGTCATCTTATGAGTCTAACAATGCTGACGGCGGCGATGAAAAAGCAGCCATGAGTGGACTATTACGGTCCATCCAAAGACCCCTATCTTCCATTGGACGGATCTTCGCCGATGACAGCTCTCAAGGTAGCCCTAGCAGAGGCCCTGCGACCGGCAATACATCAAGACTATCGCCAGCGCCAAGAAATACAGAGAGGCCCGTAAGCCCACAGAGACTTGTTGAACCGACCCGTGATACTATTGACAGAAACCACCTGCGTGCTGAGAATGCGGCAGTGCGGCAGGCAAGCGTTGAAACAGCCCAAGCACAGCATTTGGAAAGAGCAGAGCACGAAAATGTTGTTGAGACACTTTCTGGCATGTTCCCAGACCTTGACAAAGAACTCATCAGCGATGTAGTAGCTCAGAAGAACGGAAGGTACGATCCCCGTAGCCAATGCTCCTCCCACGAATACTAATGAGACCTAGGGTCGGCCTTGCCGTCGATGCATGCTTGGCACTCAGCTCGTAGTCTCATATCAGATATATAATATTTACTCAAAGATACCCCATGGTGGTACTGGAACCGCAGCCAGAGATGATTACGGTTACAGAGCATTACCGATTTGAGCTTGCATAGCGTTGGTTTGTTTGGCATATATATACCTAGGTCTCTGATTGAAGTCTTGTACCTCTCACGGTTTCATCAAAGATATATGAATGATAATTTGGAGTCAATAGCCTTCTACTCAAGAATGAGGCGTACCTTCCTTCTTTGACTGTATAGCGAACTTACCGTACATGCACCTGTAAGCAATATCTTGCCACATAAGCTACACAGCTAAGTAACAGTAGGTTAAGTGCAATGGCTCATTATAAGCTATGTCCCGTCCAGTCGTTCCTGCCAGCGCCAGCTACAAGCACTGTGTACTATACTTCTCTATGCCAGGAACGGAAGGAAAGCTCCTTATTGTTTACGAAAGGGTCACTCTTGCCTACAGGACGGCTGCTCGATGTATATAGGTTTCGTTTTGGAGCTGCGAGAGGATTTCCTCCTTCACAATATTATGATAAGTTAACGGAGAATTATATGTTTAGAGAGTATCGATTCAAGCAACATCTTTAAACAAACATGGCTTACAAACCAGACGACAATTCCACAGGCTCGCCTCCCACAGGCCCGCCTCCTGCTGCAGGATCCTCAAGTTCCAGAGACCAGACAGGCCCGCCTCCCACGGGCCCGCCTCGCACAGGTCCATCTCCCACTCCAGGACCCTCGAGGTCCAGAGACCAGACGGATGGCACTGAGGCTTCAGGGTCGCAGCCTCCGTATGAAATGACCTTCAATAAGTACGTACAGCCTTGCAGAACTTGACACTACTCAGCAGACCATATTCTATATATTTTCTGAATATTCTCTATGCAAGACCACTACCCTGGCAGCCAGGCTCATCTGCACCAAACGCACACTATAGCATAGAGAGAGACTAACTTTCATGTCCCTATAGGCACTGGCCCTATATCAATAGCTATCATGGCTCTTGGGTTCATATGCCTTATGAAGAGCTCGAAGTCTTAGCAAAGATCAACTGGGCCCTCCCTCGACCCCGAATCGTTAACCCCGCTGTCTTCTTTGACTTGTTGAAGATCCGCCAGCTTACTGAAGAAGCCTGCGACCTTGCAGTACGAGCAACAGCCGGAATTGCCACGTCGGCTCTCTCAAACCCATTCACTACTGCTAGAAGCATGCGAGGAAGTAGGGTAGAAGCGCTAGGGCTGGGATCCTTTGGACCTGGGGTCGAAGCGCAACTGAGCCCAGAACGGAAATTTCGAATGCGAGAGAAGGCTACCCAAAAGCTCTCGGAGGCGTATCATCTTGATGATATAGCATCCTGTGTTGTTACCATGCGAGGAGCGTCTGTCCTTGAAAGGGTTGCGAAACAAGTAATTGAAACCCCTCGGGAAAATCTGGACCGTCTCGATGGGAAATATGTGCATTATTTCCATGAGAAGACAGATGACAAAGCTATGATGAAGCCCGAGGCGTTATCACTACTCGACGAGGTCATAAGTGAACGGCATATGTCAGCTGAGCCGTTACGTACAAGAGCCGTTGCTAAGATGCTCCAAGAGAAGAATTTGGAGGCCGTGGAAGATCTTACCAAGGCGTTGCAGATCTGCAGGTCTCAAAAGAGTTTGCACAAGCCGTGGCCTCAGAATTCACAGGATACTTCAAGCTCGGCGGCCGATACAAGTGAGTCATCGAAATGTAAGGAGAAGAAACTGGATAAAAACGATTATCCCAGTAGTCTAGAGGCTCAGATACTGTTCCATAGGGCTAGCGCATACCTTGACTTAGCCTCTCAAACTGTTGAAAAGGCACTTCCTTCAACAGGTCAAAGTCAAAGCAGTTCTATGGGAGCGAGCAATGAGAGCAATTCTGGAGGTCCAAGCGTCGGGTGGGATCCAGAAGCGATGGAGCAGGAGAAACAGGGCAATTTGGTGAAAGAATACGCAAAACGAGCTCTTCGTGACTATACTGCCTATCTCTCATTTTTGGATTACACACCAGAACTTGATCCAAAGCATATGGAAGCTTTCGAACGCAGGGTTTATCAAGCTGCAGTTGGATATAAGTCACCTAGGGGGAATACTGGTAGCAGCAGCGACCCTTTGTCGGGAATCCCACCACCAGTGGCCTACCAGATATCTAAGCTCTTCTCTGCAACTCCACCAAGCCTCTCATCAAATCCTCAAACGGACATCTTAGTCGACCACGATTCAGCCCCCAAAAACGCATCTGATACATCTGCTCTCCATGCAGCAGCCCAGCAACTCCTTGACAGTACCAATAAACATGAGTCGCTCACTTACCATCCTCTTCTCGTAGATGCATTACACTCCCTGCTTCTCTGCCACGTTCTTATGCAGACCTCTACCTGTGAGTTACGCCGCCATGCTCACATGGCTGCACGCCTCATCCGCAGCTGCGACGGATATCCGATTTTCGAACAGCCTCGGGCGGTGCAGAGCCGCAAAGATTGGCTTGAGATCCTGAGCCGAGTGGGCGGGAAATTCGACCTTGGTGAATCCTGGGACTTCCTATGCAGACCCAGGTTGTATAGGAGGGGAGGAATCCCACCGATTTTTCCCAAGAAAGGCGGGGGGACGAAAGAGACCGAAGACGAGAAGAGGGAGAGGCTACACAGGAAGGCTGTTTTAGAAACGCTAGCGTATACGGACCTAAGTGACAACGAGACTTTCAGGAAGAACCTTACAGCAAGGAAGAAGAAACAAGAGGAGGAGGAAAGGAAAAGTACGAGCAAATCGGATGAACATAAGGCTGGTCCATCGAAAAATAAAGCGCAGGGCGAAGACCACATTGCGGGTTCGACTCGGGCACGCAGTATTGTGAGATGGGTTCGGGAAGCGCCTCAGATAACTAATCCAGAGAGCAGGAAGAAGAAGCGTAATAGAACAAGGGGCCGTGGGAGTGCTAGGGGCCGTGGGAGTGCTAGGGGCCGTGGGAGTAGTAGGGGTCGTGGCTCGTTGAACAGCTCCATGGGCGAGTTGAGTATTACTGATGATACGACTGTCGAGATTCCCAACGAGGAAGCCGACTAAGCGAGCATGCATTTGAGCGGTACAATTCTTTGTACAGTAGTACTGTGATATTCAAATCACACAGCGTATTCAGCAAAGCGTTAGAAAATCAGTCAATCGAACTCTTTACTAGTATTAACGGGGAAAAGCGTGTTCATATTCCTCATCAAGTATGCCCAGACACTATATACCACGTAGACCGCATAATCCCCGTAAGCTATCACTTTTGAAGCTTAAATATTTCCTTTCACCCCAAAAACAATCGGATACATCTTGACAACTAGAACGAGAACTTTTGCCCCAGAGAGCGATAACGCCATGCCCGGATATAAAACAGAGACTCTTCGGGGGATGTGGAGACCGCGACGATGAAGATATGTAGTATTAATGGCAGATGTAGAGAAACGACAAGCGGTAAGTTTACTTGTGGAGACCGCAAGTACGCTCACTCATGAGTTTCCTACGCTCTTTGTCGCGGCCTGTTATGTTCGTTAGTATAAAGGAAGGCCATGGGATGTCAATGGTATATGCTTACCCTCGTCATATACAAGGAACTCGTGTAGGCCAGCTCCTGTCGGCACCATCGGTAAGACGGGGACCTTCTTATCGGTAACAATTTCCAAGAAGGCTGGTCCATCGGACTCAATGAGCCACTTGAGGCTGTCAACGACATCCTCTGGCTTCTCGCACTTCCGTGCCTGGACACCCATAGCATCCGCCAACTTGATAAAGTTGGGGTTCTGCTGGTGGGTGTGTGCGTATCTATCCTCGTAGAAGAGGTTTTGCCACTGGGTGACCATGCCCTGCTCCTCGTTGTTCAGGACGATGATCTTGACGCCAATGTTGAACTGATGGGCGGTGGACATCTCGGTCAAAGTCATGTTGAACGAGGCGTCGCCGTCAATATCAATGACAAGGGCGTCTGGGCGAGCGACCTTTGCGCCGATGGCGGCGGGAAGACCGAAACCCATCGTGCCGAGACCACCGGAGGTGATCATGGTGCGGGGGTGTCTCCAGCGGAAGTGCTGGGCGGTCCACATCTGATGTTGGCCAACACCAGTGGAGATGATGGTGGTCTCCTTGCGGTGAGCGGTCAGCTTGGAGAGCTCCTCGATGACGGTCTGCGGTTTAATCATGCCATTTTCTCCAGACCTCTCGTACAAGGAGAGAGGGAACTTCTTCTTCCATGCATTGATCTGGCCGAACCACTCCGAGCGATCGTCCATGGTCTTGACGTCAACGTATGGGAGGAGCTTGGCAATGTTTGCTGCCGCGTCACCGACAACGGCCTCAGTGGCCTGAACAACCTTGTTGATGTTCTTTGGCATGATGTCGAAGTGGACAATTCCACCACGGCCCTCGGTAGCGGCAAGTTTTGCCTGAGGAGCGAATTTTGGAACGTTAAGAGTCACACGGTCATCGAATCTTGCTCCGAGAGCAATGATAAGATCGGCCTCCTGCATCGACATGTTTGCGTATGCAGATCCGTGCATACCCAGCATGTGGAGAGACTTCTCGTCAAGCTCATCAAAGCCACCGAGGCCCTGGAGGGTTGTGGTCACAGGGATGGAGGCCTTATCGGCAAGCTCCTTGAGCAGCTTTGGGCCCTCTGGGAGTGCAAGAATACCCTGTCCAGCGTAGATCACAGGCTTCTTCGCAATGTTGATCAAGTCTCCGACACGCTTGATAGTAGCTTGGATTTGCCTCTGGGTGATCTCTGATGCCGCCTTGGAAGCTGCACTCGGCGATGATGGGAGAGTGCTGATCATCGGGATAGCCTTTCTCAGGATCGATGCAGTAACATCCTTTGGTAAATCGACGAGAACTGGTCCAGGGCGTCCGCTTGTGGCAATCTCGAAGGCCTCCTTAATTCTCCTGGGCAGGTCTGCGACGTTTCTAACCATAACATTCCACTTGGTGCAAGATCTCGAGATACCAATGACATCAGCCTCCTGGAAAGCATCACTTCCAATGGATGTTGTAGCGACCTGACCGCAGAATACCACCATCGGTGTACCATCAGAAAGAGCGTCTTGCATAGGCGTTATCACATTGGTGGCACCGGGTCCAGAGGTTACCAGAACCACACCCGGCTTTCCACATGCACGGGCATAACCTTCGGCCATATGTCCAGCACCTTGCTCGTGTTTCGGTAAAATGAATTCAAAATGTTTTGAGTCGTAGATCGCATCGAATACAGGGAGAATAGCGCCGCCAGGGTAACCAACTATGTCCACGGTTAGCTTTGAAGTTGGAGACAATTATTCGAGCAACATACAAACATGCTTAACGCCTTGCCTGAGCATCATCTCATGGAAGATTTCTCCTCCACTCATCCCAATGAACCTATATCTCTATCAGCATTGTCAAATTTCGAGGCACTAGTGCGACGTACGACTCATCCATCTCGGGTTGCCTCGCATTCTGAAGAGGTTGCGGCTCATTTTGCGGAGGAGTTGTGTTGAATGTTGACGCCGGAGGTTCTCTTGCTTGCCTACAAAATCAGTCGGTTAGAATAGGTCAATGAAGGTGGAATCGAGGAGGACTCACGACGAAGCAGCCGCGGTTGTGGCTTGTGATCTGGTAGTACCGGGAGTCTTTTTCGGTGCTGATATAACTCTGGCGGCGGAAGAAGTTGAGAGAGGTTTCGATGTTCGGGTGGACGCCTTCACCAAGCTGCGGACAGCTGACCGCGCTGGTTGTGATCGGAGCATCGTGAGGTTATTGTGAGAGATCGTGGGCCAAAGTCTGCGACTGAAAAAATGGAATCGAAGCCGTGTGGCGACTTCAAAGGCCCTGTAAAGATAACACCAGGTACAGCTAAAGAAGAGCTGTCCTTGTGTCCTGTTCCACTATGGTGTTGTCTCGACAGGGTGGTGACAACGAGGTTTTGGCACGCAAGGACTTGTTATGCAAAGAACAATTGTAGAGTCATCCATGAGATATAGCCAGAACAAGAGGCGGACGGGCGACGATCACGTGCACACGATATGTTTGTGAGAATTCCAGCGATAAAATGGGGATTGGCCAATCATAATGTGGGGATTGACATAGAGATCTCCGACCTCGGCGGGGAATAGGCGGGGAGTTAGTCAGGTGACACAGGGTGCCCATAGCTCCCGATTTAAAATGTATTGTGTCCTATTTGTGCCCGAGTATGTGCAACAAAGCTCATCGTCGGAGTATATAGCCAGCATAGTTTGCGTGGCTATCGTACGTTATTACACGTTATATGCGATCATACTCCTATCTTCGCTTTGTTTACTCGTGGCTGACATATATATGGGGCATAAAAAACAATATCTCGCCCCGAAGCTGTGGGGAGTGCAGACCGCAGTTTTGACTACAGAGGACATACGATGCTTTAATTGGTGGTGGAACTCAGGGTCCGCATTTACGTTGGCGTTCTCATCGAGGCAGAATTCCAGTGCCCTACCCTATGGTACCAGTATGTAACCTGCCTATACTACGTGCGGAGCTGGCTGTTCAGGAAGAATTTGTATCATCCAAAAGGTTTTCTTTTCATCTCTCTTTCTTTCACCTATTTCCTATCATTCCTCGTCGCAGCTGTGCTTGACAATCGACAAGATTCCCAGGCGTTGGGTATCAAAAGTCTTATCGCCCAGACTCGTCTTATCCCACACACCCAACGAACCCCTCTTTTGCCGTTTAGAGCAGTCAGAGCACCAATTCTGTTGTCAATATGGCCGGCACAGTTCCAGTCGTTGCCTCTTTGGATGGCATTTATACTCAAGATGCAGTATCTGCGCAAACAAAGCGCTGGAGCCAGCTCCTCAGCACCTTCGAATCCACATACAAGCACCCCGCATCCTTCGTGTCGCGTTCCCCTGGGCGTGTCAACATAATCGGCGAGCACATCGACTACTCCCTCTATCCAGTCTTGCCCATGGCAATTACATCCGACGCCATCTTCGCCGTCTCCTGCCCCGACGACTCCGCCTCGGCCTCGTCCAGCACTTTCAAAATCCGCATTTCGAATGTTGAGTCTGAGAAATTCTCCGCACACGAATTCGACATCCCATATGATAACGTCGATATCGACTCAAAAGTCCATGAGTGGACAAACTACTTCAAGTGCGGATTGAAGGGCGCCTTACAACTGCTGAAGAAAACACATGGCGAGAGGTTCCGTCCTAAGAGCATGAACGTGCTGATGGATGGTTCGATTCCAGCTGGTGGCGGACTTAGCAGCAGTGCTGCATTCGTCAGCGGCAGCGCTTTGGCGGTTATGGTCGCCAATGGCGTCAAGGATGTTAGCAAGATGGATTTGACCGAGATTGCCATCGTTGCTGAGCGTGAGGTGGGCGTCAACTCAGGTGGCATGGATCAATCTGCCTCTGTCCTCTCCCTCCGAGGCAGCGCGCTCTACGTCTCTTTTGTGCCAGAGCTCTCGGCTCGCCCGGTCCAGTTCCCAAGCACAAACCCCGAACTCGCCTTCCTGATCGCACAATCATTCGTGCAATCAGACAAGCATGTCACTGGCCCCGTCTGCTATAACCTCCGTGTCGTCGAGTGCTCTCTTGCTGCAGCCTACCTCCATGCCCTCTTAAACGAGACAAAGGAGCCTCTTCCAGCAGACTCCGGGCCGCTGTGTATCAGCTTGTACGGCTTCCAGAAGGCATACTTCGCCAAGCGCAACTCCTCGGCGTCGATCAACGAGCAGCTGCCCGAGCTGGTGGAGAAGGTGAAGTCCACATTCACAAAGGAAGAGGGCTATACTCGCGAAGAAATCGCAAAGGTGATCCGCATGACCGTCCCAGAGCTCGAGCAGAGATTTGAATCTACCTTCCCTGTCCGCGCTGAGACTTTCAAGCTGCGCCAGCGCGCCCTCCACGTCTTCTCTGAGGCCCTACGTGTCTCCAAGTTTATCAAGATGCTCGAACAGCCAGCCGAAGAGCTTGAACGCGATGCTTCTGGTTCCACGGAGAGCTATAACCGCAAGCTCGGCGACATCATGAATGAGACGCAGGATAGCTGCAGGGACTTGTATGAATGCAGTTGCTCTGAGCTAGACGAGCTGTGCGCCATTGCAAAGAAGGCAGGAGGCTATGGAAGCAGGTTGACTGGTGCAGGCTGGGGTGGCTGCAGTGTGCATCTTGTCCCCGCTGATAAGGTGGAGGCAGTTAAGGAGGCTTGGGAGAAGGAGTATTATAGCAAGAAGGAATTGACTGCGGAGCAGAAGGAGGGGGCTGTTGTTGTCAGCAGGCCGGGAAGCGGCAGTGCCGTGTTCCTGGTGAAGGAGGGGGGTTTGTAGATATTATAGTATAAGCATATTATCTATCACTGTTACCTCCGTCATTCTTTTTGTTTCCTCATGCATACAGGGTTTGTTTCTGGTGGTTAAGTTGTGTTCTTTATTACCGTCGCAGATATTCGGTTGGTGCCTGGTTATTTGCTCATTCGGCTTCGACGTGCATAGAATGAGACGCTAGGAACGCAACGCAATGGAATGGAACGAAATTCAATGGCATGGAACTTTCTCACTAAATGCCGCTCGGTCTCACGAATTCCTACTATGCAAATAGTTCTTCAATTACGCTGGACTTTGTGGGCTCAGCTCGACCTTCTCACTTCACCATGTCTATTCCAAGTAAGTCCTCGACGCTGCACGAACAATGTGCACTCGTTCTAGCCTGTCCACAACGACTCGTCCGTGAGTCTGGAGATGACTCTCCGTGGTTTCTGGCCTCGTCTGGCCTCGTCTGGCCTCGTTCCTTTTGATATATATATATATATGCATTCAGATATTCTTCCTGCTATTTCTCTTTTTCAAGCCATCGACACACCAGGAGCTCTCGCGGATACCAACTTGCTTCACGAAAGTAAAGATTTATAGTAAGTGACCACCCTAGGCCCGTAGCTCTGTCCAGCTTATATCGCCTGTAAAGGGGGCAAGAGAATATATGCAGTTTAACAGTCTCAGTCCAAGTGCTCCAAGTCTTGTCAGTGACGATGGGCCCCGCGGAGCTACCTTCGGCACCAGTCAAACAGCGGACACAGAGGTTCAAGTTCTTCCCCAACCTGCCCAGCGAGATCCGACTCATGGTCTGGAACTTTTGCTTGCCTGGTCCGCGGGTACTCGACGTCAAGATGCGTCGCATATTTTTCCGCGCATCCACCGGCAAAGTCACCAATTCCCCTCGGTTCATGAGCTCACTCGACCACCCCGTCATCCTGCACATATGCTCTGAATCCCGCTCGGTGGCCCTGAAACACTACACGCTTGCGTTTCCGAACACGATGAGGTTGAAGACGAAGACATCGCCGGCGCAGATCTATATTGATTTCTCCATAGACATGGTCTGGTTCGATAATCTACACTATTTCCCGACTCAGTGGTTCCATTCGGCGAGGACATCTCCCAACACCAACTTGGCGAAGATCAGATTCCTCGTTATGAGGCATTGCGTGGATCACATTGTGATGGACTCAACGAGGTCGCTTACTCCAGGGTTCTTCCCGGCTCTGGAGGCTATATATCAAGTTGACCATCGGATAAAAGTCCCTCACTCGGTCTCGTTGGATGTTCACGGACAATGTATCAGTAGGCCTTTGGCTAAGTTGTGGGAGAAGGATGGGAAAAAATGCCCTATTATTTACTTGGCCCATGCGAATGAGATACCCTAGGGGCGTCTGGAGTTGATTTGATATAGAGCAGCTCCTGGGGTCGCAGTAGCCCCCATCTGGATATGTGGAAGAGATCTTGATTTTACGGGATTATATCATGTAGCGGTCTTCCACTTATAAGGCGTCCAAATACTATATATGCAATAACTTCATAAATTCCAGATCCTAACTTCTAACGCCTACACTCATTTCGCAGCTGTACTGGTAGACTCCAGCACATCTTAGTCTCCTATTCTCATAATCGTCTGCTATTCCCCTCTGATTTTCGTCTTGAATTCCAGATTTTTCTCCAGTCGCGTTTCATTTGCCCCTAAATTTAGGGGACGTAGGATTATGTAATACCGCGATGAAGTCATGAAGTTATGCTCCAGGGAAGGAAGGAACGAACGGGACAAGGCACAAGGAGGAAGGATGGAAGGCGCGGGCAGCGGGAGGAGGGAAGGAGGTGGGAAGGAACGAATGGGGGAAAGAACGAGTGGGTGTTGAGGAGGAGGAGGGAAGGGACGAACGGCGGATGGATAAAAAGAGGGAAAGAACGAGAGAATGTGGGAAGGAACGAAAGGCAGATGGAGAGGAGGAGAGAAGGAACGAGGGAAGTAACGGGGGTAGGAACGGGGGGAGGAACGAATGGCAGATACAGAAGGAGGGAGGGAACGGGGGGAAGGGGATAGTGGAATGAATGGGGGAAGGAACGAATAGCGGATAGAAAGAATGGGAGGACAAGGCGAATCCAGGCTGCGATCTCTTTCAAGGGAATTGATTACTGACCAACATCCATCACAGCACGGCAACATCAACCCCGGCTTGTCCAGCTAGATACGGAGGTTATTAAATCACAATATGTGGTAGTCAGCCAGTGAAGGGGGGAGAGTATTATATTCCCCTTCTCTCCTGCTATCCTCAACTCAGCACCCGAAATAGCCTAGATAAAAAGGCAAGTCGCGGTCTCGTTGCAGCAAGAATTCCTAGGCTTCGAGTAGTTCCATGAACAGAACAGTGTTTACTCGTGCCATCTCGCCGATCACCAAACCGACCGGATTTACAATTCCCCGCCCTCCCTCACAACCACAGTCACGTGACCACTCACCCGTTGCCAAACCCACAACAAACAGGCCACCGAGCAAACTCCCCAACCCACCAGCCTTCTCGTACCACTCCTCCCACCACCCGTACAACCCCAGAGCCTCATCTGACTCCCTCCAGACGCCCACCTTTCCCCCTTTACACTTCCCTGTACCACAGCGTGACCAACGCCTTCGCCTCGGTGACAGTGATATCAACCCTCTCAATGAGCGACATGTCACATCCCCCGTCTGCGACGCAATAAGGTTCCCATCGGTCGGCGGTAATAGTGTGGAGTTCGTCACAAATCACATAGCAATCTATCTGGGACGCGTGGGCAGTCCACGTACATTCCATCCCAGTGGATCGCAGCGCTCCCTTGCAGGGCGCCTCGCTCGCGAGGGAGCCGTTGGAGTGGGCGAGGGAGTGTGAGAAGTGACAGAGCTTACAGCAAGAATGTCATAACTGATCATAGAAGATGATGACAGTGACAGCTAGAACACCACTATCGTGAACGGGCCTATTCCTGTCCGCATCCATGCTACGCTACGCCCCTCCACTGCGGTTCACTGGGATCGGACCCATCCCAGCGCAGTGTGTGGCAAAAATAGCGATCGGATAGCATAGCGCGTTCCATCGGCATCGCCTTCTCCGTCTCCCAGCAAGCAAAGTGCAGGGCCGTTCCAGGCCTAGAAACCACGCAAGCCGATCCAGTACCATGGCATTGCTACTCGCACGGCACGCACGGGACAGCGTGGTAGGTACGGGGTGGGTGTCCCCACCCGGGGCAGAATATGCGTGTTTCGACCGAGCGTGGGAAAGGAAGGGGGGCGTGTTGGACGGGCTGGGCTGGGCGTTTCGGTGAGTGTTGGGGTTCGATTTATGAGACTCTCATAGCACCGATCCCGTCGATCACTCGGCCAATATCCTACGGCCAACATCCTACTCGACCAACATCCTACGGCCAACATCCTACTCGAAACATCCTACTCGACCAACATCCTACTCGAAACATCCTACTCGAAACATCCTACTCGACCAACATCCTCACCGCATCAGATCGACCATCCAACCTGTAGCGATAGCCTGATGCGAAGCGCCGTCCCCTCCCAGGCAGGGCGGCCATCCTACTCTCTCTGGACAGCAACAAAGGCCGCAACCGACCAACCATCCCCCCATGCCCAATCAGGGCCCTGAACAGCGACCATGGCTGTCGTCAGCACACACACCCAGGACGGGCAGGGACCCAATCAGCAAGCCGGCCGCGGTTCGAGGGACGCAGCGCCACGAGGCGTGCGGCCCTGGCGCTGACTTTGGGCGATGGGTTTCTGGAAACGCTGCTGGAGACCCACAGCGGTCTCGGAACGCGCAAGGCCCTGCATACAGTACGGCGCCATAAGTTTCCGTGCGGGTCTGTGCTTTTTCCCATACAAATGACTTGTCATTTACGCAATTCGTGCACAGACCCGTACGGAAAGTTATGGCGCCGTCCTGTAGGAACTTGGAGAGGATAAGTGGGGGGAGGTCAGGCTGGGTGCGGGCGCCAGGCGATGGTACTACTGTCTTTACTGTTACGGAGTACTGTCTTTACTGTTGGAGTACTGTCTTATTGTTAGAAGTACTGTCTTTACTGTTGGAGTACTGTCTTAATGTTAGAAGTACTGTCTTTACTGTTGGAGTACTGTCTTAATGTTAGAAGTACTGTCTTATTGTTAGAAGTACTGTCTTAACTGTTAGAAGTACTGTCTTAACTGTTAGACGTACTGTCTGACTGTTAGAAGTACTGTCTGACTGTTAGAAGTACTGTCTTTACTGTTACAGTACTGTCTTTACTGTTACAGTACTGTACAGTATGTACTGTTCTTGATTACGGTGGCGCTAATTTTGGACGAGTTTGGTGAGTGTCTTACAAGTTGGGTTGAGTGTTGCGGGTGTGGAGCGTGTGGGGTGGAGGGCCGGGGGGCGGCGGGCGGAGCGGTCGGTCGGACAAGATTGAGGATGAAGACAGGCGGGCGATGATGAATGGGTAGTAATCGTCGGGACCGCACAGTCCACTTCACAACAGCACGGAGTGGACTGTGCGGTCCCACGACCAAACAACCAGGCAGGCTTCGGACCCAAAACCGACTCGACTCCACACAAGCTGCGCGGCCAACTAGGAGGGCAACGACAGTCATTGGCCCGTGCACACGGGGCGAGGGTTGGGCGAGATGGAGCATGGACGGTGAGTCGATGCATGGAATCACGATGGAGCATGGACGGTGAGTCGATGCATGGAATCACGATGGAGCATGGACGATGGAGCATGGACGATGGAGCATGGACGATGGAGCATGGACGGTGAGTCGATGCATGGAATCACGGCATCACGGCGGCGGCAGGCAGGCAGTCTGGTGTGGCTGTGGCTGTGGGAGTCGGTCGTTGTAATTTGGACGTGACTGGACGTGACTGGACTGTGGGAGTCGTTGTAATTTGGGACGTGACCGATCACCGTCCGCCGTCCGCCTCGTCCGTCTCGCGTCCCGGGTTTTCCTGTCGCCAGCCTTGTCTTTGGATTTGGCGCATCGTGGTTGGTGAGGGGGTGGAGGGGTGGCGGGGGTATGTGTCAGGCGACCAATCAGATGTGAGGATGGGAAGTGGGTGATGCACTCATTTTGCGGTGTGTGTGTGTGGCTTATTGGTACCCTGCATTGCAGTGATTGCAGTGATTGCACTGATTGCACTGATTGCACTGATTGCACTGATTGCACTGATTGATTGCACTGATTGCACTGATGCACTGGTTGCAGTGAGCATTGCAGGATGCACGACCGCCTCACCAACTGAACTACATCCAACGCACTCGTAATTGGCTTTGAAGAAGCCGGGGGGGGGGTGGAATTGTGGAATTGTGGATTAGAGAGTGGATCGGTGTGAACGGGTGGGAGAGTGGGTGGGTCAGTCAAGGGTGCTGGTCATGGGTCGTGCAGGAAAAGGAAAGGAGGGGGGTGTGGGGATTGGGAGGGGGTGTGGGGATTGGGAGGGGGTGTGGGGATTGGGAGGTGGGAGGGTGTGTGTGTTGGGGGAGGAGTATGGATGGGATAGTGAGAGGGTGTGTGTTGGTTGGGGGGAGGAGTATGGATGGGATGGTGAGAGGGAGAGTATGGGATGGTGATGGGATAGTGAGAGGTGGGGATTGGGAGGGGTGTGGGGATTGGGAGGGGTGTGGGGATTGGGATGTGCGAAGGGAGGGGGGAGGCCCTTTCGCCTCTTTCGCCTCTTTCGCCTCTTCCGCCTCTTCCGCCTCTTCCGCCTCTTCCGCCTCTTTTTGCCTCTCTGCCTCTCTTCCCTCTCTGCCTCTCTTCCCTCTCTGCCTCTCTTCCCTCTCTGCCTCTCTTCCCTCTCTGCCTCTCTTCCCTCTCTGCCTCTCTTCCCTCTCTGCCTCTCTGCAAAACCCTTTCCCCCCAAGTCACCTGACTTTCACACTACTTTTGACGCCTAACAATTCTACTCGCCTCCCTCATCTCCACCTAATATCCACTAAACTACAACACCCCTACCCCCCTACCCACCTGAACCCGCACCTAAATCCACCATCCACCCCCCCCCCCCCCCTCCCCCACCCTCCCCAAATATCTATATTCCTCCCCCCAAGTCTGGTCTTACTCGCTTCACCTTCGTCATCTCCATCATCATCATCCTCGCCCGACCCACCTTCTTATACTTCTATCCTTCTATCCTTCTATCCTTCTATCCATCCATCCATCAACAACTACAAACTCTTCCGCCCTTCTTCCACCAAACCATCTCAATCTCCTTTCTTCAGACCTCTTCTGTTCAAAGGATCCAAATTTCCTTTCTTCAGACTACTTCTGTTTAAAGGATCCAAATTTCATCTCTCTACTACCCCAAGGCTTCGACCCGGATTTCCAAAACAAACAACTCCTCCACCCGGACAACCAGTTGGTTTCCTTGCATTACCACAGGATCTTTTTTCTTTGGGCCATGCAGAATGTCGGTCCTCAATACAGGCCACTCAGGATGTCGACCCGATTCAACAGTTCCCAACCGACAATAGCTGCCCTCGAGGAGAATGCGCCCCATGGAGACTCATCTTGTTTCTCGGATTTCTTCCCGTCCCAGAAGGCCACCGACTGCTCTCCGCAGCCGGTAAAGTGTCCCGTTGTCCCCTTCCACGCGGCTCCCCTCCCTACTCCGTCCCAGTCGCCCCAGTCGCCCTATGGATACAACGCGCCGCTCGCGCCCGTCGCGGACAACATGCGCTACTTCCAGCAGCCCGAAGTCCACCAGCAGGCTCAACACTTCCAGCACTTCCCGCCGACACCCCCAGACACCCCTCCCCCGCCGTCCACCTTCGACCAGGCCCAGTTCTTCGACCCAAGCCAGCGATTGCAGTTCCTCCGCACCCTCGGATCAGGAGCCTATGGAGTAGTCCACTTGGCCAAGGATGTCCGCACAAGAATCCAGTATGCCGTAAAGGTCCTGAACAAGTTCAATGCCAATGGTCTCCCCCTGGATGCGCGACAGCAGCACTTCCAGCAGACCGAGATGCAGCTGCACTACGAGGTCTCGGCACACCCCAACATCGTCTCGCTCCTCAGGATCCTCGATGTGGCCGACTGCACTTACGTTGTTATGGAGTATTGCCCTGAGGGAGATCTCTTCTTGAACATTACAGAGCGCGGCCGCTATGTGGGTAATGACCTTGCGGCCAAGACCGTGTTCCTGCAGATCCTGGATGCCGTTGCCCACTGCCATCGCCTGGGAGTCTACCACCGGGACTTGAAGCCGGAGAATATCCTCGTCTCCGACGGGGGTAGCCAGGTCAAACTGGCCGACTTTGGATTGGCCACTGCGGACAGCTTCTCCTCGGATTTCGGATGTGGATCTACATTCTACATGTCACCAGGTGGGTAGTTTAATTCTTTCCCTTCCCTCCCTCCTTCCCCCGGACAGCCAACTAACCACGGTTTCCCCCGTTTGTAGAATGTCAAGATCAGTCTTCTGGGATGCCCTTCTATGCCTGCGCCCCAAATGATATCTGGAGCCTCGGAGTTATCCTGGTGAACCTGACCTGCGGCCGTAACCCCTGGAAGTCCGCCTCCACGAAGGACTCCACGTTCCGCGCCTACCTGGCAGACCGCCAGTTCCTCAAGTCCATCCTCCCGCTCTCGGACGAGCTCAACGAAATCCTCAACATGGTCTTCGAGATCGACCCATCGCGCCGCATCTCCCTGGCCGAGCTCCGCCACCGCATCGCCACCTGCGGACCCTTCACCAAATCCGCCGCCGCAGCCGCAACCACCACCACTTACGTCCCGGCAGCCGTGCCCACCATCCAGGTCACAGCCGACGCCTTCGTCGACTCGGACTCGGACCTAGACGTGTACAGCGCGGCCCTCTCTCCCGCCTCCACCATCTCCGATGAAGGCTCCATGATCTCCGACGCCTCCGACACCTCGACGGCCCCCAGCGAAGCCGGCTCCTCCCCCGACCTCGACCTCCAGTTCGAGGTCATGGACGAGGATCACCACCGGGACCACCAGGACCACCACATTGCCTCATCCGACGACTTCGCGCCCGCGGCTAAGGATCCTTGGGTCGCTGAGCCCGCTTTCGTTGAACCCTACGTTCCCGCAGACCCTGTTGTGAGCGCACCCAAGGACCTTGGAATCCCACAACCACAGATCCAGCAGCAGAGATTCCTCTCCCCTCCCCCGCGCTCGGCTCCGCCGAGACAGCAGAAGAGCATGCATCAGCTCATTGCGCGCTGTGTTACCCCTTCACTACTGAACTCGTTCTGCCCGCAAGGAAGCCAGCGCGGGGCCCCTGTGCGTCGCGCTTTCTAAGTTGCAGTTTTCCATGGGATTCCCATACATAGGAAGGAACGCCAGCCCCGGATTCTTTTTTTCCACTTTCCGGATGGACACATACCACTGGAGGACCACATTTTTACTTTTCTTTCGAGAAGACATACTACTTTAATGATGTATATAAAAAACAACCCCACCGACAACGGACACATCTTCTCTTCTTTTTTTACTTCAACAAACAAACTTCTACCAGTCCCGGCGTGGACATATCAATACTTTCAAAAATTGGCGGCGACGGGGAGGGAAATCTGTTTTTCGAGATTTTTTGTATTTTGTTAAGCAAGCCCCTGCCATGGGCGGAGTTTGGGATATACGCTGTCAAGATTGGGCATTTAATAACTTTTCTTGTCTGGCATGGCAAGAAAAACCCGGCGTCCTTTTAGATACTACCTGTTTTTTGTTTTTACCTTAGCGAGGGATAATGGGGATACGAAATGATTTGATGGATGGGTGTTAAACTCTACTTGTTTGGAACTTTTTGTTGGGTTTGGGGCGATGGGGTTTAATCGACGGCGTGTATTTTTGGGGATTTTCAAAAGGGAGGAAGGTGTCTGGTTTGGGAGGGATAAAGACTTTGTTGTTGTTTGGAACGGAACGGATATACCCGCTGCTGCTGTTGTTCGCAGAGAGAGAGATGGAAGATTATATGTGTTGATGAGAGATGATAGAATGATGAGCCTCTGCAAACTTCTACTGTTTATCATACAATGCCGTGATACCGTGAATGTGAACATATGTTCGTGTTCTGCAACTTCCCCTTTCCCTCTCGCACTCTCGCTCACTCATCTCCCCCCCCCCCAAACACTCAGTGTACAGGAAGCGCAGGAGGGAAAACACTGCGCGAAAACAATTCAGCTCACACCCGTGTCTCACATCCCACCCGTTCTCATCATCACATCTCACCTCAGACAGACGCCGCACAAGCGGTGTGCAACGCGCATCACCACCCACACCTACTATCTACCACCCACAGCTACACTACACACGCGCGGCCACGTTACCTTTCCTAAAGCGGCAGTATGCATATGAACAATATGATAGGTGAAGATAAGGCGGGAGGGGTGTATGACTCAGCTCGATTCAGTGTTTAGACTCTAGCTGGTTGGCGGAGAGGGGTTTGGATCAGACGCGACGAGTGGTTTTGAGATGATACAGTGCGACACGGTGATGCGGACGGGGGTTATCTGTACACCGCTTGTGCGATATGAGATGATGGGCTAGAGGTAGGCCTGCCCTTCCTTCACTACAGTGCAGACCCTCGCACAACCCGCCCCCATTCATCCACATCACATCCCTCAAAGCCCCATTGCGACAGCCTCACACACCCAGAGCCGCACTCCACCCAGCCTCATCATCGCCATCATCGGTATGTCGTCGTCCTCCCACCGCACTAGGCCGTCTCGCCCGTGGTAATGGTAGCGGGTACCGGGTACCGGGCCTGGGAGGGTAAGGCCCCAGAACCAGGTCCGAGACGCCATAATCAGGTGAGTCGCACGCGGTCATGGGGTGATGGCCCCTTTTGGGGGGGGGTCGGGAGAGCTGGGCGCAGAGATGGGGAAGCTGGAGGAGTGGGTGGTGATGATGGGGAGGGGGGTGGTGCCGGCGCTAAGTGGGGTGCTTGACGATGAGATGGGTGAGGCTGGTATTGGTATTTGATCATGTCGGTTTTGGTGGGGGGGGAAGAGGTTATCGCGGGTAGGGCGGCGACGGCGGCAGTTTCGTGTCGCGGCTTCTTCGACGGCGTGTGGGTGCTGGGATATGAATGGTTGACGATGAGATGTGTGATGAGACTGATCATGCCAGTTGGTGGGGGGGGGTGAGGTTAACGCAGCTAAGGGCGGCCGTGGCGGTTGTTTCACATCATAGCTGCTGCGCCGGCGCGCGGGAACTTAAGATATGGTTGACGATGAGAATGATGCGGCTCTGGTCGAGAAGAAATAGAGTTCTTTTTAGCTTCCAGGCTAGGTGGGAGCTAAGAAACTTTTTACTCCGTCTCTCTACTTGACGACCTGGGTGGGGGTCGTCATGGGAATGTTGGAATCTCGTGATATCAAGCATGATTTTGTTGCTTGTAGGGGTAATTGATTTATAAGGGGGAGTGAATCAGGAGTTTATGGCGAGGGATCAGGTTTATTGTTGTAATTGACTTTTCGGGCGGGGGGAGAGAAATCAGAAGTTGTATTATTGTAATTGAGTCAAGTAGTTTCTCTTCTAGGTATTATCGTACTATAACTTTATCATATCGTGGTCGATCTGCTCATCCTCCTCAGATCGGTTTGTAAAGATCAGCTGTATGTGCCTGTAAAGGGGTTCGATACATCTTATTATTATTCATTTGCTGCTGATTATTACTATAATACTCCTCGTCAAGTTTATTTAGATCTGCTCATTCTCTTCAGATCAGGCTGTAAATGTTACCTGTATGTGCGTGGAAAGGGGGTTCGATACATATTATTATTCAGTATTACTGCTTGTGAGTCACTCTTCCCATACTCCTCAGATCGATTTTGTAAAGATCACCTGTATGTACGTGTAAAAAGGGATTTGTTTTATTTTATATTATTCATTTGCTGCTGATTATTACTATAATACTCGTTGTCAAGTCTACATCAACCTTCTCATCCTCTTCACATCAGTCTGTAAATATCACCTGTATGTTCGTGTAAAAGGGCTCGGTTTATCTTGATATTATCCATTTATTACGAACTTTACTGTAATGTCTATTGTCAAGCTTATATCCATGTAATATTTTAGTTCTAATAATACCTTTACATGCTGACTATACCTCAGCTTAGACTGTAGATAATATCTCCACGTGAAATTTACATTTTATTATTCTACCATTCACATAATACTGTTTATCCACACTCTCCTTAAACCCCAACAAAAGTGTAGTCAAAGCAGTACAAATGATATTCTGCCACTCACCTACCACCACGTCGGCGCCAACGGCGGGTTCGCCAACTTCACCGCCTGCCGCGCATACTTATCCCACCACAGCCCCGCCCCCGGCGCGCCCTCCCCATCTATCTGCGGCCCACACGCCCCATCCGACTCGCCCGCCGGCTTAACCCAAACCAACGAACCCAAATCTCGCTCCCCGTATCCGTCGTCGGCCTCTCCACATACCCAGCCTTTAACATTACACCAATCCCCTCACTCCTCGCGGGTGTTCTGCAGCCCAGAGCGCCCGACATCGATGATGAAGTGGTGCGGGACGGAGGCGTTCTGGGGGTAGGGGGTGAGAGAGAGGGCGTAGTTCTTCTCGTCGTAGGAGGGCGACCATTCGGTGTAGTTGGCGCGGGGGTTGGCGATGTAGGGGTTGAAGTTTGAGACGTCGGTGGCGAAGCCGCGGATGGTGGCGCCCTTTTTGAAGGCTTGCGCGAGCTTGAGGACTTTGGAGAACTCCGCGGCGGCTGGGGGGGTGTTAGTGGGGCTGTGGGAGGACGGAAGGGGGGGACTTACCTAGGGGGAGGTTGTCGGCCCAGCCTAGCCACCCTCCGTGGGCGGCATCGATGTAGAGGCTCACGTTGGGGAATTGAAGCTTCGTGATGGCGTAGGCGATGCCCTCCTCGTAGCTGGGGGAGGCGGTGGCGCGCAACTCGATGGCCTGGTTGGTGATGACATTGCCCAAAGAATCTGGTTCGAGGACAATCGCGAATGTCAAGTCGGGAGCACTTGAGACCGCCTTGGCGAACTTGTCCACGAACTCGGTCTTGTACTTCTGGAGACCGCCGTTGGCGGAGGAGAATTCTCAAGCAGAGTCACCGGCCGAACAATCGCGGTCGGCCAGGTCATAGAGGACAAGCTGCAGCATCTGCTGCTTGCGGGTACGACGTGCCTCGGCGATGGCAGTGTCGATGCCGGAGAGGCCGGCAACGTTGCTCACCCAGACGAAAGTGCCGGTACGCTGCACAGTGGTGACGCGGGCGGCATTGAGCACGTCGCCCTTCTTGAGGAAGGCAGCCTTGGTTTCCTGGAGCTCCTTGGAGTAGTGGCTGTTTGCGTAGTAGTTCTTGCCTATGAAGGGGTTGACATCCTTGACAGGGTTGGTAGGAGTGGCTACAACGGCGCAAGGAGCCGCCGCCAATAGAGAGAGGAGAGCAACGGACGGAAGCATCTTGAGCGATGGAAAGAATTCCCACGTATGAATCTCAAAGGACAGTAAGAAGCCGATCGATTGAGAATGGATCTACATTGTGGAAACTAGCTCCTTTATAAAGAAATCCCGATATGGGATTGCTATATGGTATCATACACAGCGGCGCGATTTGTCGCCGTGAAGCCGGGCTAAAAATTGGAGAACCAACAACGGCCAAGAAGGCGCAATCACGCAGACGAAAGGATAAACACGGTAGCTTACCTAGCTCAGGAACCCGGACTTACCATATCTCTGAAGTTGTCGCGGAGAGAGACCTAATCGGAGATTAACCTTACCCCATGTTGATTGAGGTTATATTACAAGCCGTTGGTAAACGGAGCACCGTGTCGAGTATGACGTTTGAAGCCGCCGATCTCTCCATAGCGACGGGTAAACAGTCGGGCAAGGCCACGTGCAGTAGCACCAAGCCTCGAATGTTATCTATTTTGTTTCTAGAAGCGGAGGGCCGCCTTCTATGCAGTAAGCAATCTATTTTCCATATTAACTGCATATATATGGCCAATCACGAACAAGTGGCTTTTCTCTGAAACGGTGCGCTCATAGCATGAGCATTAGGAACTGAATGATGAATACTTCATTTAGTAAGGCAATTATCGTCTATCTGTCATGTCATACGTATTTTACCTCACTGTACTCTGTACTAGTCTGGTGGCTGACCAGCGCCTCCTCGAGCTTAATATTTCGTCTCGGTAGCGAGACCTTCAGCTTAGTGGCGGTAAACCCATATAGAACGAGTTGGGATCCTGTAGTAGTAGCCATGGCTATTCCAACCCTGGCACGCAATATGGTGACACATTGGGCAAACAGCTGATCGTGGCTTGTTTGCAATGCCGGAAGGTTCGGGGATCGTCCGTCGGAGGGGAATACTCTACCTGGTGTTCGCCAAGATCCATGCCAAGAACATGGCACCATGGAATCCTTCCTCCAGGGCCTGTTGAGCGGTAATCTCTTGATATAATATGCGGTGCATTTACCTGTATCACGGCTGAATCGTTCGATAGTTAGCAATCTATCAAGTGCTCAAGAGCAATCCAACGTACATGGAAGAGCCACCGCAAAAAGAGTCAAGGGATATGATGCCAATAGTCCATGATATCAATATCAGCGTGTCTTTGGTTTCCGAATAATGACTTCCCCGCCTTTCAGCTCCCACCCCACTCTGTTTTCTTTGACAAGCGCATCCCACGTCGATCCTGTCACCTGCTCGAGGAACTTGAGGGACACTGTAAAATAGCTCCTCCCGAGGCACTTCAAGGCGTGTAACCTAATAGCCTCTTCGGCAAATTCCATCAACTTGGCTTTGTGACCATCGACGGTCCTCTTGACCTGCCAGAAGACGTAGTAATTATCGTGCGCCAGCGCATGCAGGACGGTCAATATCTTTGTATCCTTTACCCCATATCGAATGCGCACCACATGCGCCTGGGCCAGGTCCTGCTGCCGACATGCAAGGTCGAGGACAAGGTAGCCAGCGAACTCTTGTAAATCGAGGCGCGACAGGGGTCGTACTGTGTGCATCCTGTGAAGAAGATGAAGAAGGGCCGGATGATAGGATTCCATGTGCTTAATCAAAATAGAGAGGCGAATGCAAAAAATATAAGCCTGCGTTGAGAACTCATCAATGCGCTTCGAGGCCACGATACCCTCGCGAAGTTTGCGCATCGACATTGTCAATACGGACAAGTCTTTGGAGGAATCATATTCAACAGGTTTTTTGAGTACAGAAGAAAGCTGTGATAGAGCATTGGTTGACTTGGTATCGGGTGTGGCGTAGATGGACGATGCAAGCCCTTTAAGGGGTTTGGCGGGTGGCTTCTGCGTGGCCCCACCAGGTTGAAGTGACAGCTGCGACATGCGACGGAGGAGTTCATCACTTCGCCCTGCATCCGAACAGAAGCTCATATAACGATCCACAATCTTGGTATAATAGTTCTCTTGAGTCTTGAAGTTGAGCAGCCTGGTCGAGGAATCAGATGCTACCTCAAATGTAATACCAACCAATCTGTCTCACCTATTGTCGCCTTTTGAAGGCAGGCCAACTGCTTCTAAGGGATCAAGGGTGACTGGCTTGAGTCTACCCCATCCCCCAGAGTACGCACGACCTCCAGAATCTCCGCGGCCGGACATTAGTTAAAATGCTGTTGTCGCCGGATATTGAAACAGATGCTGGCGGGGTAAACAAAACGGAATGTCGTCAAGAGAAGGCTGAGGGAGCCTTCCCTTGGCAATGCCGCTAATTGGCTATCCGTTTCATCATAGGCTGTCACAGGCCAGCCTCGGTCCCACCAATTCGTAGCCTCACCAAATTTCGTAGCCTCACCAAATCCGTAGCCTCACCAGCTTCTCAACGTTTTCTCAGACTTCAAATACTTGTAATTGTGCAAGAAATGAGGGAAAATTACTATCTGAGTTCGTAGAATTATCACAGGAAAATTTCACAATGACGACTCGCCAGCGCAAAAAGTCGACGCCAGATACCATCGCTGAGAAGGTCATCAAAGCAGAGGGGAAGGTCAAGGATGCCTTGGTTGTGCTCTGGGACGACCTCCCAAGCTGGCAGCAAGACAATCACTATATCATCTCCGGATATCGTCCAGCATCAGAGTCTTTCTCCAAATCATTCGGGAGTCTTAACTATCTTCACAACGAATCCGTGAATATATTCTCCCATCTGATACCCTCCATCGGGTCAGTGGTCTTGGCAATTGCCCTGTACAGAGTTGTGGTGCCTCGATATGAGTCTATCACTCAAGGCGACATTCTCGCATTTGCCTGCTTTTTCGCAGGGGCAGCGTTCTGCCTGGGGATGTCGGCGACCTATCACACCATCTCAAACCACTCTCATATCGTGGCAAGATTTGGAAACAAGTTGGACTATGTAGGAATCGTATTCCTGATCACCGGCAGCTTCATCCCAAGTGTTTACTATGGCTTTTACTGCCACCCCAATTTGCAGCGGACTTATTGGACAATGGTATGCTTCCAGCTCAGCGACCTGCTTTTATATCACTGACCAGGAATACAGATATGCACTTTAGGGCTTGGCTGTGCGACGGTTTCTATATTCGAAAATTTCCGCACCCCAGCATGGCGCCCGTATCGAGCTGCCATGTTCGTTGCCATGGGTTTGTCTGCCATCTTCCCCGTGCTTCACGGCGTGCAAGTCTATGGCATACAAGACATGCGGGACCGAATTGGTCTTATTTGGCTTCTTACCCAAGGCGCATTATATATTTTAGGGGCGGGAATCTATGCTGTAAGCCACACCCGAGATTCGAAGTGGAGCCCCCTTTGCTGATGATTAATAGGCACGATGGCCGGAACGAGGGGCACCTGGAAAATATGATATTTGGGGAAGTTCGCATCAAATATTCCACATATTGGTAGTTTTGGCGGCAGTAACGCATTTTTACGGCCTGGTAGTTGCGTTTGACTTCCACCACGGGGCAAACGCGGCAGCGTGTTGAACTGAATAAAGTCTATATCCCAGAAAAATTATTTGGGTGGCCATATTATAGTAAATATTTGGGCAAAAGATCTATATACCCTGCACAACCCCTGTAAAGATTGATATACCCTGTAAATTAAAATAAGATCTATATACCCTATTGCCGTGATACCCGTAGCCCCCAAACCCCCGTATGCGACCTCGCCGTCGCCAACTCCTCCACCGACCCCCTATTGGGGACGACGGAACGCCGAGAGTTGTGGCCCGGCTCCCCGCAAGTCGAGCATCGACTTATTACGGGGTCGGGGACAGCAGCAACCATGGCCCCAAGCGGGAGGAGTCCTCCGTGGTCTCGAGTAGCTCGTCGCCCTTGAGGGCGACGAGCTTCGTCCCTCCGAACCCGGGCCGCCCCCGTGGAACCCGTGTCACAGGGGGTTCGCACGGGATGTCCGCAAGAACGGACAATCCGGTTATATCAACCGGCGGCAACGGGTCAAGGTAGGCGGCTCTCCATTGAGCCGCCGACATTGAGACAGACTGGAATTGCCTAGCGTAAGTGGCGGAGGAACCACTCCCACGAGTCCTTGTTCTCGGACTTAACAATACCCCACGCAAGTGGTACGTTTTTGCCGTTAGCATCAATGCTAACAGCGAGCAACAAGGTAAGAATGAAACGGGCCTTTAAAAAGGTCCCGTCTATAGCAACGAAGCGCTGTGAGAGTGCCCCCTCTGAAACAGGGGGACAAACGAAGATCCGCTAGAAGTGGTCATGCCAATATCGTACGAGATCGACATGAACTCCTAGAGACGCTGTCTCAAGGAGCGCGATGTAGGCCGGCAATAGCTGGAAGCTATGCCGTTGTGCGCCTATATCGCTAGCGAGAAGGCGGAGACGGAATTCGCCATGGTGAGAAGTTGACCACGACAGTAAGATGTTGGTAACAGCGACAGTATGGCAAGCAGAAGAGATGCCGGCCAGTGGTTGGGGCAGTTTTTAAAATAAATCTCGTACCAGATTTTGTTGAAGCTTTGCTACTCTTGTTCTGGTGACATCGTGTTCTTTATTAACTAGAGGGCGAGTTAGTGCCCTTTCTTCATCCTTTTTCGCGCTTTTTAAGGTGGTATGCCATACCAGGGACTGGGGTCTAGGGCAGCTAAGTCTTCTTCGAAGACGAAGAGAACTTGCGCTAGCCTCGGCCAATGCAACGGTGCTCATTGTCGAAGACAATGAGCACCCACAAGCTGTCGCGAGGAGTGGCTCGGCAGCGCTAGCCACAGCCATCCTCTGGGCAGACGAAGATCACCCGGTCTGATCCCTCCGGAGGGTCCGGAAGCAGAACTTCTTCTGCAATTATCCCAAGTCGTGGATAAGGGCGTCAAGGTCTCAGTGCCATCGGTAGGCACTGAGAGTTTAGCGAGGGAGGACATCTCAGCTGAAAAGGGGCCTCTTCGGAGAGGGCTTTCAGAGTAGGGGATGACGGGAATGGCGACGGCGAGGTGGCGACGGCGAGGTCGAGGCGGTGAGCCGGCTTGGCGGAGGAAATCTATTAATAGTTAGCGTCTGGTATACCAATCTTTACAGGGGTTGTACAGAGTATATAGATCTTTTGCCCTATATATTTATAGAGAAATCGAAATTTGGTGTCGAGTTAAAGCTTATGAGATAGAAATACGACAACCCAAAGAGTATGCTGCTATAATTGAAGCTTTGGCGACTGACAGCCGCTTTCCGAGGCTTGCTTACCCCAGAGTTAGCCTCGGCATTGCCCATCTGGGGTACGCCCCGCATTCAGTCCCTCAATCCCTCGGGTGTGCACTTATTTGTACCGCGATACCCAATCCATTTATAATCTTTGATAGGGAAGCTGGTTTAACTTTCAAAGATATATTCTAAATAGTAAACCTCTCATCTCCATACCATATCCCTTCAAACACAATGGCTTCCCGCGCACAACAGATCGCTGGCCACTTGAACTGGCCAAAGGGCATGCTTGCTGGCCAAGTTGCTATCATCACTGGCTCTGGTCAAGGAATTGGTGCTGAGGCCGCAAGGCTCTTTGCCAACGAGGGTGCTAAAGTTGTCGTCGCTGATATTGATGCTGGTGAGCGTCTTACCTTGGCTACTCTCGAGAATGAATACTAACTGTAACTTAAAGCCAAGGCTGCTGATGTCGCAAAGAAGATCAACGAGTCTGGTGGCAGCGCTATTTCCGTCGCTGGCGACGTCTTAGATGATAACTACCTGACGACCTTGGTAAAGAAGGCGGCGGAGTTTGGAAATGGCAAGATTCACATCATCGTTAACAACGCCGGTTTCACCTGGGACGGAGTTATCCACAAGGTAAGCTCTCCAATAAACTGCAGCTCCAGACGAAACGTCGATACTGGGCAGTAGCAGTCAAAGACAGGCGCTAACATGCACCAGATGACCGATAAGCAATGGGAGACCATGCTCGCGGTCCACAACACCGCCCCCTTCAAGCTCGTCCGCGCTGCCGCCCCCTACTTCCGCGTCAAGGACGGCGAGCCCCGCAACATCATCAACATCTCCTCCACCTCCGGAGTGCACGGCAACGCTGGACAGGCCAACTACGCTGTCGGCAAGGCTGGCATTGTCGGCTTCACTAAGGTCATCGCCAAGGAGTGGGGACCAGCGTTCGGTGTCCGCGCCAACACCATCGCGTTCGGTCACATCACCACGCGTTTGACGCAGGCAAAGGAGAAGGGTGCGTTTGTTACCACCCCTGATGGAGAGAAAATTGCTATCGGTATCCCTGGCATGGGAGAGCCGCCAAAGGACGGATCGGTCGCATATGCCGATATCCCATTGAGGAGACCAGGTAGCCCATCTGAGGGAGCCAGCTCCATCCTGGCTGTCGCCAGTCCGCTTTTCTCTTATGTCAGTGGCCAGACCATTATGGTTACTGGTGGAAGGAATATGTAAAGTACGATACGATGTAATCACAGTTAGAAAATTCATATATGTTCCATCATTTATTTTACCGTGCCATGGATCCCAGAGACACAATATCTTGCGCCAGCGCTGCTAATGTAATTGATCACACCCAGCAATTATACAGAAAATTGTATTTTGTAACGGTTACAGTTGACTACATGACATATATTAGTATAGTGAACCCCCTCCCAAACTCCCATATACATCCCTTCAGACCTTCAACCACAAGGCAAATACCCCCATCGCATACTCGGCGATCTCTGATGATCCCAGCTTGCTCTCTCCGTATACTCGATCCACAAAACTGATCGGCACTTCCGCAACAGTGCATCCCATCGCCTTTGCCCTGACCATCATCTCCATCTGGAAAGTATACCCCTTGCTCTCAGTGCTCAGAATGACCTTCTCAAGCACCTTTTTCTTGTACAGTCTGAAACTGCCCGTCAAATCGCTCACACCCGGCCTGAGAACAGTATCCGCAAACAGGTTCGCTCCTCTCGAGACCAGCTTCCTCTTCAAGTCCCAGCCGTACACGCCGCCATTCCCTGCATATCTTGTGCCGGTAACGATATCGTATCCACTGTTCGTCGAGATCGACTTCTGCTTCGCGATCATCTCGGAGATGAATTTTGGGTGGTGCGAGAAATCGGCGTCCATGATGATGACGAAGTTTCCGGTTGCGAATTGCATGCCGTGGACGTATGCCGTGCCTAGGCCTAGCTTGCCAGCGCGCGCATGTAGGTGGACGTGTGGTGCGTATACTTTGGCAAGCTGTTTGGCAACGACCTGGGTGCCGTCTGGGCTGCCATCGTCGACAATAATGAGTTCCCAATCGAGATCGCTATGGAACGTTAGTTCGAGGCAAGAAGAGGGGAACCGCACAGGGAGAAGCTTACAGCTCGGTGAAGGTGCGGTTCAACAGCCATGTGATGATCGGAAGGTTGCGCCTCTCATTGTAGGTAGGTAGGAGGATGGAGTATTTGTCTTTCTGTGCCTTGGGCGCCATTGCGGAGTCGATATGGATATTATGTACACGGTTGCAAAACAGCGCTGTAGTGCTTAGCGCAGCGTTCACTTTTGTGTTGTTGAAGGAGGGTCGAGAGTTGGTTCTTGTCGTGAAGCTTTGCGATGTCAATTATTGGTATTGGCTCAGGAGACGGCTGGCTGGGGAACCTGCAGCCGAGGGGATTGGGTTAGCTCCCGCGTGCTTTGCAAATTTGGAAGCTAACGACTTTGGTTTAGAGTAGCCAAATTGTCAAATGTTAAAAGACCGAGACATTGTGCATTACGCTAGTGATTACAGTAACTGTAATTGAAATGAAGACTCTCAATTACTGAAGGCTATAAGTAACAATTGCGACGAGGGATACCAAGGTAATATATTCATTCTTTCAAGAGCGTAGGCTCTAAGTCAGCCATACCCACCCGCGCAGCATCAAGCCTCTGTCTATGTAACTATCGAACAATAAACACAATGAAACCTTCTTGCCATCCTATAAAGAAACATATGCGAACGCCACCTATGCAACGCCTGCTGCTACCCAAGGAAAATGTACAGGTGAAACGACGACGGGAAAGTCACAAGATCCCGCTAAATGACAAACAAATACAGAGTATGAAGCCTCCCAGCTATCACAGGTCTCCCTCACCCAGTTGCTCGCTGGCCATCGTGAGAAGCCTGGCTGCCGTTCCAACAGCCGTTTCGGCAGCTTTCCAATCGCCGACCTCAATAGCGTCGCGGATGGCAGGGAAATATGATTCGTCGTATCCAGACCAGGCTTGAGGAGCAAACAGGACGTGTTTGAATTGCTCACGACCGGGAACCTAAGTCACAGATGTTAGATAGGATCTAAAGAAGAGGGGATAGGATTAAGACTTACTCCACCTCCAACCTCCAAGTCCAGAAGAAGAGTCTCGAAATTTGAAGCGCGGTTGTTGTAGTTTTGTCGAATGATGCTTACATCCGTTTGCTCATAGCCTCCATTGTTGCTTATAAAATTCCTCCAGTACGACCCCCAAGACTTGTATCGTTCTGCATCCCCCTTGAATTTAAGGGCAGCGGCACGAAGCGGTTCGACGTCCCACTTCGGGTTCCCAGCTTGGTTGGCTCCCTTGGATCCGGCCCATTGATTGAGATCCTCAACATACTTCCCAATAGCAGTGGCGTAGGAAGGCATGCTCAATGGCACAATTGGGTTATCCGCCATTTCTAGAACAAGTAAACTCCAGACTTGGCACAACATATGATGGTATAGGAAACCGGGGTCGCCAAACTTTTCCATCCACTCAAAGTTGTCGTATACAGAGTGGTATGGGAACCGCTCGCCCGAAAATCCAATGTTAATAGACGATACACCTGCGATGTCTTGGAATGCTACGTAATCACTCCCAGCGCCGAGGCCCTTCAGTTTGCTTTTGGACTCCTCCCAGAGCTGAAGTAACGTACTGCCGTTTCGCACAGGGTTATTGATTCGGTCCATGACAACACGGATAACCTCTTCAAACGCAGGAGAAGCAGAGGCTTGGAAGTCCTGTCCGCTGACTGCTACATCGACGTTTATATAGGCAACTCCATTCGCCCGAAGTTTGTCGATATTGTTTTCGACGTATTCAGTAGAGCCAATGAGGTTGTACTCTTCCCCATCCCAGCTGGCGAATTCAATGGTTCGTAGAGGCCGCCACCCATGGTGTTTAAGTTCCCCAAAAATCCGAGCCATTTCAATAAGGATAGCTGTCCCGGATCCTGGATCAGAGGCACCATATGCCCATGCATCGCGATGATTACCAATGATAATTGACTTCTCACTTTGCTCAACTCCTTGAATTCGCCCGATGACGTTCCAGATTGGCTGTTGCTCAACCTCATCCTGTTCATTCTTGAGGTGAACCACTGGCGACGACAAGTCTCCAGTCCACCATTCGACATCTGGCACCCCACCCTTCCATTCTGGAGGTACGGCTTGCCCGTGGCCCTTCAAAGATTGCAGAAGGATTTGGGCATCTCGCCAAGCAAGGGGAATGCTGGGAATCTTGTTAAGGCCCGGGTTGTCCGCTACTGGTAAGCGCTTTGCACCTTTCACACTTGCCCAGCCAGGTGTCAGAACATCTCCAATTACCCAGCTCATCAAGCTGACCGAACCCCTCTGAACACCATCGGCTGGCATGAATCTTCCATCGGGCCAAGCCTTCCCTTTGGTAAATCCATCTTCGGCAGGGTCGCTGTAGATAATGCATCCCGCAAAACCCGCTTGTTCCGCAGCCTTAACCTTCAAGGACCTGTCGCCTTGAGACCCGTAATATTTCACCAATGCAATTGCACCCTTTGTGTCGATCCCGCTGTCCTTCAATCGCTTGAAATCCTCCCTTGACCCGAAATTGGCATATATTAACGGGCCCTTTACGTTTCCTGACTTTGAATGGCCATGGAAAGCCAGGGCTTGCTGTCTCTTTTCTTCTGGGTACACATTATCCTCTTCGAGCTTTGCCTTCCACTTGACCGAGCCATCCGCGTTCAAAATCTCCACTGCACGGCCGCCAACCTTTGGGTAGTTTAAATATACATCGTATCTGTCTCTTACTACATTTTCTAGCCCAGCATTGAGGAACTGCTGCTGGACCCAGTTGCTTAGCGCAAAGTCACCTTGTGTTCCAGCAAGATGGTCGTAAGCTGTGAGATGTTCGAGGTTGTCCCTTATCTTTTCCGAATCAATCTGCTCTTGTAGCCAGTCCCTCACACGACCTGGGTCAAACATTTGAACCCCCATGCGATGCGACGCATTCGAGAAAAAGTCGCTCATAAAGAGTAGGTAGGCCAGCCCTACTACTACAAGGAGCGCAAACATCCGGGCCAGTAGTATGAAGATCGAAGCGTCCAGTTCCGGCATCTTGAACTTCCACTTTGGTAGCCGAAACTTAAACGGAAAGTGTAATGACTGAGAGATACTGGATATGCGCTTTCCCCAGCGGGATTGTTCTGCTGGGGGCTCCTCTATCTCCATCTCGTCCATTTCTCGCCGCATCTCTGCATCCTCCGCCACTGAGTCCCTCCCTTCATCCGACCCAAGGAATTCGAGAGAGTCCAAGCTATCTCGTCGAGACTCGTCATCCTCAGTGGGAGGTGGGCGGTAACCTATGCGTCTTGTTGGTACAGGGAGCCGGGCATCGTCGCCCAGAAGCCCTTGACGCTCTTCATTATTGCTTGGTTCGTCCGGCCGCGAGGTTGCAGGTATAGGAGATCGAGAGGACGTCGCTTCGTCATATGTAGGTATAGGGAGGTTCTCGTATTTGTAGGGCTTCTCGTCGGGCATGGTGCCTCGAGGGGGGGCGCATGCGGCTCCAACTGACGATAGTCCAGTAGTCGATGTGTATGCTTAGGTTGATAGATCTAGAAAAGGATATCCATCACATGCGAATCCATTAGATATTGACGTTTCAATGGTACCTTGATGCTGGTGTATGGCAATGATATGGTATCAATAATGTAAGCCCCTGCGACTGAGAATATCTGGACGAGGTCCACGCACTACTGTACGCTCGGCAGTGGCTTGGTAAAACACCCATATCACAACCCCCTACAATACATAAAACACCAAGGTATCGTATCGCTCGTCATATATTTTCAAGAAAACAAGCAACTGCGCTCAGTTCTGGGACAAAAATGCTTTGAATACAGATGTAACTTGATTAGAATGATCAATATGTTAAGATATTGTACAATAAAATGGCTCATGTTATAAAGACAACTAATGATGAAAGTTATGCAACAAGATTCGACATCACGTGTTTGATACATAAAATGAATTGGCAATCCGGCTTAGGTTGGTGGTTATCCGTACATTTTGTACCACGGAAGGAAAAGGCTACGTATGCTTCTCTGGTTCCAATCCCCCGCGATCTGAACATCATTCACTTCAAACAATCAAGCTGTCGTCGGAATTTTTGACATCAAGATGGATTACGTCGATAATAGAGTGGCCAAAGGTACATACTAAACATCCACGAAGCCGAGCGCCTGCTAATTGTTCTTCAGAAGCCGCAAGGTCGTTGCCAAAGGCTGAAGTGTTGGTTGGCATCTCTCAGAACCACGGGCCCTTGCTAACTCTAGTCTTACAAAGAGCGACATTATTCACGCCCATCAATGCCATCCTGCTGTCACTCTTCGTCCTTATTATCTACTACCAACTACGTCCTAAAACACCAACCGCCCTTCCGAAGCAGCCTCCCGCCATCGTCTTCCAGACCTTCACCCCACGCACTCTACTCCCAAACAACGGGGAAAACGGCGCGCCAGTATATCTCGCGGTGCGGGGCCATGTCTTCGATGTTACTTCTGGTCGCCAGTTCTACGGACCCGGTGGGCCATACGAAAACTTCGCTGGACGAGATGCCAGTCGAGGACTGGCTCATGGCAGCTTCGACGAGGATATGCTGACGAGTGACTTGGATGGGCCGTTGGATACATTAAGTGATCTCAATGATGAGCAGAAGAATGCACTGAAGGGGTGGGAGGAGAGGTTCAACGAGAAGTATCTAGTTGTGGGAACGCTTGTTGCTGCCGGTGAGGAGGAATGAAGCGGACCAGAGAATCAGGAACAACGACAGGAAGATTGTATGTTTTTTAACGACGTCGTCAGGCGATAATGGGTAAAAGTTCAAAATTTGACATGCACCCGTAGCCTTCCGGCCTCGGAAGACTGTTTTATGATTGTATATTGATGACCAGAGAAACGCCCTTGCTCCATGCTGCACTCATCGACCGTCTGCCCGTAGCATGTCTTTAATATATCCAGCACACCATCTAAGTTGTTCACTTCTTTCCGCTCTTCTTGATTCCTTGTGCGCCAGTGTTGAGGGGTCCTTTGCTTCCCTTTGCCTTCGCGGCGAGCTCAGCCTTGGCTTTCGCATCTGCAAAATATTAGCATAAGAACGTCTAAGAATGTGCGTGTAACATACCGGCACGCTGCTTCTCTTGGAAAGCTTTGTCCTCATCATCCAACTCGGCCTTTGGCGCCTTCTTTGGTGCCTTGAGAGGCTTCGCCTTTCCACCTGCAAAAAGTTAGGCCTGTACCAGACATTATTTCTATTATAACATACCTGCTCTGTCTGCACCACCCATGCTGATGATTATACTTGAATAAGTATTAGTTTGGGTAGATGAGTTGAGTTGTACGTTGAAAATCGGAGTGTAGATGCAGATAAGGTTTGCTTCAGATAAACTGGAGGAGGGGCAACTGGAGACGGCGTTTTCCCAACGCGCATTGCCGAATGTCACTAGCGCCACTAGCGCAATCAGTCAGGCAAGCCTTGTTGTTTCTAGGCTCGAAATCTTGGAAGTGACCTCGACTAATACTTCGAACAACGCATCAAATACGTGCAAACAAAGGCTTCAAGGGTAGACGCGGATTCCAAATACTTGGACAATGCGCTGAAAACGGAGTACGAGAAGTTATATACCCGGTTGGGCTCATTCTCACACAGAGATTCACCTTCTGATCCTTTACTAACACGTTCTGGCATCAAAGGGAGTGGGTTATATCGGCCCCAGCAAAGGTCATCCGCGACGATGGCATCATCTAGCTCGGACGAGGGGGAGATAAGAGACACGGGATTAGACAAGGCAACTACGTCGCCGCAGATGAAAGACACTTCAGTTGACCGTCAACACAGAATACGATCTAGATACTCGCCTTCTCCGTCTCTGTCAATCGAAGATAGCGTTGTTTCCGCCCTGCGGCGCTCATCAGAGAGGCGCTTATCACCAAGGGGCTCAAAGCGAAATCGGGATGACGACCACTACTCTCGCAGTCACAGAGACTCTCGACGACTCAAGAGTCATAACGAAGACCGCCCGACTCAACGGCGTGGCCAGCACTCCTACGAAGATCTGGACAGGGAATGCGCCGCACCAGCTGGTCTTCGATACGATGATGGCGACAGGAACCGTGACAGGCGCTCGCGTACTCGGACACGCAGCCGTTCTCCTTATAGAGCCTCTCGCGAAACCGAATCTCGAGGCAGTTATAATACGAAATCACAGCGTGACAACTACAGCGGCAGTAGGAGCGATTTGCCTGACAGGCCAAGGATGAATGGATATGGAAGTCATCGACGCCAGGGTTCAAGAGACCAGTCAGTGAGCAAAAGGGCCGATGGGCGGATGCCAACTGACCTTTCAAATGGAGAGGCTAAATTTGTTCAAGGATACTCACAGAAGCGTGGTGATAGCTATAAGGGCGAGCGTGATATTGAAAGGTTAGTTTGTGGAGCACCCTTGACTGTTTGGATAATAGCTAACTCTTCGGTAGATCCCACCCCCCTGTGGAAGAACCACCATCTGACACAGAGCCTCTTGATGAAGCAGCATTGATTGAACAGCGACGGAAACGCCGTGAGGCGATCAAAGCGAAGTATAGAGGGTCAGCTACGGCTACGCCTTTAATGGTGCAGGCTTTACAGATAGGAGACCGAGCAACGCCAGAAACACGCAGCCAGAGTGAACAGGACGGCGATGATCAGCCTACAAGGAATGGTAAGGCTGCAATATCCCTCGAAAAAGTGCATTCTAACAACCAAAATATAGCTTCTCCAGACGTTGCTACTCCTTCAACACCCAAGGAAATCCAGGATCCAAGCGCATTCACAGCCCTGAATGATCAAGAGCTAGCCAATGAAGCCGGAGTGAGAGCTAACCCAGAGGATAGCCCTTCTGCAGCGGACTACGACCCAACAATGGATATGAAAGAGGACAGATTCCGGGACGACAAACGCCACACTGGAGATACCGGAGACGTTCCGTCATCTGCGTACGACGAGACAAAGCCCACCACTGAACAGGAGGTTTTACTTCCAGCATCCGAGGTCGAAGAAAAGCCCCAAAAATCAAAGGACGACTTTGACATGTTTGCGGACGACGACGACGATGATATGTTTGCCGAGGAGCCGGAAACAACAGCTGGGACAACACGTAAAACTGGAGACTCGGCCGTCGCCGTCCCAATACCGGAAGCAAAGGTTTTGAATGTCGGGATGCTGGATAATTGGGATGACGCCGAAGGATACTACAAGGTGATATTGGGTGAACTCCTTGATGGAAAGTACCATGTCCAGGCCAATCTCGGAAAGGGTATGTTTTCTGGTGTTGTGAGAGCTACCGATATCACAACGAAGAGGCTGGTGGCGGTCAAGATGATCCGCGCAAATGAGACCATGAGAAAGGCGGGCATGAAGGAGATTGAGATCCTTCAGAAGTTGATGAGTGCAGATGTTGACGATAAGAAGCACATGATTCGACTGGAACGCCACTTCGAGCACAAGGGCCATCTCTGCATGGTTTTTGAGCATCTCAGCATCAACTTACGCGAGGTGTTGAAGAAGTTTGGACGCGATGTTGGCATCAACATCCGTGCTGTGCGCGTCTATGCCCAGCAGATGTTCCTTGGACTGACACTCATGCGCAAATGCAATATCCTTCACGCCGATCTGAAACCCGACAATATTCTGGTCAATGAAAACCGGAGCATGCTCAAGATTTGCGATTTGGGATCTGCCTCGGATGCCTCTGACAACGAAATCACACCTTACCTTGTATCACGCTTCTACCGTGCTCCTGAGGTCATTCTAGGGATGCCATACGACTTCGCCATCGACATATGGTCTGTTGGCTGCACGTTGTATGAGCTGTATACCGGCAAAATCCTTTTTGTGGGCCGGTCTAATAACCAGATGCTGCGGTCTATCATGGAATGCCGTGGCAAATTCACAACGAAGATGCTGAGGAAAGCTCAGTTTGCTCACATGCATTTCGACGAGCAGACAAACTTTCTGAGCGTGGAGCAGGACAAGCTGAGCGGAAGGGACACAGTCAAGACGCTTCCCTTCGCAAAGCCCACGAGGGATCTGAGAACGAGACTTGCGACGGGTGCCAAGGGATTACCGGACGATGAGATGAAGGAGTTGAACCTGTTCATCGACTTATTGGATAAATGCCTGGCACTGAATCCCGAGAGGAGATGCACACCAGCAGAGGCGCTGAAGCATCCCTTCCTTAATAGGCCAGTTGGTAGATAGATGAGAACTGGTTCGGAGAGAACCATGGCGCACTCGGAGCTGATTCCAGGGTGGGTAAATATGGGATTGTACTCCATAAAAGAAACAAATATACGGGATGCTCTACATAATTGCTATGGATAATATGATGACGTCTGTTGAACTGTTGTAATATGTGCCAGTGAATTGTCTAGAGCACATGTGAGATCGTCGTCTCAGTTCATATGAGAGCGAGGCTGCTGTCATTAGTGTTGTAGCCTCGTCTGGTGTGGGCCTGTTCTAAGCCAAGAGCGGTTACATTCCAGACCAGAGAGAGACCCCGAGGGTAGAAGCCAGGTAGAGTAGACAGATCGACGAAGGGTGGGGTTTGGGGTCAAGATAACACATCAAATCGTTCAAGGCACAAGTTGTAAGTACGGGCCGAGCAATGTTTAAGTTGCTCAAAGAATCATCGAGTTTGCTGGTCACTGTCCACCGCGAGATCATTCACAGCGCTTGTCGTATATGAACATCTAATCGTGAAACGAATCATAGTGACTGACCCCTGACGACCCATAACAGCCACCACCAAAACGGCACAGTCTGTTTCAAGTACACCACGTTCCTGTTTCTAGTCCTTCGGCCTTCGTCCGGATCATTTTCAAAGAAGATTACAGGTGCAATAGTTCGCTGAGAGAGGGGTTAAGGTCTGAAGGCCTTCATTTCGTCTGAGAGTGGCACGCGGAACGGCAAGGCCATAACTCCAACTGGGCGAGGTGTCATTGCCTATTCTCTGCTCTACTCCATGCATTATTTGTCGTCGTGCACGCCCTCGAATACCACCTACTCTCTGACCTTGGTCTGACTTACTTGTCTCGTTGCTTAGAGACTGCCGCTATCACTTGGCTGATCGAATGCCATCGACCTCTATCTCATTGTCGCAAACCACAATGTGGAAACGAATGCAGCAGGGCAAGTCTGCGAAGCACCAGAACCAACCTATCTTGCCTGGGAGCAATGGGGGCGCCCTAGAAGGCCCTCAGGATTCTTTTCTCTCACCCCAGGATGGTAATTACGGACGAGGCCTGCCAGCTCTGCCAAAGTAAGTAAACACCAGGATGACCTCCACATACCGGCGCTAACAACATCGCAGTGAGTCTGAACAGCAACCACAAGCGCGACAAGGAGGCAAATACCGACCAGCATCATCCTTATACTCCCAACACTCCCCGCGCTATCCAGCCCCCGCGACATTCCAAGAACAAGTCTCGAGCTACGAGGAGCAAATAGAGATATCCCCGCCCAGCTCACCCGATCTGCCTCGAAGTGAAATGGCCCCTCAATCCTATAACACACACCTAAGTAACGTCCCAGCCGCGCTATCAGCGCACCCGGTCAAAAGCAGCATCCCAGTTGCGCGACGCGAGAAGCGGCGGAACCAGGCACAGGCCACCACAGCGGGCCTTCTTGCGCGGAGAGAGGAACAAGCGGCTGCTGCTACTGCTGGGCTGAGAAAGACAAGTGGGACACGATGGGACGATTACCCGGGGGGGGCTAACGAGCAAGGCCGGCCGCCATCCGTGCAACCGGGACAGTTCACGCCGGTTGTTACGAACCTAGAAGATTCATATAATGCAGCGCACTCAGCTCCCAAGGCGCAGACAGCGTTTAGCGACCGCGTCCGGAAGCTGAAGGAGGGTAATAAGTCAGGTGGCAGCAAGCCAGAGTGGGAAGGGTCTAGTGGAAGGATGGCGATCGTGCCGGCGCCTGAAGATAACCCATCCGCGCTGCCCTTGCAAATCCCTAGAAAGAGCAGCAAGCGCGTGCCCTCCAACCCATCACTGGGTGGTTCGAGAGTTCCGTCCCCTTCTAATGAGACTCCCGTTGTATCACCAACCGCGCACGGTGGCCCGCAGTACTTCTTGAACACCACCTCGGAAGCTCCAGAACCACCACCACACTACGAGCCCTCCTCGCCCTTAAACTCCCTTCCATCACAACGAGTGCAGGCGCGCCGACCTATTGCCGCTCCAGCTACGCCTGACAAATCTACCCTACCACCGTCCGTCTCTACCATCGAGCGCAACTTCCACGAAGCCCTAAAAGACGTCTCGATCAGCAACGCCTCCGGCCGACCCCAAGAAGTCTCCCGCTTCAGCGTCACCACCTACGCCCCCTCAACCACCACCTCCTCTCCCCGCCCCAGCACCGACTCCGTGCCTCCCCTCCCCGAGCCCTACCAATACACCAGCTCCGTCCCCGCCCACTCTCCCATCCTCAACCGCCGCCGCCCCGTCGGCGCCCCAAGCTACACATTCGACCGGACCACCGGCATGCTCCGCCACCCCCCCTCCGGCGACCCAAAATTCATCAGCATGACCCACCGCGCATCCCTCTCCAAAGCCCTCCCCAAGTCCCCCGAAGAGGGCCAAGCGCTCGACAAGGTCGCCTTGCTGCAGGCGCAGCTCGATGACCTCGCGAGGCAGCGGAGTAACATCGATTCCTCGATCCGACGCATGACGGAGCTGATGCCGGGGGAGATGACGGGGTTGGGGCGCGGGATGAGCAGTGAGGCGAGGATAGCGGAGATGGCGAGGAGGGAGGAGGAGAAGAGGAGGGTGGAGGTGCTGAGGGGGGATTTGGCGGGGATTAGGAGGGAGGAACATGAGGTGGGGTTGAAGTTGCATAGGGCGCTGAAGAAGGCGGATGAGAGGGCGGTTTATGAGCCGAGTGGGTTGTGGGTTAGGAGGGTTATGGGGTGAGGTGGTGAGTGAAACTGTTTTTTGACGGTGGTACTGCTGTGACGCGGGGGATTTCTCGGACGTGTTGATACTGAGGGGATGGGTTTCTCGGACGTGTTCAAATGCTGTATAACAGGCACACTATACGATATGCATGCAGCATGGATTTGTAGTGTGGAAGGGCGTTGGTCTAGCGCAAGATACGTGCAGCTATGTTTTTGTTAGCCATGATTTACTTGAGCTGAATAACAAGCCATCAGAGATGCCCATTGGGTGTGCATATATGCGACTGTTTCCGTTTCCTGCGTCTCTTTATTATACGATGTAGACTAGAGTAATTATTGTAGTGGACTCGCGTGTTGGCGATGTTTCACAGGTGTCACATAACGGCAATGGAGCGGGTTTTATTGGTTCGCACGTGATGGAGGGTTATTTTTTTCTAAGATACTATGTACGGAATACTCCAGTAGCTTAAGGGCGGTTGCGGTCGCGCCCTGTCCAGCTGATGAGATGGGGGATCGTGGATCGTGGAGGGTGGTGATAGGGGGATTAGTGTCTGAGATATATTATGGATATTATGGATATTATGGATATTATGGATATTATGGATATTATGGATATTATAGATATTATGGATATTGTGGATATTATGATATTATGGATATCGAGCTGGAATAAAGGAAGGTGCTTTGATTGTTTGATTTGTAGAGGTTAAAGGGCAGGGGGGCGTTGGTATGGTAATAGAGTGGCGTGAGTAGAGTACCGTATACCGTAATGTAACGTACAGTACAATATAGTACATCAATTATACTTTTTTTTTTCAATATTCCTAAGCGAAGGGCAGATGTCCTTTTTTGCGGGTGATGTGGTGACGAAAAGGAAACCGAGATCAGCTAGTAAACTCGGATTGTTGGTTAGCAGGTTGGCGCTATGCATAATCAGGCCTCATGCATAATGCATATTGCGTAATTGGGCGCAGAGATGGGTGATGGATGGTTATGGGTATGGATGGTTATGGGTATGGATGGTTATGGGTATGGATGGTTATGGGTATGGATGGTTATGGGTATGGATGGTTATGGGTATGGATGGGGTTTTGATTAATCACATTTTTCCTCTCCCTTTTTTTCGATCTAATATTGGAGATACTGTGTCAAAATAGACATGGTATTAGTATGTACTGTACAATACCATACAATACCATAATATAATACTCCGAGTATCTCAAAGTCACTATATATCAGTGCGAGTAGTATATCCCCTAGGAAACTAATTATAATTCTCAATGGGAGTCTGGTTAGTCTGGTTGTCTGGTTGTCTGGTTGTCTGGTTGTCTGGTTGTCTGGTTGTCTGGTTGTCTGGTTGTCTGGTTGTCTGGTTGTCTGGCTACTCTGCCTACTCTAGTTGGTCTGGTTAGTTTGGTTAGCTGGTTGGTCTGGTTAGTTTGGTTAGTCTGGTCTGGTTAGTCTAGTTGGTCTGGTTAGTTTGGTTAGTCTGGTCTGGTTAGTCTAGTTGGTCTGGTTAGTTTGGTTAGTCTGGTCTGGTTAGTCTGGTGTCTGGTTAGTCTGGTGGGTTAGTCTGGTTGGTCTCGTTAGTCTGCCTACTCTGGTTAGTCTGGTTGGTCTTGTTAGTCTGGTTGGTCTTGTTAGTCTGCCTACTCTGGTTAGTCTGCCTACTCTGGTTAGTCTGCCTACTCTGGCTACTCTCCCTACTCTAGCTACTCTGTCTACTCTGGCTACGCTGCCTACTCTGGTTAGTCTGGGTAGTCTGGCTAGCTACTGTCCGTCCCTACTCTGGCTACTCTCCCTATACTGTCCCTACTCTACCTACCCTACTACCTACTCTTCCTCCCTACTCTCCCTACTCTCCCTACTCTACCTACTCTCCCTACTCTACCTACTCTCCCTACTCTCCCTACTCTCCCTACTCTACCTACTCTACCTACTCTCCCTACTCTCCCTACTCTACCTACTCTACCTACTCTCCCTACTCTACTACCTACTCTACCTACTCTACCTACTCTATCTACTCTACCTACTCTACCTACTCTCCCTACTCTCCCTACTCTACCTACTACCTACTACCTACTCTCCCTACTCTACCTACTCCCTACTCTACCTACTCCCTACTCTACCTACTCCCTACTCTACCTACTCCCTACTCTACCTACTCCCTACTCTACCTACTCCCTACTCTACCTACTACTCTGGCTAGTCTGATTTGTCTGATTTGTTAGATTTTTGTTACCTACTACGTCGCTCATACTCTACTTCGTACTAAATTAATCTGACGCTTACTTATCAATAGTGTACTATTTAGAAATTAATACAGTTGATACGACCAATCATCTCTCTCTGTCCCATCTTATTCCTTTCTTACTCTTTAATACGCCGGGCCCGGCGTGGTTTGTAGCGTTGTAGGTAGATAGGTATGTAGCAACGTCCTTTTTTGCCTCTAGACTTTTTTCCTTTAATACAAACTGATCCTAACCCATATCTGTAGACTGATCCACCCATGAACTCTTAAAAAGGTTGGCTTGTCCATAATCGATAATATACATACCTCCCACCCCCAATGGTCACTTTCGCTGCTTTCAAATCATAATCTCTCTCTCTCTCCGTGGCGTGAAACTCTTTGTTCCCTCTTTTAACTCAAAATCACTTGTTCTTCTTTCTTGTTCGTGTCAAAGGGTTGGTCCCTCATTATTCTTCAAAAGGGCCGGTCGGTCATAAGTTATAATCACCCCGCGAGCTCCCTGACTTCACCTATCGCGCAACAAATCATCAACCGGTTATCACAGCAAGGGTCTGATGTGCACCCTCTAACACCCTCAAAATGCAACAGCCCATGGATCTCGATCCTGAAGCGCCGCCGACTAACCAAAGCCACAAAGTCGACAAAACTTCCACCACCTCACACGCCAAAACACACGATGCGCCACCCTCATCTGGCCACCCATCACCCGCACCATCAAGCGGCTCGGGTCACCACAACGAGCTCTACGACCGCGAGCTCTCCAACTTCAACGCCGTAGTCGCCTCCATCTCACCCGCCGCAGCCCGCGCCGGCGTGCGCCAAAACTGGCGCAAATGCCTCCTGGGCTCATCCAGCGATGAGTCGTTCTTCATTCGTAGTCTCATGGGGCGGACTTCAGATCACGTGATGACTAGGACCTTGGAGGATGAGCAGGAGAGGATCTTGGAGGTGGCGAGTGAGCACTGCAAGGCCTTTCTGGATCAGGCGATGGCGATGAGGTTGGAGAGTATTAGCGCGAAGGATTTGGTGGCGGCGTTGGCTAAGGCGAGACGGTTGGGGTATGATGAGATGGACTTGGTTGAGGCGGATGAGATGGTCGTGCCAGCAGAGAGGGCGGAGGCGGATGAGCCGAACGACACGGAGGAGGAGGCGGAAGAGAAATTGCAGGTCGAGGTGCCTGAAGTGTTGGAGGTGGAGGGTGGTGCGCGGAAGGATAGCTGGGCGAAGGAGAGGTTGATGGAGTTCAGGATGAAGGAGCAGGATGATGCGCGCCAGGGGTCGCAGACGGTGTTTAGCCAGACTGAGGGACATGCCAAGCGCAAGAGTAAACGCAAGGTGTGCCCGGCTTGCGGCGCGACGTTTCTCCAATCTGCTGGATTGAAGTATCATATGGATCGTAAGGTCTGTGAGAGACAAAAACCGACTGCTCCTTTGAAGTTTTGGTGTGATCTATGCTCAAAGGGGTTTACAACATCTGGGGGTCTCACTTATGTATGTATTGCCCACGGGTTATGCACTGTGACCTGCTAACAGCCTCTTAGCACCGATTGAACAATGTTTGCAAGGGCCATGAAACCTCAGCGATGTCGTCTCCCAACGCCCAGCTTCAAGCTGAGCAGGCAGCAAAATATGCCAAGCCTCCACGAAACCTAACACCCAGAGAGCTTCTTAAATCAGAGCCATACCCCGGGGCCTTGAACGTTCGCACCTATTCTCCTCCTCGGAACGCGCAAATGCCAGCAGCGCGCTTCACAGAATTCAAAGCCTCTCCCAAACCACTACCCATGCACCCATCGCCACAGCAATACCAACCGCAACCGCAATCCACGCCCTCCTCAGGCTCCAAACCATCCGTCGCCCTCACCCCCGAACAATTCACCGAAATGAACGCAAAACTCGAAAAGGAAGAACGCCGCTTCGAATCCGTCCTCGCAAAAGTATCCCCCCACCTCTCCTCCGCCGACCGCCACGCCGAGATCAAGCGCCTCAAAGCGGGAAGCTCAACCCGCAAATCCATCATCCGCCGCGAATACGGCGTGCAAGTCCGCCGCTCCAAGGTCGCCACCGCGAACGCCATACGCACGGCTAGTGGTGGGGTTGATATCTCGATGGTCGATGCGCCGCCGAGCACGAATGGGTTCGCAGCGATAAACCGCATTGCTCCATGCCGCGCGGAGCCGAGCGAGCCGGACTCGAAGAGGAGGCGTACGGGCGAAGTGGAGGTTAGGGGGAGAAATCCGTCGATGTACGACCCGCTCCGCGATGACTCGGAGCGCAGTCGCAGCGTGGAGTATCCACGTCCTGGTTTCAACGGGGCGCAACAACTTCCTCATCCCGACCAGGTGCTGAAATCAGATAATCGCCCGACGACGGCACAGAGGCAGAACGGTATCATTCCGCGTTCGAGACCGCCGCTACCGCTGCATGCCCAGCGACCACCTCACGGTACGCCACAACATGACCCGTACCGGCAACCGAGTTACCAGCACCACCAAACCCCGACGGGAGGGTTTACAAGCGTCAATACTGAGCCCAGCGTATCTACCCCGCACGGCCGCTGCGATAGACATCACGCCCCAGTAGCACGAATGCAAACCTACGCCGCCCCCCCTTTCTACGTTGACCAAGACCGGCGGGAACCCGCGCACCCCGCACACCCGCCCTACCACCCTGGCCACCCCACCCACGACGCAGCGGGTACATTCGGGGTTCTGAAATCGCATAAAAAAGTCCCTGTCCGCGAGGCGCAAGCACAGTGGGAGAATCTTCAGGGTGGCGGCGGACAGTTGGGGGTGAATGGCGTGGAGAGGAAGACGAGCGCGAGGACGGGGGGTTTGATCCAGATTCTGTCCGATTCGTCGTCGTATTCGCATACCCCGCCCCAGGAGAAAGTAGTCGCGCAAGCGCCGCAGAAAGCGCCTGCCCCGTCGTCGGCGGATGTTCCGCCTGACTCAAGGAAGAGTGCGGGGGTGTGTGGGAGGCCAACTGCGCTGCCTGCGCGTAGCTCGCCGCGGCCGGGGGAGAAGGTGGGGGAGGTGAGGGAGGTGAGGGGAGAGGAGGAGAGTGATAGCGATGATGGAAGTGATACGAGTATACCGGCGCGCAGGACGCCGGTGAAGAATGAGGCGTATCGGGATACGGCGCAGCCGCGGAGCGCTTGGGGGAAGGGGAAGTATGGGAGGGATGAGAAGGAGAATAGGGGGTTTGAATAGGGGAATAGGGGATTTGTGTGATTTCTGGGGGGTTGGCTTGTTGGATTTATATGGGGTTTTGTGTGGTGTTTGAATTTTTAAGGGTATTCGGTTAGCGTTTAAAGCGTGGGGGGGGTCTGGCAACAAGGGTATACACATGAAGGGGTTTTTCGGCTGGGTTTCTATGTATACTAGGGGGGTACAATAATCCCCTGGGATGGATTTGCCAAGTATAAAAGCATGAAATCACATAATATCGTCCTTTACCCCGCTGAGGCGCTCTAAGCCCCTTGCCACGAGGGTGATCAGTACGCGGTCACCACCAAAAACTCTACCAGAAATGTTCCAAGAACCGTGCCACTTACTGTTTCAACCGCGTAATCAGTAACGAATAGAGCTACATAGACTTGTAGTAACCTACGGTCGATCCTACTCGCTTTATTTTTTAAAATGTTAAAAAAAGGGGGGCTTCAACATGACTCAAACCACGTGATAACGCGTGATAACGCGTATTCTAACGTCTGGCAACCCGTAAAAATATAGGCACCTCCTCAGAATTACCCACCATGGTCCCCATTCACAGGAATCCTTCTGTTCTAAGGCACCTCCATCGAAGGGCAACCGCTACATGGAGGGTACCACTAGATCATGCGGGCTTCCGTAGATTCACCGTCGAGACAAAGAAGCTAGGAAGCGTCGGGCGAGTCATCCATGATGCTCACCCCTCAGCCCCCAGGCACCACTACGGCGCAATCGTCGTCGGCGGCGGCCCCGCCGGCCTAGCCACAGTTGGAACCCTCCTCGACGAGGACGTCAAACCCATCCTATGGATAGACCATGAATTCCAAGGTGGCCGACTCAACGCGCAATACAGGGAGGTCCCAAGGTGCGTCACATCACATGACCCTCCCCCCCCCCAACTTCCAGAAATACTATATTAACGACATGACAGTAACACCAAAGTCTCCCTCTTCATCGCCTTCGCGCGCGCCACAGCCGCCTTCCGCAAGATCGCAGATCAAGACCCCACGCCCCCGGCCTACGCGGCGCTACAGGCTATGGACCAGGACACCGGGTGTGACCTCGCTGCCGCGGGGGATATGTGTGTTGAGCTCACGGCGGGATTAGGGAGGGAAGCGGATGTGGTTATGGAGTACGGACATGTGGAAGCTGGGTCGTTGAATCAGGAGGGCGTGTGGAGCGTTACTACGCGTCCGACTGCCGCCGGACAGGGGAAGCAGGTTGGCGCTCCCACGACGCGTCTTCTCGTCCTTGCAACCGGAGCGCGTCCGCTCCCGCCGCGGCTGCCGGATACGTATACCCATCTCTCGCCCCTACACCTCGACACCGCGCTCAGCCCCACGGCGCTGGCGAAGGCGCTACCCCGGAATCGGGACGTGAAAATTGGCCTTGTAGGCGCCTCCCACTCCGCCATCCTCGTCCTACGGAACCTCTACGAGCTAGCGCGAAGCACACACCCTGGGCTGCGCGTGAAGTGGTTTAGTCGGCATCCGCTACGGTATGCGGTTGACAAGGGGGATTGGATATTGAGGGATAATACTGGGTTGAAAGGTGAGACGGCTGTTTGGGCGAGGGAGAATCTGGAGGAGGGGGTTTGGGAACAGAGTAACGTGAAAGAGTATGTCCGGAAGATTTTCACGACGCCGGGTGAGGGGGAGAAGGTGGCGTATGAGAGGGAGCTTGGGGGGAAGGGGGTGGATATGATTTGTGAGGCGGTTGGGTTTGAGAAGGGGGATTTGCCGAGGTTGGAGAGGAGGGCTGAGAGGGCTGGGTTGGAGGGGGAGGGGATTGGGAGGATTGAGGCGGATGGGTTGACGGGGGGGCTGAGGGATGAGTTTGGGGAGATTAGGGGGTTGAAGGGGGTTGGGATTGCGTGGCCTGAACGGGTTACGGATAAGGAGGGGAATGTGGAGAGTTCGGTTGGGTTGTGGAAGTTTATGAGGTATTTGAAGAGAGTTGTTCCGGAGTGGGCGAGGGAATGTAAATAGCGGAGGAGAAGGTAGGCTTTAGTTGTAGCATTTACAGGAGCTTCCAATTTAGACGTGTAAGTTGAGAGATTAAAGGCGAGGGAGGCTGTTCATACGTTTCGAAGACGGATATGCAAGCATCTTCTACATACGACTATAGACTCAATGGAATAGGTATCCCGTCCGCTATGTTATATACAAGCTTGCAATGTAGTTGCTCTTTGCCCTCAATTATGCTAATATTTATAGCCTAGAACGGGGACCATAACGGCCTCATGGGCGACTTTTCCCGCGTCGTGGGTGACTTTTGCTGCCTCGCGGATGACCTTAGTCGCCTCGTGGGTACTCCTAGGTTTACTTGAGAGTGAGCAGGGTAAGTTCTATTTGCGACCACAGGCGTCGCTAGCAGGTGGCCCCTAACGCAGATGTTGCCTGACTTGCGGCAGGCTAGGCAGATATTAAAGTTGCAGGAAGCGCAGTAGAAGCGGAACCTGTTGTCAAGGAAGACATAGCAACACACGGCGCAATTGGCTATCAATCTAGAGCCGGCCTTGTCCTTTTCTTGGTTGTTGTTCTCATTATCCTTTGGCAGCGCAACGTCATGTCATGACCCCCTAGACACGGGGTGTCACAGTCTCGGCAGATGTTGTAGTTGCCATCCCTACAGATGGAGCATTGAAAGTGCTCCTCGCTCTTAGGGAACTCGTCGTAGCAGATGTCGCATATTAGATGGTCGCCGCCCTCGTAGTCCCACCTGTACTCGGTGGTGTTTTTGCCGCCTCTGACACCGGGATCTGGCTTCACAGCCGATGCCTCCTCCGCCACAATCTTGGTTGCCAGCGCCTCCAGCTCAACTACCTGGGCACCAGTTTGCTGCGGCGGCGCGGTCGGTGCTGGCAGGTGATATTGAGGCGCAGGAAGCTGAGATGACGGTCCACCAGCGCCTCCTTAATCATGCGCAGTATGTTGGGATAGACACCACCCTGGCCGCACCGCAGCCGCGCGATCTCCTTCTGGTCGCCGTAGACTTCCTTGCACGTTTCTCTGGTTCGAAGTTGAGCTGCGCCGACGACCGCTCCACCATCACTTTTGCCTCGCCGTGCCGCTCCCACTGACCGTCCAGCCCCTCTGCCACCGTGCTCGTTGGCCGCGATTCATAGTACGTGTGGATTGCCATGTCCTTGGCCACGTGTCGGAACCGCTGTGATAGACGGCGATTCGCGCTTCAGCTCGCTGATCAGCGTCTGTGTTGGGCGGCCCTTCACAAGTGTCTCTAATGCTGTCACTTCGAGCCCGTTGTGTGGGGCCACAAAGAAGATGAGGGTGCGCACTAGGAGGCGTGAGCGGTGCTGGGCTCTAGATCAGTGATGGCCTAGGGGGGTTAACATGGAATTTAGATACAAAGGAGTCATGATTACCTGTTTGATGATAATGGCACCGAGGCTATGGCCCTACTCAGATGGTTAGTCTAGGTTATCCATAAGAAGTTAGAAGTCTTCATGTACAATTAGGATAAGAGGCCTATCCCTGCACACTAATGAGAACGTTAGTAGCCGTTATAATTATAGAAAGATTAGAAGGGGGGAAATAGGGAAAGAGCGTACAGATGGATGGTCTCTTAGATCCATTAGGCTCAGAGTAAAGCTGTTCCCATAGTCCGAGATAATGCTCTTGGCTGTGTTGGCGCCGTGCAGCTGCGACTCATAGCCCGGTGACTGCGATAATGCTACAATTGCCTTATATCAGTAAAGTTGCCCTACTTTCCATTTCTCTTCTTTTCCCCTCTTTTTTCACGTCAGCACTTACTCCGCGCAGACATCCTTGCCTGGATTGTTGAGCGGCGTGAAGCCGATAAAGTCCTTGTCCATGTCGAAGTCGTCATATTCCTCAGCCCGCGGCTCCCGCGGCTCCCGCAGCTCCTGCGGCGAGAACAGCATTGTCGCTGTTAGCGTGCCATCCCCATCGTAGTTGCTTACGTCTGGCACGAGCGACTTGATCTGAATACACTTCTTGTCGTCGCTGTGGAAGCATGATTTGAGCCGCGCCTCGGTGAAGTGGGCTGGGATGTTCTGGATCCGCCGCCATGTCGGGGGGCGACTCGATACCATGTTTGTAGCTGAAAGGCATATACGTAAAGAAGGAATGTATGTAGAAGACACTTACTCTTTGGTCAGTAACATCCAGCCTCGCTGGTGAGCATCGCCGCCTTAAGTTTGTCCCCAAGCCGATGCATTACAAACCTCGTTTTACTTGTTCTGGCGTAGCTCATCAGCCACTGACAGCCACCTACCTACCCTCGTCATATTATCGCCTACCAACGCTGGTACTTTTCAGCTCTTATACAGCCTTATCATAATTTGGCTCCAAGTCATGACCTACAATATTCTGTATTTTATTCTTCAAGGTGTCCGTGGCGAAAGGAATTATTTATCTAGAAACAATAACGTACATGTATAGCGAAAGCGCCAAACAAGCGAAAGCGCCAAAATGATGCGGTGACCAAACCCCCCAACTAAATGTTAAATTCCTCAACAACAAAACATGCCCCATAAAAACGATGAAAGCCAATTAGTGCTAGCTATCCAGGCTATGCAAAGCGACCCAAAGTTACGCCTTCGAGTTGCTGCTAGGATCTATTCTGTGGACCACCGCAAGCTAGGTCGTCGTCTAGAAGGTGTACCTTCACGACGCGATATCCAAGCCAACTCACGGAAATTAACTAACCTAGAGGAGTCCGTCCTTGTTCAGTATATACTCGACCTAGCTGCCAAAGGGTTTCCTCCTCGGCTGTCTGTTGTTGAAGATATGGCAAGTCGACTACTTGCAACACGCGACGCGTCACGCGTTGGGTCGCGTTGGGCTTCAAACTTTGTTAAGCGGCGTGTAGAGCTCCAGACACGCTTTCAGCGCAAATACGACTACCAGAGGGCTAAGTGCAAAGATCCAGAAGTTATTAATGGCTGGTTTGAGCTTGTGCGTAACACAATTGCGAAATATGGTATCGATGAAGCAGATATCTACAACTTTGATGAGACTGGGTTTATGATGGGCGTTATCTCAACTGCTATGGTTGTAACAAGCTCAGACGGGCGGGCAAAAGCAAAGAAGGTACAGCCTGGTAATCGGGAATGGGTTACAGTAATCCAAGGCGTTAGTTCTCAAGGTTGGGCAGTACCACCATTTATCATTGTTGCAGGCAAAAACCACCTTACATCTTGGTATGAGAATAGTGGATTTTCAAGCGATTGGGTGATTTCTGTTACTGAAAATGGCTGGACTACAAACGAGAGAGGCATGGATTGGATTCAGCACTTTGAGAAGCATACAAAGGCCCGGAGTGTTGGTGGTTATCGCTTGTTAGTCCTTGATGGTCATGAGAGCCACCACTCAGATGAGTTTGAGGAGTACTGCAAGGAACACAACATTATTACGCTTTGTATGCCTGCTCACTCTTCTCATCTACTCCAGCCACTTGATGTTGGCTGTTTCGGCCCGTTAAAGCAGGCCTATGGTCGGCAAATTGAAGATATGATGCAGGCTCATATTTCTCATATTACAAAGGATGACTTCTTTCCTGCCTTCCACGCTGCATTTAACACTACAATGACGGAAAGTAACATTTGAGGCGGGTTCCGAGGGGCAGGGCTTCTTCCATTTGACCCTGAGAGAGTGATATCTACACTTGATCTTAAGTTAAGGACACCAACGCCTCCAAGCTCCCGCCCAGGTACTGCTCAACCTTGGGTTTCTCAGACACCAAACAACCCAATTGAAGCTATGTCACAGTCTACATTTATTAAAACTCGGATTTCACGCCATCAAAATAGCTCTCCAACCTCAATCTATGCAGCTGTTGACCAGTTTACAAAGGGTGCATCGCAAATAATGCATCAATTAGCACTGCTAAAGGGAGAGAACCAAAACCTACGACAGGCAAATGAAGTACTAAGCAAGCGCCGGAGAGCTAGGAAAACATGACTACAGCAAGGAGGATCACTTAGTCAACAAGGGGCGCAAGAGCTACAGGATGAGAGGGATGTTGTGCAGCAGGTAGAGCAGGAAATAAGGGCAAGCCGTGGTCGGAAGCCAAGGGAAGAAACCCGTGCCCGTCGCTGTGGCAAGTGTGGTGAGACTGGGCACAATGCGCGCACGTGTCAGATTGTAATAGACACCTCTGAGGAAGAGGACTCCGAGTAGTTTCAATTGATTTCTAATGTTGTGGTAGATTTATCGCAATGTTTGTCGTGAGGGTAGATAATTTTGGCGCTTTCGCTTGTTTGGCGCTTTCGCTATACATGTACGTTATAAAATATATAAGTTACTGTAATAAGTAAATTATTTAATTAAATATATCGGTGTCATGACGACATTACTATGATAACTCTCATAATAAGTGAAAGACATTCGTTTATTACTCGTATGATAATATCAACATGCCATCCTAAAATTTAGGACGACGTGCAACAAACTCCTTGCAAGTGATAAAGAGGTATGCTAGGGTTACTTATATTTGGCTTTATGTAATTTGTCAGCTAATGCTCTTTATTTTTTAATTTCGAGTGTGATAGAGGAGAGAGTATTTCTTATAGGTAGGTTTATACATACACCTAGGACGGTAGGCAGAACAGAAATCAGGAGATGTGACTTCATTAACAACGTCACTGCCGAAGCTAGATAAGAGGCAGAATTGCACGACGCCTCATAACTGCACTCAATATACTTTGAATACCATAGCCATTGAAAACATAACTTCAACTCCAACCTCAACACAAATCGACAACAATGCCCAGCCTCCTCGCCATCCCACGCCTCCCTACCCGCCTCGCCTTGTCACGAGCCAGCTCCCTCCCCCTTTCTGCACGCGCCTTCTCCAGCTCTTCAGTAGTAACCCAGCGCGCCAAAACGCTTCTCGAAGACAAAGACCAAGGTCTCGGCTTCATCCGGTCGAACCCCCGCGCCCCCAAGCCGCGCAAGCTCGGCCTCACGGAGATGCGTGGACCATACTACTCTGCGTATGGGACACGACACCTGGAGGATGTGTTCGAGACGATGGGAACACATGTCGATGGGCTGAAGTTTGCGGGGGGCTCGTTTGCGGTGATGCCGGAGGGGAGGGTGAGGGAGATGATTGAGGTGGCGCACCGGAATGGGGTGTATGTGTCTACTGTGAGTGGTGTCGGGATAGTAAGATTATATGTGTATAATGGTGCTAACGATGGGGAGGGGGGGTTTATAGAGCATATCCTCACTCATGCGGATGTGCACAGTGTGGTGGATAGGTATCTCGAGCAGTGCAAGGATCTCGGGTAGGTGCCCTCCCATCAACTGTAAACTCGTCTTATTAGGAACAGCTTCGATGTTGTGGAGCTGTCCAGCGGCTTCCTCTCCTTCCCACCAGATGACTGGCTTCGCCTCGTGGAGAAGGTGCAGAAGCACGGCCTCAAGCCGAAGCCTGAGCTCGGCATTCAGTTCGGCGCCGGCGGGGACACGGAGGCCTCCGCTCTGGAAAAGACGGGCACGAGCGACCCGGCCAAGTTGGTGGAGATGGGGAGGAAGTTTCTCGCGGCAGGCGTGGAGGTGATGATGATAGAATCAGAGGGCATCACGGAGAATGTGCGGACGTGGAGGACGGATGTGATCCAGAAAATCCTGAGGGATCTCCCAATGGAGACCGTGATGTTCGAGGCTGCGGAGCCAAAGGCGTTTAATTGGTATGTGAGGGAGTTTGGGGTTGATGTTAATTTGTTTGTGGATCATAGCCAGGTTGTACAGTTGGCGTGTTTGAGGAGTGGGATTTGGGGGATGGCGGATACGTTTGGGAAGGTGGTGAGTTTTAGAGATGACAAGTAGATATTGGGGAGGAAAGCGATGGATTGAAACTTATCGTTCTGGGTTTGTTGCTGCTAGGCTGTGTGGCCAGGTAGAATGTTCTGTCGTGATGTTTGAAGTTTAGGAATGCGTATCATGGCCGCTGCGACAAGGTTGAAGGCCGGCGGCAAGATGAAACACCAACAATAGCTAGCCACGCAGTGCAATATGATTAATATAAACTCTGTCGCATTCTGACACTGCTGGCCATCGCCGTGTATTTATGAGATTTAATTCCACAGAAGATATGTCAGACAATAGCGATCGCGAACTCCGCCGCCTTAGAAAGAAGCTTGGAATTTCATTTAAGCGTCCCCCCAGCACCGAGGTGCTACCGATAGAGCACCGCGAGACTTTCGGACTTATCCGCTCATCCAAAAAAAACCCCCTTGGATGATTATCACAAGGATATAATTTTCAAGAATAACGAGCCTTGGAGGAAGCAGACTCATGATCGAGTGAAATGGCTCGCATGTCGTGCGGCAACCCTGGTTAATCAACAACGCAACGAGGCTAGATGGAGATCCACACTCGAGAATGATGTATTTCATAGATTCCGAGTAGAGGTGGCTTGGTTAATATTACATATCCTTGAATCATTCAGAAGAGTTCTAATTTTAAGTACAGCCCTACATGCAGAGCACGAATCTGGAAGTCCGAATTTGAGGCTTATAACGATTTGTCGTACGCTCAAGCCTTCAATCTCAACGAGCGTAGAAGCAGGCGAGAGCCGTGTAACTGCCCACTTGAACAACGCCCAAGGGACTCATAGTAAGTGCAGTATGTCATAAGGTTTTTTTATCATTAAGTCTCACCGATGGTTAGCTACGATGTTGGCGAAAATCTACTTTTCGATGATCGGGCCGAGGAATTGATAATGCATGGACCACTCGTGGAGAAGATACAGCTCCCTAAGAAGAAACCCGATCGGATTTTTGGGCTGAAGAAGACGAAGGATTTTGCTAAAATTCTCGATATCGAAGGACGAGACAACGACGAGGATTCTAGATGCAGTCCATTCAAAGACTGCAACGATCCCCTGTTGTTTCCATTTCTTGATAATCGAAGCCAAGCCTGAGAAAAAGTCTGTCGGCTTCGAAGAGACTCAGACGCAAACAGCCCTTCCTATTTGGGAGCTGTTAAGGCTGCAAGAGAGTATTCGGGCTGAAGTATCAAGGGGATGACATAGCGCTAGCCCTCTGGTTTGGTTCTTTGCAAATAGAGGCGACAGCTGGAGAGTGTATGGGTGTTATAAACGAGCCAAAGCAATATGTGAGTGATCATGGCAACCTGCCTAGCATCGATGAACACAAACAGCAATGTTAAATAGCAGCTCGTTTTGGGATAACAAGCTAATACGAACAAAGGAAATTTTGCAACTCTGGGACGGATGTATCACGGAGAAGATGACTCGTTACAGCTCCTGTTAATTATCGATTATATCGCCGATTGGGCAAGGGATATCTATCGACCATCTATTTTGAAGCATCTCAAATCAACCGTCTCGAAAATTGCTTACGATCAGGTAAGCCTAAGTAACGACAGCGACATATTCTCTCTGAGGAGTGCCTATCATCTCACAAGAGAAATTTCGAATTGGATAGACGCAGATGAAACGCTTGGGGGAATGTTATCTGATCCAGGACCTATACTCCACAAAAGCATACTGCCAGTTTCGATATCTAACACGGAGCGTGGCTCGCTGCGGTTGTGTCCCTCTTCGAGTCCAGGATATTTGGGTTGCGTCTGACAGAGCAGAACGTCAAACATATGCTCAGATTCTCTATGGGAATTTACAAAAGAGAACGCGAAAAATCCGACAAGATGGCAAGAGATATCCTGAACTTGTTTTCCGGGAGCGACTGCATCGCGATGCCGGAGACAGATCTCGATTTCCTCGAAGACGGCTGGACAGGCGACATGAGCGCCGAGGCTAGAGCATCTACATCCTCAAACTCAACAACATTCTACGTCTTTGTAGAATTCCCTTATAACGAATACCTGGAATATCGCAAAAGAGATATCATATCTAGCAGTGTCAAAGGCGGCATTGGATGCACTAATCACCGCTGCGGGCTTCAAGAAACCTCCTTATGGTTTGAACTCGATAGCGCTGAGAGCTCGACCATGCACTCACACCGTGTGGCGTGATACTATCGAATGTCTCCGCCTTGGCTCTCCATGGCAACACTTCTGCGCCGCCATCTCTTGCACACAGCTCTCTATTTCCTCCCTTCCCATGCGAAAGCGCGTGGACTATGCTGCAGACAAAGAGGTGCTCAGCTTTACGTGTACTTCTCGCACCCCTCGTACTCCTCGTACATCTCAAATATCGATGCGGAGGATAATCGAAAGATGCTACAAATACAGCCGAAAGCAATCTAGCCCCAAGGTTCAGAACGTGCAGCGATCCTCGTGGGAAGTCAATCCTAAGCCTACCAGCTCTCCTTTATCCGAGATTTTGAGAGGACGCAGGTTACTTCCTTGCAGCAGGATCATAACATTCATATATGCGAAAGGTGCAGTCATTTTGGCAACACATTTGAAGAAGACTATAGGTTCAGTCCGATAGATGCGCCACCGACCCCGGTATACGGCATGGTCCTCGTCGCGACTCTGGATCTCACAACCGCGCCGCCTACTAAACATGATCTCTGCCTGATCGCGTTTGATATCAGCCCCGAAATAGCTGATAGCTCCTCTGCTTTAGCAGTAGTTGTAGACGACCTTCTGCAAAACAGCGAGATTTTCCACACTCAGACATCCACTACCAACCCGCTATGCGAATGAGCTGTCTAGTTGCGACACTATCTGGAGCCTCCCTCTCCCCTATCGACCAGTCAGTAAGAAGCAGCGGCATGATGTTCAGAGCTGGTCTCTTGAGCTGCAGGGGCGGCAACCCGCGGTAGCGGTATCGAATAGCACGGGACGTCAGGTGCATTACTGGGATAATCTTCAGCTGTTGTTACATTTTATGAAACACGGTTCGACATGGGAAGAATCCCGTGCTGAAGTTGAGGACTTGGTGAAGAAATCGCAGGGACGCTCAGATTTTTGTTGGAATGATGAGTACACATGATCGATACAGAACTGAGTCGAGGTTAACTTAGGCTACGGCAACAGACAGACATGGATTTCTTTGACAATATCATTATACCCCTAGTTAAATAAGTAGCTGCTTGCTACTGATTATTGAAGCTTCCACCACCATTACCTCTCTCGGGGGATCATCCCCACTCAAACCCTCAAGCATCGCCCCCGTCCATTTGCCCCCTCTTCGCCTCCCTCTTCTCCACCATCCTACCAAACCCCCTCTCCAACCCCGCCCTCCCAACCTCCTCCCACCTCATCTCAACAAACTTCTCCACCCCCTCCAAATCCCACCCCTCCTCCCCCTTCACCCCCTCCGGCAAAACAACCCCATATGACTCATCCCTCTCCACCAAAATCCTCTTCAACCCCCTCATCGCTGCCCCCCTGGTCCCGAGGGGTAACCCCAACGCCACCACATCCACCGGCACACCCTCGCGAATCAACTTACCTACCTCTTCAAGTTGTCTCTCTTCCTCAAACGCCTTAGCCTGAGCCTCATACAAATCCCGCGCCGGCGGCCACGTCATGAATGCCTCCTCCCTCACCTCCTCGCGCGAGGGGACAAGGCGGTCATATCCCCCCTCCATACTCGCGCGCGGCAAAAACTCCTCTTTCCACCGCACAAACAGCGGACGTCGAGAATTCCTCCTATTCCGATGCTTCACCTTCCCCTCCCCCTCCTCCTCCTCCCTCACCCTCGTAGTAAAAAGCCGACTGCTCGCGACATACCCAAACATCTCCTCCACGCTCTCGAACCGCGTCCAGTACCCCTTCTTCTCCAGACCCAAAAAGTCGAGGATCGCAGACGGGTTGGAGGTTAGGGGGAGGGTAGAGCCGCGGCGCCGGTGGGCCTCGATGGAGGGGATGCGGAGGGAGAGGGAGGTGGGGGTGAGGATTAGACCGGACTGCCGGAGAGAGGGGCCGAGGAGGGTGAAGAGGCCGGAGTGGGCGTGGGTGAAGGAGAGGAAGTGGAAGGAGGTTGCGGTGGGGAGGGTGAGGATGTCGAGTTGGATGAAGCGGTTTTGTTTATCCCGGAGTTCTGGGGCGTCGGGGGTGGAGGTTGTTGAGTCGAGAGAGGAAAAGGACAGCCAGGGGATAGCAAAATTAGCTTCCGGATTCTCAGTGCGCGGGAGGATTTTGGCGGCAGCGTTGAGGGCGGCGCCGAGCTCTTTGAGAGGTATTGGCGGGTTGGACACCGGGCCGTGGACTAGGATGTCGATGTCCCCGAATGATGTCTTCTCCGGAGCTTCGAGGGGCGTACAGATGTGGGTATAGTAGTTTGAGAGAATGGCATGACAGCGGTCGCGGGTGGGGAAGTAGACCGAAGGGGGCATGCGGGGGGTCAAGCAGTTGGCAAAGACGTTGCCGCCCATGTCAGGATGAGAAGCTTGATGTGGGCGTTGGGCCGCTGGGAGGCTTGTTTGCTGTGAGGATTGGCGGGGGTTATGGGTGTGCCATTCATTGAGAGGGACCCCTTGCAGCGCGGCCTTGCAGCGCGGGTCTACAGACAAGGAATGGTGTGAGAGTTACGCGCCCAGGTTACTGCGCTCACCAATCGAAGGAGAAGACGAAATGAAATGTTGATATTGACTCCAGCTTCCAATGCATCACCAACGCTGGATTGAGGGATATCTGTACCGAAGCGTACGATGATACCCTGATACCCTGGTGATGTTGGACCTGGACCCGTGTTGGACCCGGATGATGTTGTTGGACCCTTAGAGTGATATGATATGAGTGTGGCGTCGTTTGTATGACTGACCGAAGAGGGTAAATGTGAAGATCTCCTGGAGCTCTCAGCCTTGTTTGCGCCATGACTACCTGCCCCGCCAAGCCTCAGCCTTGTTTGCGCCGTGACTACCTGCCCCGCCAAGCCTCAGCCTTGTTTGCGCCGTGACTACCTGCCCCGCCAAGCCCCAGATAAAATATTGGTAAGACTATCAGCGAAATGTGCTCCATCTTCACAAGCGCGGTATCATTTTCTCCATCAGGATTTATTAGGATTTCACTGGGACTCACTGGGACTCACTGGGACTCGCTGGGACTCACTGGGAATCACCGGGATTCACCGGGATTCACCGGGATTTCACTAGGATTCACTAGCATCTCATGGGGACTTTCACTGTCATCTCACTGGACCGCCAAGTCTCGGGTTGAACGATTAGAACCGATCAGACCCAAACTGTGACGAGTTCCCAAGCTCTCCCCCATCCTTCAGCCCCGCTATCCGGGAACAGTTGGACACATCAGCCACTCGCCATCTCTGACGCTTCCATCATCACTGCACTGCATCCTGAGCATCCAGAGCATCCTGAGCATCCTGAGCATCCATCTCCATCTCCATCGACCTCAAAGAGCTCTCTCCCCAGTCTTCAACATTCCATAAATCGAAAATGGCTTACCAACAACCCTATGGCGGTGGCGCCCCACCTCCAAACCAATACGGCGCTCCTCCCCCAGGACAGCAGCCTCCATATGGACAACAGCCCCAGTACGGACAACAGCCTCAGTATGGCGCTCCGCCTCCAGGACAGCAGCCGCCGTATGGCCAGCAACCTCAATACGGCCAGCAGCCCCAATACGGCGCCCCCCAAGGCCAACAGCCCCCTTACGGAGCTCCCCAGCAGCCTCCATATGGCCAACAACCCCAATACGGCGCTCCCCAAGGGCAACAGCCTCCATATGGCCAGCAACCACAGTATGGACAACAACCACCTTACGGACAGCAGCCCGCCTACGGTGCTCCCCCTCAACAACCCTACGACGCCCCTCCCCAAGGCCAACATCCCCCCTACGGCCAGCAGCCCGCTTACGGAGCCCCCCCGCAACAACCTTATGGCGCCCCCCAGCAACCCTACGGCGCCCCCGCCGCCCCCTACGGCCAACCCTCCTACGGCCCCCCCGACCTCCCCAGCATCGGCTACGTCGTCCCCCCCCCCCCAATCCAATGGGACGGATCTTCCGACGCCCGCGCCCTCCGCAAAGCCATGAAAGGCTTCGGCACCGACGAAAAGACCCTAATCCTCGTTCTCGTCTCCAAAGACGCCCTTCAAGTCGATGTTCTCCGCGCTGCTTACAAAAAAGAGCATGGTCGCGACTTGATAGCCGATATTGCTAGCGAGTGTGGTGGGAAACTTGAGGAGGTGCTGCTTGCTATAGTGAGAGGGCCGTTGTTGCAGGATTGTCATGTCCTACGCACAGGGATGGCGGGGCCGGGGACGGATGAGGAGGCGTTAAATGATGTGTTGCTGGGGAGGAGTAATGCTGATATTGCTGCTATCAAAGCGCAGTACACCAAAATCTACAAGCGGAATCTTGAAGCAGACCTCAAATCGGAGCTGAGCATGAAAACCGAGCGGCACTTCCTGATGGTCGTAGCGGGCACAAGAGCGGAGAGTAGTGCGCCGGTGATGCGGCAGCAGGTGGAGCAGGATGTGTTGGAGATTTACAAGGCGACGGAGGGGAAGACGGGGACGGATGAGTTGTTGGTTTGTCAGATTCTGAGTAGCAGGAACGATGCGCAGATTGGGGCGATTGCGGGGTTGTATGAGCAGAAGTATCGGAGGAGTTTGGAGGCGGTTATTAAGAGCGTGAGTCCCCCCATCGTCCTAGCACCACAATCCCCCTGTTTTTGAGACAAACATTAACACCCCCCAAAGGAATTCTCAGGCCACATGGAACGCGCCCTCCTCCACCAACTCCGCTCTGGCACCGACCGCGCCCTCCGCGACGCCCTCCTCCTCGAAGACTCCATGGCCGGGATGGGCACCAAGGACCGACTGCTCCTCAACCGCGCGGTGCGCGCGCACTGGGATAAGGGGCATTTGCAGAGGGTTAAGGCGGCGTATCGGGGGAGGTTTCATAGGGATCTCGGACAGGCGATTCGGAGTGAGACGAGTGGGGATTTTGAGAGGGCGCTTTTGGGGGTTATTGGGGAGTAAGTGGGTGAAGTGAGAGGGGAGGTTGTGTGACGGGAGGGGGAAGGGGGGCGGTGATGCTTGTATGTGTTACTGCGGATAGTGGGCTTTTTGCCGCGTTTGATAATAGTTCTTGCTGTTGCCGGAAATTCTGAAAGGAATGAGGGAGGGGTATATTATGGATCGATCATGATAGTTATAAGATGTTACATGTATACGCCGTCCCTGCGGCTTTAAATCGCTATCTACACGTTACATATGTATGGTATAATCCAATATGTCCCCCGAACCCCTTACTCGGACCTCGGCGACTGCACGACGCCAGAATCAACTACTCTCCTCCTCTCATTCTCCTTCTCCGCTGCTCCCATATCCGCCAGTCCGTACCACGTGATGAATCCCAGTCCCAGTAGCGCAGATACGATGCTAAATGTCATCGCTACTATGCCCCTCGACGTGAACCTACAAAGCATTAGTCGGTCCCACACCCAAAAAAACTAAGAAGCAAGCACATACCCATCAGGTAACCTCCCCGGCGGCTTATTCTCCCCCGTCAAATCCAGCAAATCCTCCGTATTCCCCGCCGCATTCCCCGTAATCCCCGTCCCTGCCTTCTTACACGCCTCAAAGTGATCCTCCGGAATACTAATCGTCTTCTGCATCTCCAACGGCGCCTCCACCATCGTCGCAACCAGCCCCGAATCAACATGCCACTCAATATGGCAATGGAACAGCCACACCCCCGGATTATCCGCGCGGAACCTGAGCACCATATTCCCATTCGGCCTGACCATCAGGGTGTCGCGCCGCATCGGGATTTTGGAGAAAGAAGCAGTGGAGGGGTCGAAGTTACCGGCTTCCTTGGCGCTGCGCCAGATGGCTTGGAAGGCGTGGCCGTGGAGGTGGAAGGGGTGTTTGCCCGGGTCGTTGTTGTTGACGACGATGTCGACGATTTGGTTGTGGGCGAGTACGAAGGGCTGCGTGTATTGGCCGTAGATGGCGGGGTTGGTGGCGGTGAGGCCGCTGGTGAGGACGGTGTAGAGGGTGGGGACTTTGGGGGGCTTGTAGGTTATGTTGTTGAAGAAGGCGCTGGGAGGGGGTTAGAGCGGGCGATTGAGGAGGGGTGGGAGGAAGGGGGTTAAAGGGGGGGGGGGGGTTACTAGTTTGCTCCGTCGGCGAGGTTGTCCATCATCACTTCGAGAGTGATGGTTTGGTCTGCGTCCCCTAGGAGTGGCTCCTTGTCGTGCGGCACAAGGTCGAAGTCATCAATGTCTGTAAACTCATCGATGAGCTTTGGCTGTGGGAGAGGCTTGCTCTTGTCATATACAAGCCATCCTGTCACATTGTAGTTTAGGGTATCCGGGAACTTGTCGAATAGATCCTGGATCTGTCAGTATGTGAATAACTCGAACAGAGAGGACTACGCACCGTATCCATGCTTCCAACAAAGGCGTAATTGGCAGTGGTCTCGTTCTTGGCCGTCACTAGGAAACTGTATCTCTGAGCAGCGGTCAAATATATCATGTCTGCCTCATACGGATCGATGTAGATGCCATCCACCTCGACAATCTTCATCGTGTGACCTTCAAACCAGACTCTCTGCCCCGCAAAAGCGCCCATGTTCACCATGCGGAAGAGGTAAGTCTTCCCCGCCTCAATCTTGACCTGTAGGTCTTGCGTGTCATTGAACAGTACTGACTGAGGCACCGGCTCGGCGCCTTTGGGGTTGGCCTTGTTTAGGAATTTGGGGATGAGGTGCGTCATCTGGTCATGGTACCAGTCTGAGACTGAGAGGACAATTTCTTCATCATACATGTCCTTGAAGGGAGACTTGGGGTCAGAGATGATGAGGGGAGCACGGATTCCGTCAGGGTATTGGCCGCGGAAATGCGAGTGATACCAATATGTTCCCGGCTGGACAATCTGCGAAATATTTAGTAACGAGGAACATGATAACTGGAGATTACATACTGTGAAGTTGTATTTGAAGGTGGCCCCCGGCACAATGCCACACTGGGTGACCTCAATAACGCCGTCCATCTCTGTGGTTCCATTCATGAATAGGCCATGGAAATGGAGGGAGGTAGTCGCGTTTCCCAAGCCATTCTCGAGGTTCACGATGACGGTATCGCCAACGTCTGCCTCGATGGTTGGGAGTGGCCACGCATTGTTGATTCCGATTGTTGCGCGCTCGAAAAGGCCGTCGGGATTTGCTCTCACCCAGGTAGCGTTAAAGTCATAGGTCACGACCTTGGCGTCGGCTAGTAGGGAAAATATGGCGAGGGAGAGTGAGAGTATGTATAAGGAGGGGTGGGAGAGAGCCATTGCGAGCTGTGTTCTCAACAATAAGAGAATATTTTCACAACGGCATGGGTGATGGAGGGGAAGATACGGGGAGAGGGAGAGGGAGAGGGAGAGGGAGAGGGAGAGGGAGAGGGAGGGGGAGAAAAGAGGGGGGAGAAAAGAGGGAGGGGGAGAGGGAGAGGGAGAGGGAGAGGAGAGGGGGAGGGGGGGAGAAAAGAGGGAGGGGGAGAGGGAGAGGGAGAGGGAGAGGGAGAGGGGGAGGGGGGGAGAAAAGAGGGAGGGGGAGAGGGAGAGGGAGGGGGAGGGGAAGAGAAAAGAGGGGGGGGGAAAAGAGGGGGGAGAAAAGAGGGAACTGGGGGAGGAGAAAAGAGGGGGGGGAGAAAAGGGGGGGGAGAAAAGAGGGGGGGAGAAAAGAGGGGGGAGAAAAGAGGGGGAGAAAAGAGGGGGAGAAAAGAGGGAAGAAAAGAGGGGGAGAAAAGAGGGGGGAGAAAAGAGGGGAGGGGCGGAGTAAAAGGTTATCAGATGGCGCATGGAGTAGATGGCAAGTGTTAGCGAGAAGTTCTGCAGTAGCAGTAGAGTTGCACGTGGGGTGTGTTCTCGTATGCGCATAAACGTGAGTAATGTCGGTTGTGGGATGGGAGGGGATGAAGCTCGGTTGGTGTGGCATCTGTCTGCCAAATGTTTAAGTGGTTCTGGTTCTAGTGGTTTTAGTTCTAGTGGTTTTAGTTCTAGTGGTTCTAGTTCTAGTGGTTCTGGTTCTAGTTCTAGTGGTTCTGGTTCTGGTTCTAGTTCTAGTGGTTCTGGTTCTAGTGATTCTAGTTCTAGTGGTTCTAGTGATTCTAGTGGTTCTAGTTCTACTGGCTCTAGTGGTTCTACGGAGGGATTTCCGCCAAATTACCCCTGTTCGTGGGCAGGCGGGGAGGGTGTGGAGCTGCTGAATCAATACAACCCACATAAAACATTTTTCGCCGACTTGGGCGGAACTTGCTTGGCCATGCTTAGCCATGCTTGTCACCGACTTGACCCACCTGAAGCTTTTTCGGTAATGGATGGCTGACCGTGACTGTGACTGGACTCGTTATTTCCCTCTCCTCTCCAGTCTCATCTATCAAACACCGCAAAACGAGTAATCACACCACCATCCATCACCCCTTCTCACGAAAGCCCCCAACTCCCAACTCCCAACTCCCAACTCCCACCCTTCCGCCCCATCTACATCCCGATTGGCTTCCCTCCCACCCCCTCGCGCGCTTTTTTCCCAGTTATCTGATCCTTCCCACCCCACCCGACCCCTCCCTCGTCCGCTTCTTCGGCTTTATCAGATCATGCTGCTGTGTCAGACCCAGCGACAAGGCCTAGTACTATCCTGACAACCCTCACCTCTCCCTCCTCTCACTTCCTTTTTTCCCTTCTACACCCCACGTCCTCTTCCCATAAACCTCCTCTCTCCCACCTCTCCCACCTCTCCCACCTCTCCCACCTCTCCCACCTCTCCCACCACCCAACCCCCCCCTTTTCTCCCCCAGAGGCCCCTGCCCAACAATGGCACCCAACGTCTTCGCCGTCCCCGTCTTCTTCATCGTCTTCCGCGAAACCATCGAAACCGGCATCATCATCTCCGTCCTCCTCGCCTTCCTCAAACAAACCCTCTCGGGCCCCGACTCCGACCCCGCCATCTACCGCAAGCTCGTCCGCCAAGTCTGGCTCGGCTCCATCATCGGGCTCACCCTGTGCCTCATCATCGGTGGTGGCGTCATAGGCGCGTTTTATGGTCTGAGTCGCAATGTCTGGCAATATACTGAGTATTACTGGGAGGGTTCATTCGGGCTCCTGGCGGCGATAATTATTACAGCGCTGGGAGCGGCGCTGTTGAGGGTGTCCAAGATGCAGGATAAATGGCGGGTTAAGCTTGCTAAGGCGTTGAGTGAGAAGTCGGAAAAACGGGAGGCGAAGAGGAATAGGTTCCAGAGGTGGTGCGAGAGGTACGCTATGTTCCTTGTGCCGTTTATTACGGTGCTGAGGGAGGGGATTGAAGCGATTGTTTTTATTGCTGGAGTCAGCTTTTCTAGTCCCGCTGCGAGTGTGCCGTTGCCTGTCGTGATGGGCTTGTTGGCTGGTGCGGTGATCGGGTATATCATTTATAAGTAAGTCCTTCCGCCTACCGCTGTTGCTGTGAAACTGGGAAAGAGGAAAGGGACTAACAGAAAACAGGGGCGGCGCAACGGCTCGCCTACAGTTCTTCCTCATCATCTCAACTTGCTTCCTCTACCTCGTCGCCGCGGGCCTCTTCTCCCGCGCTGTGTGGTTCTTCGAGGCGCAGCTGTGGAATAATGCCGTTGGAGGGGACGCGGCGGAGACGGGTGCTGGACCGGGGTCATATGATATCGGGAAGTCGGTGTGGCATGTCAATGTAGGTTCCTTCTTTCCTCTCCTCTCCCCTCCAATCCTCTTCTCCCTGGTCAGATCTGGAAATCATAGGTCCTGGTTACTGACACCACTTCCAGTTCGGCAACCCCTACCTCAACGGCGGCGGCGGCTGGGGAATCTTCAACGCCATCTTCGGATGGCAGAACTCCGCCACCTACGGCAGCGTGATCAGCTACAACATCTATTGGATCTTCGTCATCGCCATGCTTGCGAGTATGAGGTTTCAGGAGGTGAAGGGACGCTGGCCTTGGGGAAGGAAGGTGGAGGTGGATGTGGAGGATGTGGAGAGGAGTGGGGATTTGGGGGACGAGGAGAGGACGAATGTTGTGGAATCGAGGACTGTGGAGACGGTGGGGGAGTAGATGGGGGTGGGGGAGTAGATACCAAAATTTTGTATTGCGATTTAGGATAACTTAGTGAATTGATGTAAATAGAACCTTTTATATCCAACCTCCCCATCTCCCCCATTGAAAAACACGAAATACGCCAGTCGAACCCCCCCCCACATGAATACACCTCACACCCCAAACAAATACGCCGTGCAAGACTCCGTCTGCATATCAAAAATAAACATACGAATTGTTCGCCATTCCTATGATGCATACATACCCCCCTCCCCCTTCTCCCCTCAAAGCTATGCGACGCAATCCAACCAGCAACCCAAGCCCCCCTCCCCTCGCCAGCGACGGTGACAGTACAAATCCGCAACGACAGGAGGGAAGCGGTGACAAGAGCCCACCGCTGAGAAGTAGACCACGACAACAAGAAATTAATAACAGCAACAACAGCTGGACAAACGTAGAGGTGCCAGCCAGTGATACGGCACGCCTTATTAGAGGTCGGGGGTGGGGCCCGGGGGGGGGCTGCGTGTTGGAGCATCTCCACATACCGTCGTTTGGACGATGTCTAGAGATTCTATGGTGGTTGTGAAGGTTGGGGTTGTGGGGGGTTTATATAGATTTATGCGCCCATGCGGCGGAAAGTAGAATAGTTGCATCTCGCTGTGGGGGGTCAGTGATAGCTTTATGGCACACTCAACAGACGCGGCCAAAAACAAAAATGACATCCCACTTCACCCCCCTTCCCCTTTCCCACTATCCACTGCCGTGCACGTCCACCCCCCAGAACAGCGCTCGCTGATCACAGATATCGCCCCAAAGTGTACATGCACACCGGCTCTCGCAGTATATATAACCTATCAGTTTCTCCGAGGCCGTCCAAGATTGGTCGGCCCGGAGAAACTGATAGGTTATATATACTGTCACAATGCTTGTAATGTGTGCCTGTGCCAACCAAGCTTTGATCCATGTTCGTAGGTTGATTGGGGGGTGGGTTTGATTACTGTCTCAGGGGCTGGGGGTTTCTGAGGGGACGGTGAGAATTCATGGCGGTGGGGGGTTGGTGGTGAGAAATAGCTTACGGTGAGAAGTTGATCGCGACGAAAAGAAGATGGGACGAGCAGAGCAAATAGAAACAGTGCAGATCAGAGAATCAAAACGACAGCTATGAGTAGCGAGCCATTTCTCGAGGAGAGGCCACTTCTCAAGCGATTCATCACTGATAACACATGTCGACTATAAACGATTACGTATGTGAGACGTAGTTGATCGTGGAGAGAGCATCACTCCAGTCATGGCCATCAGATAGACCCGCAACATAGTACGGGTATCATAGATCCAGATCCATGAGCACGAGCTCATGCCGCTCGTGGGACTGGAGTGGTGGTGTAGACTTATGTTGGTTGTTTTGGGACGAGTGTTGGGGGGTTTATGTACGTTATTCCATCCTGCTCATAGCCCCTCACGATGAGCATGGCGATATTGGTTTTGGCGGGCTGGGGGGGTTGGTAATGGGTTTACTACACACTCGGGGATATACTCAATCCGTCTCGTATCCAGCCATTTACCCCCCATCCCTTTCCCTGACATCCAGGCGTGGTTGTGGGATAGCCCGAGTACATATCGCATAACCCCTATAAATATCTCCTCCGCCCAGCGACGGTACTAAACAATCACAGCGATTTTCAATTCTGACAATCAATAGCCCTGGAATGCCGTGTCTCGACAAGTAGACACACGCGACGCCCCGATAGCAGTAGTAGGGCTGGCTGCTTGTACTTGGCTACGAGGTGTCGGAGTAGTGGCGGCGCTGGTCGATGTGGCGGTGGGAATTTGTTATGGGTGGGGGGGAATGGTGATGAGAATCCGCCTCGACGAGAAGAAATCATCCAACAACAGCAGATCAAACAAAAGAGGCAGCACGCCTTGCTATCCAGGATCTTCGCTGGTGATAGGGTTAAGGGTGGAACCCGGAACCTACGCGTAAAATTTCCCTTCCCTTTCTATCGCAATGGCTCCAAAAAGTCGATTGCCACCCGTATTCTTTTGATATTTATAATGAGAGTATGTTTTGCCCGACCTTCTGATATTAGTTTGATGGCCACTCGGTGCAGCTGGTGGGCTTGGCCTTAAGGTTTTGCAAGCAGCTCCTGACTCGAGATTGAATCGGAATGGCTCGTTGTCTCGCTGTGGAAATGAGGTGATGGGTTTGATGCGTACATGAAGACATATTTAGCTACTTCCGTGTTTGGTCAGTTATTTACCTTTCGTTCATTCACCTCAGCCAAGTGTGGTTGTGGGATACCCCTATAAATACCCTCCTACCCAACTCCAACATTCAGCAATCACATCAGTGTACTACACAAATACATAAAAAGCGGCGCGGGGTACAGTGTCTCTACAGCTGTATACACGCCGCAATCGGAGCAGAAGCAGCAACGCGATGATGGCTGAATCCGGGCGGTGGGTGTGGTGTGTGCAGCGACGGTGAGAATCCGTGACAACGACAGGAAAGTGGTGGTGATAAGACACTGGCAGCGAGAATACGCAGGCTTGAAGTATGAGATAGGCCTTATTCTACCTTGCCACATCATTTCAGACGTCTTGGGAGCTTCACTCCATACTTGCGACTCTTGAAGTAGTCGACATTGAGGGTATTCCCCACCCGGAATTGGGTAGTTCTTGCGTACCCGAAAATCAGATCGGGGTTTATTTATTGGCCTTGGGATCTGTGTCCGGGCTGACGGCTGGCGGGTGTTAGGATTTTCTCACTTCTTGATTGTTTGGTATCGTGTGCTTGAGGGCTTCATTTTTTTTTTTGCAAACCCCCGCCCTCATAAAAATGAGCTCGCGCCCATTTGACAAAAAGAGGTTTGGCCACAGAGTTTGCAAGTTGCGCCGACAGCGAGTGGTATACCACACACCACACACAACTGAAGGGCATAACGGGCTGACGATGCCCAAGAACAATTCATGGGGCTGAAAAGCAGGGGCCTGCGATGAATGGCTCTAAGGACTCACTTTGATGAAGGAAAGCAAGAAAAAGGTGGCAGCTATACTCATCGTTGTATATGGAACAATCGATGCTTATATAGAACCCTCATCTAGGGAGTAAGTAGAAACAAAGGCCGAAAAGAAAGAACATTCGCAAATCATTGGGGCAGCGGACGGCAGATCACACGATCAGCAACGGCACCCTATCGGAGCTGTAGATGGATACTTCACCGCACCGAGGGCAGGAATCCGCAACGGTGGGAGAGGAACGGGAGACAAACGGTGAGGAAGGAGGTGGCAGCAGCATACGCCGGTGGTGACAGCAAAGTCGACGACAGCAGGCAACCAGAACCTTCTTCCACATCCCGTATTGAGGTTATATGCTCGTTTCTGGTAGAGGCATGACGATCCTTGTTTCCCGCTCATCTAATGCCATGTTCCAGATGATTTTTGCCGGAGCTTGTAACAACGGTGATTGCTTCTTATTTGCTCCGGCGCTCGGTGTGTGGCGAGCTGGTAGACTGATAGTTCTGGCCTTGCAATTGAGCTGCGGGGCTGTCTAGCCAGGCACATGCCATCAAACACACGCCCTTACGAGAAACCGCAAACCGCCAACATAAACAGGGATACATTTTCTACAATCTCCAATAAATATCAAATATCTACCCCCACCCCCCTAAGCATGCTGCTTCTTCTTCCTCGCCCTCAACGCCCTCACCCCCTCTCCTCCCCGCTCCACCGCATCATCCAACACCCCCCCCACCCTCTCCTTAACGTGATGTTCCTCCGCCTCATCCCTAACATCCTCCATCACATTCCCCCCCACACTCGTCCCATGCAACCAATCCATGAACCCCCACGGCGCAAAATTCCCCCGTCCGCGGTTCTGCATATGCCTATCCTGGCGCCTCGCGATGCCGCCGAGCATTATACCGGGGGGCGTGGCGTAGCCGGAGGCGACGAGGGTTTCTTCCAGGGTGGTGAGGGAGAGGATGAGGAGGTGCGTGAGGATGTGGGTGCGGAAGAGGAGGGTGGGGACGTAGAGGGGGAGGAAGTGGAGGAGGAGGTAGGGGAGGGGGTGGTCGTAGTAGGCGGTGAAGGAGTAAGGGGCTGTGATGGAGTGGTTCCATTTCTTGTGGAGGGTCGAGAGGGCGTTGGGGTGCGCGGGGCGGTGGAGGAAGCGGTGGATGTAGTATTGGAGGACCTGTGGGGTGTTAGTGGTGTATGAGAGGAATAAGAGGAGAACGACATACTTCTCGTATGACAAGACCTCGGAGGACGTCCTTTGCTATCGACCACGGCATTGGGAGTGTGGTGGTAATCTTCATGGCACTGCGCATGTGGAGTACCTCAGTGAAGAAGAGCTCGACGGCAACCTGTATCCCGACAGACAGAAGTATGTTGGACAAGCTGACCCCAATAACATGCCACCATGGCGGCGTTCCCTTGCTCTTTTTCGCGCCTTGCACGCCGCCGGTTCTAGTTGGTAGTGCTGGGGCGCCCTGGATCTTGAGACCCACTACCAAGCTTGGTATGATAGTGTCGAAGAGGAGGAAGAAGGCTGCAGGGAGTAGGAAGAAGAGGGCGCGCACGGCGAGGGTCCCGATAACCTCGATGCGGAGCTGTGATTGCGTGAGGACGAGGGTTGACCAGGTCATGTAGAGGAATAGGAGGTTGAGAGAGGTCGAGTAGGTGCCACGTGTGGGCAGTAGGAGGTGGCCCACTACGGGAAGTGAGAGTAATGAGCCCATGGTGTAGGAGAGCTGCGAGTCAGATAAGTTGAGATACTATATGCGACGATGATATATGCGCACGGAGAGAGATGAGGAACCTCACTCACTATGTCCTTATATATATACTGGCTTTGTTTTAAAATAACAAAGACATGCTCTACGAGTATTGTTGACTGGCGCCGTACGTGCCGCTTTGTAACCAGCCTGTGTTGGAACTACGTTCCTAGAAGTACGCTACACAGTGTAGTCTATATACCGCTATGCGGTATATATATGGCTTCGCACCTGTAGTTAAACTCCAAATATGTGCTTAATATGCAAGATAATTGACGGCTTCCCTCCTCTCGTAGGAGAGAGTAGCTATGTTGTACGATCGAGCGAAAGATTCGCTGTCACAGAAAGCCTCCCTACGACCACCATCACACAGTAGAAGCAGCACTGATTACAAGACGAGTGCAGGGCACACTAAGCAAGCGCTACAGTACTTTGAACGTAAGAGCTAGGAATACTGTTAGGACTTTAGTTTAGATCAACTAGACCTTACTAGCTAGATTCGACACCATGAGGGTGCGTAAGCGGCTAACACCACTATAGCGATGGTGTGTGGGATAGGTAGAGACTTAGGTTATTAGGTACTATAAGGGTAGGGGCAATAGGGGCGCTTAGAGTAAGCATTCGCCATAGTAACACTGTATAGCGTAAGGGGAATGTTAGAACTACGTTCCTAGAAGTACGCTACATAGTGTAGTCTATATACTGCTAGGCAGTACATATATGGCTTCGTACCTATTAGTTTACTTAATTAAGTCGTTAAACTCTAAATATGTACTTGACAGTCCGTAAGCTGCTGGCGGGTCAATCAGGGGAGGGCAGAATTCCCACTAAAAAAGGGTTTCACCGCCTTCCCGCCCTGCCCCAAGGGACAAGCCGCAGTCGCGGTACTAAGCTCAGCCCAATTAGGCTTAGATCCCCGAAGACCCCCGCATCAATCCAGCTTCCCCCTGATGACAGTAATGAGCAGATTCAGGGGCAAGCTCCGACCTGGTCGTGGAGTCAAATTAACGCTGGACTTCCTTCCTACTACTGCGCGCATTTCCTGCATCATTATCGACCATCCTCTCCCTGACGTCCCTTACCTCCTGATTATATTTTACCATTCTCAATTCGGTCGCGGAATCGAAAGCGGGAACCAACATCTCCGAGACATTCACGGCGTGAGTCTCCTACATTGTCCACTTTCGTCCCTTCCCCTCTCTTCTCATCATCCCACAAACCCTCTCCTGAAGTTAAAACTGACCAAAGTTATGCAAACAATAGCTTCAGTCGCGCGCTGTGGTCGCCTTGTTACCCGTCCCGAAAGTTAACGCATAATGCGCTCGGGCGTTTAGAACTCTCTTTTGACCGACTTCGCTCACCTGCGCCCTTGTTAGGTCTGGTAGGATATACAGGGTTCTAACGAATAGGCGACACACTGCAGACTGCAGATGCAGTGAACCGACCAACTGAGATTACAGCGGGAGCAAAGGGATAACCGTTGACGCCAAACGAACCACCCAGTGCCACCAACTAGCCAATATGGCTCCTCCCTCCACCCCCCCTCCCATTCCGGAGCGTACAAGGTACGAAGGAAAATACGAAGGCCGAAGAGGATCGCTTCCTCCTCTGTCATTAAAGCTTCGCGCGACAGACGGGAATCGATTGCATGTCCACCCTGCTTCCCCTGAGGTCATCTCGAGCCTTATTACGTCGCTGTCGATCATCTCGTCACCCGCAAACCGACTATTCGAACTCCCAGGCGTCGCGCACTCTCTACCTAATTCTCCATATGCGACACAAACCACCTTCGACCCTATCGATCGCTTGCTCCAGAATGAGTCGAGCCAGGGCGGCAGTTTTGGTATCGATTATGGCGCATACAACCAGTCGTCTCACAACTATTCAATGAATGAGCTGCCTTTGGATGAAATGTCTGCGACCGCACCAGTTATCAGAACCGCCAAGCCTCCGTCTGGGTTCTCGGCGTTGACAGCTCTAAAATCACCTAAACCCGACGGAACACCGATTAGGAACTTGTTGAGGAGCTCAAGACCGACGTCGAGGGAATCTAGCGGAGACGACGCTCTGAGCATTGGAAGCGTGTCGATAGAGCCCGGCTCGCTTCCACGAGACCTGAGGAGGAGGCGCTCCTCGGATAGCTGGGATAAGAAGCAAGGGAGACATAACAAGGGATTACTCTACATGAGCTCCAAAGAACGGATGCGCGAGTCTGAGAGAAAGCGCTCATCATCCAGTACCACGAGAGGTTCGGGAGTAGAACGTCTTCCAAAGCAAGAGTTTGATACGAAATCATTCATGTCTGAAGCACCAATAACGGAAGAGCCGGTTGTTGAACAACCGGAATATCTCTGGAATGACTCCGCCGCACCGAGTCAGTTAATTGGGCCAGATAGCTCTATGAATGGGACCAGCAATGGCGGGATCGGATCAGGGCGGTACATCCCCACGCGGGACTCGTCATTGCGGAATAAGAAGCGTACACCCCACAGCGGTAGAAGCTCAAGGCAACCGGCTCCAGAGCTTGCTGATGGTACCATCAAGGAGGTCGACGAACACTTAAGTCCAGTTATAGACAAGGGTGCCGAGAAGTTTGGCAAGTCGGAAGCCAGCTTGACAGTGCAGAAACCCAGAGAGCAATCGGCAATCCCACCGCCAACCTCCCAGAAACCAAGAACAGACGGCGAACCAGAAAAGAGTCTGTATGCCAACCAGGCGAGGGGCCAGTCAGTCAAAGACGACGGAGCACCATCGCCAAATGTTACCCAGCGTACATCTCGCGATAAGTCCGAGCAAGCGCAGAATAAAGCAAAGAAATCTAGTGGAAGGCTAACGCCAGATCCATTTGAGAGGCTTGCAGGGAGACGAGACTCGAAGCGGGAGTCTGGCAAGGGCAGACGTTTGTCGGGTTACCAGAGTGGCGCAGAGGGCGACAATAAGAATCGCAGAACATCATCAACGCCGTCAAAGAAGGATATACAGGCGGGTGATGGTAAGGCCAATCGCACGAGCACAGATGCTCGGCCAACGAGTGCAGATTCTATCGATGACGCAGTAGATGCCTATCTGTGCTCTCCACGATTATCACACAAGATTACGCATCCACAAACTGGACGAGTCATTTCGTTCTCCGAGGTTGGAGACCTAGAAGGATTCGCTGTGTTTTGCTGCGTCGGAATGGGATTGACGAGATATATCACCGCCTTCTACGATGAGCTTGCTCTCACGTTGAAGTTGCGTTTGATTACCCCTGATAGACCCGGTGTTGGTGAGAGTGAGCCTTATACGGACGGAACTGCCACACCGCTTAGCTGGCCTGGTAAGCTCCCCTTTTCGTCGTCACTCTTGCTATTCTAACAATTCTTTAGATGATGTATACGCCATCTGCCAGACTCTTAAAATCACTAAATTCTCCATCCTGGCTCACTCCGCTGGTGCCATCTACGCCCTTGCCACCGCTCTTCGCATGCCACAGCACATCCGGGGCCGCATCCACCTCCTCGCACCCTGGATTCCTCCGTCCCAGCTGAACGTTTTCGGCGGGCAACAGGTCATGCCTCCAGCCAACTCCATCCCAACATCACAGCGCATTCTCCGTGCCCTCCCCACGCCAATCCTCAAAGCTGCAAACTCATCATTCATGTCCGCCACAAGCAGCTCCATCACCTCAAGCCTACCAAAGCAGAAGCGCGGGAAACGCAAGTCCACCACCGCTAAAGACGCGCCTACCATTATTAGGCTAGACGACGTTGTTGTTGGTCCCGGTGATAAGGAGAATGTTGGCCCACACACAGACAAATATGGCCCCGTGAAGTCCGGACAGGCGCCACCTCTTCCTCGCGCTGCCAATAACCCTCCTGACCTAAGCAGCGAGGCTGCGATCCTGGCGGCTGCCGCTATGTCGGCGTCGAGCAAGGAGAGGCAGACTACCTACGACACGCGCGTGACGCATGCCATTTGGGATCTGGCTACCAGCGGGGCCAATCCCGCGGTGGACTTGTTGGTGTGTTTGGAGAGGAGACATACGATTGGGTTCCGATACGTGGACATTACGCGGGCCGTGGTGATTCACCACGGCAGCAAGGACACGCGCGTTCCGGTTGAGAATGTGAAGTGGCTCGGGAAGATGATGAGGAGGTGCGAGGTGAGGATACTGGAGGGAGAGGGCCATGGGCTCATGGCTAGTGCACAGGTTATGGGGGGGGTGCTTATGGAGATCGCGGGGGAGTGGGATGATTGGATGAAAGTCGTTGAGCGTAAGGGGGGGAATAAGGGAGAGGAGGCTGGACGGAGGCTGAGGGAGAGTCGGAGTGTTAGTGCCTTCCGGTAGAGGGGTTAATAGGATGTCATACTTTTTGGATACGATGGATGATGGGAGGTCAGATTGATGGTTATCTCCTGACCTGGTCAGGGCATGTAGGTTTGTCACAAACCGAGGAGAGGATATAAGTCAGCTATAGTCGTATAATGACACGGTACAAAAAGTTGTCGTCTTACAGTTTGTGTCTTCGAACGTTTCACTGATGAGCTGAGATTGTATCGTGGCTGGAGGCAAAATATATGGGGCGGAGCTACCAGCGGACCCTCGTCCTGTGAGGCATGGGGTGGGGTGTTTTCAGAAACTTTTTTTGCAGTGCTGCACATATTTCCACGATAATCACAAGAATCTCAGGTAGATTGTTTACAAGCTTGATATCAAATTAGCTTTCTACATACACTATACTACAATATGCACGTCCCATCGATCAAATTCTTCTTCACAACGCGACATGAAGTCGCGCCTGCAATGAAAAAAATATAGGCCTGTCAGACATCCATCACCACCCACCCAATCCACGCGCCCGAAGGCAGACCGCGAGACCGGGACAAGATCATCACCACTCTCTATACAGCACCTCTTGCGAGGCAACCGCCACGCTTGCGCGCAGTGCGAGAGTCTAAGGTATCACTCTTGGGCCGTGAGGAGATAAGTCATCAACCAGGTTGGAATCTGTGGCTTTCGTGAGAAACACAGTATGGGGATGTTTACTAAAGAAAATGATTCCATCTGGGATGCTATTAGCTGGTGTTCAAACGTATTTTTGAAGCAAAGTATGCTGTCGACACTGCCAGTTTGTTGTGCTGGAGTGTTGTGGAAGTTGTGGGGGGTAAACTCACGAAGTAAAATCGACATGAAAAGAAAAGGAAGAGCTTCTGAGGAAGTTGAAGAATTTATACAATTGTCGCAGCTAGCGCGGGCACTAGCGTGGAAAAATTGCTGGTGGGTCAAGATCAGGTGATCACATAGCGTGACTTGACAGAAACGAGAATTACGCTAGTCCTAATTCGATTCTTCGTAGGAGCTCAGAGCTTCAAGCATAACGACAAGAATTGCCTACGGAAGCCATTATCATGTTTCAATTTAACGGTGGGAAGAAGGAGAGGGAGACATGCTTTGTAACTCATGGGGCAATAGGTCACTTAGACCCGGCGCAGCCGCCTGTGAAGAGGAAGCCCTATTCGACGATTTTGACTGTGCCAATCGTACATAAGGTCTAAGCAACATCTGATTCAAGATAGAATGATACTAACACGAGTACAGGTTGAGCTGATCTTGCCGCAAGAGTTATATGAGAGTATCCAGAGTGATATGGACAGTAAATTCTCAGTGCCTACGTATTCACGTGTTATCCTGCCGCTCGCCGAGTTGCTATGCGGAGATTTTTTTACAGAGTATATTAAGAAGGGCAATGTCCTCATGATCTCCGAAGGAAAACAAGGGGTCAATGATGTCTACTCGTTACAAGATGGCGTTCTGACCTTGGCGCTGGAGAAGGAGAGTTACGAGAGAGCAGGCTTGGCTGGAGAGCCGGATGGCGCGAAGGGGAAGAGAGGTGCTCGAGCTAGATGGCTTGTGGAGATTAACCTACGCCAACCTTCAATGTTACATGGGAAGAAAGGTTTTGATAGGATAGTCTACGCATTCAAGAACGTGTTGAACAAACCCGTTACATGGCTGTTTTGCAATTTGGAAGGCGAAGGTCTGTTACTCTTGTCTATGGACTTTACCATGTGGCTAACATATAAACAGCTCCATCTCCTGATCCGTTGGCCAAACATTTTCCTGTCAAGATCAGCTGCCCGCCAAGTATAACTCGTGGCCCAATAGTTAACATGCCAAATATCAAGCCGCCAACTAGCTTGGACGAAGGAGACGACTTTGGCGAGTTCGCAGCTGATTTATATGAATGGCTGTCTCTCATCTCCTTGGAAAGCCCCCGGGTAGATGTGAACGACCAGATAGACCCTTTTCTATCACGATACACATCACCTCCATCTGATAAGCCTGAAAGGGAGAATCAGGCCCTGGTGAAAATCACCTGGAAAGGCTTCATGTCTTCATCTTGGGCACATAAAACTTTCGTGTCAGCCGTGCTTGCAGCAGCGACAAAGTCCTGGTTCTCCTTCTCCTTGTCTGGATTCCCAAACAGCTTGCCAGCCACCTCCAGAGATTGTACCATATCGAAGATACCAGGACCCTCATCAGAATTTATGCTCTGGGAGGTCGAGCACAATTGAACATATCTCTTCAATCCGTACGTTGACGTACGTCCCTATCCGCCGGGTTCACTTGGCCTCTAAACGCCTCGGTGACGAGTGCTCTTAATTCCGCCTGGCCAGCTTCGTCTTGGAAATCTTCTCTTGCAGCCAACTCTTCGATCTTTCTCCTGAATTCTTGGTCAACCTCGTTTTCACCGATATCTTCTGGTGCCATGGTGCCCATGTCAATCGAGATTCCTGCTGGCAACGGAGGAGCCTGTCCGATCACTGGCGCCAAAGGTGCATCGGTGCTGCTGCCATTCGCTTGTGTAGTGCTACCTCCATCTGAGAAAGATGCGAGATATGCAACAACTTCGGGGAAGTCATCGTCGGCCTGAATCGATTGCGCAGCTGTTCTTCCTTCGTCGCCTGTGATCTTTGGATCGGCACCAAACTCTTCAACAAGGGCCCGAGCAGCCTCAACAGTCTCGGCAACAAATAAAGCCGTCTCATTATCCTCATCTCTAATATCAACATTGACTTTGAACTCGTTGACCAGTGTTCGTAGGAGGTCTAGGTGGTTGTAGGACACCGCGGCGTGAATCAGAGAGTACCCATGGTCATCTTGGGATGATGCAAGGCTGGGATTGGCGCGTAGGAGCGGCAGGAGCTCGGGCGAATTATCAGCGGCAAGAAGGAATGGGTTAGACATCGTGAATAGTTTAATGACAATGTCGTGCTGCTTTTCTAAAATTTGGTTTTCGCGAGGTTGGTGTTGGACGGTGACTGTTGCGGCCTACAAAATTTACCCCCCCGACAAGGCTGACAAGGCTCACTAGCGCAAGTCGCCTAAAATCACCATGACTGGGAACAACATTGCAAGGGGCGTGGTAAAGCTTGTGGATACTAGAACCCTCTTATATCCATCTTCTTTCAATTATATCAAGTCCTTTGCATGTTTTTATCTGAAATTCCATTTTTGGGAATTTAATATCCCCCACTTCATTTATTACGGCTATAAATTGGCTAGAACTTGCCCATACACGCCTTCGTCACTCTGTGTCAAAATGGCAGACCAAGAGAATGTACCCTTCGTTGCCCAGGATATACAAGAAATCGGAAGCTTTCTCAAAGATCTAGAGTCACATGCCAAAAAATGGGTTGGAGTGTCACGTTCAAAGAAAACGTTCAGTTGCAAGAAGAACGCCTTCAACGTGGAGAACTCTCCTGACAAGCTAGTTGTCGATTCCTGGCGCTTTCAAGAATGGGATTATAAGCGTGACGATCTCCCAACATACGCAAGAGGGCTGTTCACATATCACACCAAGGACAACCGCCCAGAGATTGCTACTCGCGGCTATGACAAGTTCTTCAACACGGAAGAAGTAGAAGCAACAAAATGGAGCAACATTGAGCAATACACCAAAGGCCCATATGAGTTGAGTCTCAAGGAAAACGGATGCATCATCTTCATCAGCGGCCTGTCCGATGACTCGCTGCTGGTTTGCAGCAAGCATTCGACTGGGCCACGTGAGGACTCAAATCTTAGCCATGCCATGGCTGGCGAACGATGGGTCGACAGGCAGCTCAAGGCCATAGGGAAGACGAGGCAGGATCTTTCCCGCGAGTTGAGGAAGAGAAATGCCACAGCAGTCGCAGAACTATGTGATGATGATTTCGAAGAGCACATCCTTGCATATCGCGGAGATTCTGCTGGGTTGTATCTACATGGAATCAATATCAATATCCCGGAATTCACAACTTACTCTGGGCCACAAGTCCAACGGTTCGCCAACGACTGGGGATTCAAGCGTACTGATTTTCTCGTTTTGGACGAGATCACTAAAGTCCGATCATTCCTCGAATCGGTGGCAGAGACGGGCTCGTACAATGGACGAGACGTGGAAGGATTTGTTATTCGATGCAAATCAAATTTTAGGTCAAAAGAATACCAAGATTGGTTCTTCAAGTATAAGTTCGAGGAACCATACTTGATGTTCAGACAGTGGAGGGAATGCACCAAGATGATGATCAATGGAAAACCACCTCTTTTCAAGAAACACGTCAAAATCACCGAGGAGTATCTGCTCTTTGCGAGAAAGAAGCTGGCTGAAAACCCAAAGTTGGCAAGAGAGTACAATAGCAATCACGGCATCATTGAGCTAAGAGTCGATTTTCTAAAAGAGAAGAATCTGAAGGGCTCAGACCTCATCCGTCTGGAATACTCAAATGAGGGTGAAGCACCACAAGATGCCACGAGGAATATCATCCTTGTACCAATTGCAACTATCGGGTGCGGAAAGACGACAATTTCCATTGCATTGCAACATTTGTTCGGTTGGGGCCATGTGCAGAACGACAACATCCAAGGAAAAGGCAGACCTCCGAGGTTTACCAAGGAGGTTATGAGCCAGCTTGAAGACAAGCCGGTTGTGATCGCCGACAGAAACAACGCACAAAAGCATGAGAGGAAGCAACTCATTGGCGACGTGCACCACCAGTACATATCTTCGGCACGCTTAGTGGCGTTGAATTTCGTCCATGATAGCGACTCGATTGAGAAAATAAGACAAGTCACCATGGACCGCGTTTTTGCCAGAGGAGACAACCATCAAACGATTCAAGCTGCATCCGACAAAAGCAAAGTGATGGGAATAATGCAGGGTTTCATCAACCGTTTTGAGCCACTCCGCCTGGACCAAGATCCCGATCATGGTTTTGATTCTGTTATCGATTTAGATCCAACCTCGGACTCACGTCAAAATTTGGAGACTGTGATCGCCCGGTTGAGCGAACTGTACCCGAAGCTATTCACCAATATGCCTACAAGCGACGATCTGGACGATGCTATCGCTTTTGCTTTGAATGAGTACAAGCCGGAATTGAAGCATGATGTTTCTGGACGTGGGCAGAAGGTAAAGACAAACCAGGTACGTTCTACTAATAAGCATATCAAACCACAACTAACGGATTTTCAGCAGCCAAGGCAGAAGCCCAATGTTCCTGCTGCACCTAAAAAGAAGGCCCTTGAATATATTGCGGTCGACATACCAACCAACCAGATCCTGGATGCTCTGGAGAAGACATTTTCGGCTCAAGAAGATGCAAAAGCGGCATTCTTCAGACAGCTCCAAGAGACTCGCCGAGTTCAGCCAAAGTTCCATGTCACATTGATCCACCGCGCCTCAGCTAGGCTGCAACCCGAGATATGGGGAAAATACAAGGCCCTATTTGAAGAACATGGAGATGAAGAAAAGCCGTTGGGAGATTGCCAAATCCAATTAGAACGTGTTGTATGGAGCCACAGGATTATGGCGATTGTTGTCCGGCTTGTCACTGAAGGTTGGGAGTGTGTCAACACGGTTCCGCATATCACAGTAGGAACAAGGCTGGATAATGTCAAGCCCAAGGAGAGCAATGATCTCTTACAGCAATGGCTCCAGGATGGAAGTGGCGAACAGACTGGGATTTTTGAGGCGGTTATACAAGGAGTTACGGTTGATGGCACGGTATATGCGGTTCTGCAGAAGCATTGATTCGGATTTTGCTGGAGGGACTGTAAGGTGATTACTAGGATGGTATTGCGCTACTTACCACCTAATGGACAAGCTAGCTCGAGCTATTATGAGGGCCAAATGTTGCTTTATGACATAGCCATTAGTTATGCTCCGCTAAAGCTATTATACCAAACTCAGGAAACCGAGGCTCTAACACATGAAAGTACACTTAAATTGATTATGCTCCAAAATTCTGCCTTGCCAATCCCCTGAGCATCGCCATTGTCTTATCTTCCTTCTCCCTGTATTCCTGCAATCGCTCATCTCTCTCCGCCGCCCTCGCCATAAGCATCTCCTCTCTCCTCAGCTCCCTATCATTCTTCTTCCTCTCAAACTCTTGCTTCTTAGCTTTAAACTCACCCAAGCTATCCCCACCGCCCATTAACTCGCTCTCGGGTACTTCTGCCGCTCCAGGCGACTTCTCTCTGAAAGACTTCATCGTCTCATTCTTTTCGCGCTTCTTCTCGAGCTGTCTCTCTCGCGTTCCAGCTTCGGCACGGGGGACCAGTTCATCAAGCGCCTCCTTTTGCCCCTTACGATCAAGTTCGCGTGCATACTTCATATCTTCACGCTGCTCTTTTCGCCGGGTATAGGCTTCTTCAGACTCGTTTTCTCGCCTCAGTTCCAGATCTTGCATATTGGGGATGCTAGGTCCCATCCGACCCCTCCCATGTCGCCCTTCCTGACCAGGGAGAGCAGGGCCAACAGAATCATCGTTACTACTCTCTGAATCTTCCCGTCTGGTCGGCTCGTCTCTCTGATACCGCTGTTTAGGAGCATCGCGAGGTGGTGGTTCGGAATCACGTGATTCTGGTTCAACTTCTGAAGCTGCCGCCACAGCTTTTTGGTAGGTTGACGGGTCATACCAACCTTCTGATAGCTCGCAGCGGTTCCTAAACGTGTTAATAATTGAGATTATATGCGTGTAGATAGGCTGTTGTATTTACCATTTTCCAATGAAGCTCTTCCACCGACCTCGTGCTTCAGTTTCGTCAAGATCGTCTAGTATTTTTCCCTTCTGGATATCCAGATACAGGGCAAACATAGGTTTGAACGCCTTGTAATCATGTTTGGTGAGTTGCCGCGAGTTATACGGCAGCTCTACTGGAGCTGTGGCTACTCTCTCTCGGCGGTGGTGGTGTTTGTGGTGGCGAGATGCTGGTGATCTCTCCCGATGCCCATGGCGACCTGAGCGGTTCGGGGACACGGATCTACGTTCCCTCCTCCTTTCCGGATCCCTTTCTCCTCTGTCTGCCATAATACGTGATATAGGGACTGTTCGAGCGCTAGACGAGATTTTGTTTATCTCTGCCAAATCGCGCTCTCTAAATCAATTATATGGGACGTTAAAACTGACCAATCATATGTCAAATTAGTGCTTAACGTAGGTTCACTAACCCGATTGGGAACATATACTATGTACATCGAGGCCAAACTCCATGGGTCCTTTTACTTCAACAGAGATCAAGAAGGCATCAATTTGATTTGAATTATGGAAAGCGTTAATATTTCATTGTGTAAGTCTATGAAGGCCGTTATGCGCATACTTTTGAAACCCGAAATCATCCCCCGAACAATTTGAGAATCGACAGCTAACTCATCTAGTCTCCGTTCCAAGTTTACTTCACGTCAACGAGGTGCCCAGTTCTAACTCCTTCTGTCTTTGAAGCTATCGGCTGATTGCTTGCAGTCTGGGCGCCGGCTCCTTCCTTTCTCTCCTTGCCTAATGCAGTGGAATCTTTTTGTCCTTGCCCCCTTCCCAATTCCGCTTCTCCGTCTAAGCTCCGCTTCACATCTTTATCACCAAGCACTTTCTGAATGAGCCGCGCTTCAATGTCACGAACACCAGCGCGCGGCGCTTTTTGGTGCCTTCCCTTCCTTATATGAGACTGGTTCGCGAGTGCCTGCCTCAAGAACACAATTTCTCGGTTCAGAACATCCAGCTCTGATTGCGGCTTATTATGGCGAGCCGGTTTATGAGGGTTGTCCACACCCTTGGAACTTCCTCCTCGGTGCAGGATCCCTTGCAATACTATGTCCTGCCATTCTTCTGTCGTTTCAGGCATCTGATGGAGGCGATGGCAATTTAGGTCAAACTTGCAATGACCCCTGATCCAGTTGTGGCATAGCTGGTGCCGAGAGTCCAACAGCATTGATGGCCTTGACCGAACCTGTGAGGTGGCTGCTTCTGATGGAGTGCCGGCGGTGGTGTTGGAAACAACCGGCTCTGATGCAGGATCTCTACCAATGGAATCTCCTGATAACTCTCGGGATGTTTTAAGGTCTTGGTTCCTGGGAGGACCGTTTTGGGCACCGGACTGCTCTGGAAGGACCGAGGACCTTTGAAAATGTATGTTAGAAACCAAGTTTATACCGAAGTAGAATGTTATCACTCACTTGGGTTGTTTCATTCGATAGTACCCAGTCCATGGGCCTTTTTGTCCCAAGAAAACCATCCTCGAACTTTCGACGGAGCTCAACCACCTCGATAACCCATGGAACTCGAATGGCAGCTCGTCAGCAGGGACGAGGGGAACTAATTCTCCAGTATCACGCCTGATGTAATGCTCAGGTTGTAATCGGAGCCCTCTCCTGGGAAGCTCAAGGTGCCTCTGGGTAGATCGCCCCGTTGACAAAGCAATGTGCTGTGCGGGCATTGTATTTGTTTGAGGATTACTGACTTCCACAGCAACAATACGTAGAGTTATGGGCAATACACGACGGTCGTACAATTCAGGATAGAAGAACGAGAAGTAAAGCCGAGGGACCCCAGTTCCAGTTTGACGATGGGGATGATAGTGGTGGCGATCAAATGGTGTATTTGTACCCAGTATATGAGCACATACAATGTCTTCTGGGGGCTTAAACTTGAAGTAAAGCATACCAAACAAATGCAACCTCTAGTTGTTTCGTTTGTTAGTGGAGTTTGATAAGCACAGTATGGCGGTAACTGCAAGCTGCCGCACCAACATCGAAAACCACAAGTACTTCTGAAGTCTGCCACCGAGAATTTTGAAGATGGATAGTTGGGTTGGTAAGGTTGATCGTGACCCAAATTTTTGAGTAGTTCATCTGAGTTCTAACCTCACTTTTGCTTCCATTCCATCCACAGAATTTCCCACCTGTCTCGTGCTATCCTCGAGCTCCACCTCCCTCCTCATCCATTTGCCTTTTGCGCCTCGGCTTTCTGCATCCACGGCAACCGAATCATCCGCTTCCTCTAAATCCTCACTGTCATACTCTTCCTCTTCGTATCCAGCAACAGGGTCCCACTCGCCAGTTTCCCATATTAAACACAAGCTCAGGGGCCTGAGATCAAACAACTTTCCCACGATGCCCTTGATCCGATATACATCGAATCCCCTGGGGATCTCCTGTACCTTGCTGATTTCTGAAGTTTGGCCTGGAAGAGTGCCTGCAGGGAGGCGAAACGTAAACTTGATGAGTCGTGCCTCAAGCAGATCGGGATTAATGGCCTTCTCGGCCCGCCGCACCACAGGGGCTTCGTAGATCTTGCACAGCTCAGAAAACCTCCTGTGCTTTCTAGTAACAGCACCCTCTTCATTCTCTGGTACGGCTGCCATTTCCTTCGCAATACGCGAGAGATAAAATATCTCGGCATTTGTCTGCTCAGCAGGCGTAATGGTGCTAAAATTCAGCGACTTGAGATTTGCCAGACGACCCAGTGTAAGCATGTACCCTTCGTCGGCGCTTGTCATCACGTCTCCGGGCTTGGCCGCAACTTCATAAACTGGATTGTGGGACATTCGCAAAGCTGTCAAACCTGGGAAAGCATCTGGCAAGCTTTCGACAAACTGCCAATCCGCGACTTTGTTGTATGACAAGTCAGCATAGCTTAACTGGTTCGAAAACACGGGTTTCTCTCCTTGGAGGCCAGTACCAACAGTGTTAATTTTGTTGCCTTTCAGGTGGAGGGACTTGAGAGAAGATAATTTAGTAAGTGGTAGCAGATCTGAAAGGCTCGAAAAGTCGTTATGTTCTAACGTAAGAGATGTAAGTGTCATTGGTAATAATGACGATGGGCCGTTCAGTGATAGCGTTAATAAATCGTTTGAGCTGGCCTCGATGGATGTGACGTCCTTAAATTGACGGGAAAGGAGACATATATCTTCCCACGGCAGGATCATTTCATTGAGACTGAGGTCTGTCACACCTGCAAAGGCGTTCTGGGATTCCCCGCCTTCAAACTCTTGGGGTAAAATAGTTAAACGATTCCCACTACTTCTGTTAGCCATGGCCATATATTCTCAGGAGCGCTTACTTTAGTCTGAGACTCTTGAGGTGGTCCAGTTCCGCACATATTTGTATGATCTCTCCACAACTCTGAAATAGATTTCTGCTCATATCAAGCTCCGATATTATTGGGCATATATCCCTGATTCGTTTCCCTGCCGCTGAGGCCTTGACAATGCGCATTCCGTCCACCAGCACGATCTTCAATTCGTCCAGCTGGGCCATTTGTTTCCTGATTTTATCAAAGCCCACTTCGTAGACTACCTTACCAGATATCTCAATTTCTTTCTTCTTGATTAGTTCGTTTTGCTCATCCCGTCTTTCTATGTCTTCCGAGGCATACTTCCGGTGCACTGCCTCGACGAAACTCTCTACGGCATCTGGCACTCGGGTAGGGCGCACAAAGGAGCCAGCATTAGTTGACCCGCGTCTAGCTAAAACCAGTCAACATAAACATGCCCACTGGATATAAATTTGAAGAAGATATCTTACTATCAAAATACTTGACTCCCTTATGCTCTCCATCATGTTTGCCCCGCGATGGGTAGTCCCACTCAACCCCCAACCAGTCATTTTTCGTGCCAGCTACCGACCCAATATATCTCACTGTGCAAGGCACAGAGTCATAAGACAGCCGCTGGCCGATATAGAAATTTGATGCCATTTCATCGTTGTCCTCGCCATATGTGAACTTCTGGAGGGGCTGTGGTCAACTAATCTCGTAGCCTTGTCGCGAGGCTCCCATATCACTGTAGCCGAGAATAAATATTTCTTGGCGTGGCTCGCGCTATCATTGAGCCTCGTCGAACATCATATGACTGCGGCTCGACATATTCAAGCCAATCCATCCACACCTCCTTCAACCACTCCCGCTCCCCTCGCGCACCTGCAGTACCTCAGTTGCATCTGATTCCACTGCGCATCCTCCACGATGGATTACCAGAACCGCGCTGGCTCCAAGTTCGGCGGCGGTGGTGTCGCCTCCACATCCGCCACCAACGCCGACCGTCGCGAGCGCCTTCGCAAGCTCGCCCTCGAAACCATCGATCTCGACAAAGACCCATACTTTTTCAAGAACCACGTTGGCTCCTTCGAATGTCGACTATGCCTCACTGTGCACCAGAACGATGGATCGTACCTCGCCCATACCCAAGGGCGGAAGCATCAAACCAACCTAGCCAGGCGTGCGGCAAGAGAGCAGAAGGAAGGGCGCGTCGGCACAGATCCAGTCACAGGGTTGCCAATAGGAATGGTTGGAGCGCAGGTGTCGGTGCGGAGGAACGTGGTTAAGATTGGCAGGCCGGGATATAAGATCACGAAGACGAGGGACCCGGTGACGCGCCAGCAGGGATTGCTCTTCCAGCTTCAATATCCAGAGATTACGCCAGATATGACGCCAAAGGTCCGCTTCATGAGTGCGTTCGAGCAGAAGATTGAGGATCCCCCGGACAAGAACTTCCAGTACATGTTGGTCGCGGCCGAGCCATACCAGACGTGCGGATTCAAACTGCAGGCCAGAGAGGTGGATAGGACGAACGATCGTTTTTGGACGTGGTGGGATAGTGACTTGAAGGAGTTTTGGGTGCAGGTCATGTTCAAGACGGAGAGAGAGGAGAGATACAGTGGCGTGCCTGGACTTGCGCCAAGAAGGTAATGGTTATTTGAATGGATGGGGGAATCAGATTGGAAGGCGTCAAAGGCGTTGGTCACCAACTTATTACGATTATTGTATAGATATCACAGCGCATTCACCAGATATTAAATGTTAAATTCACAGGCACATTGCAAAGGGCGAAGACGAAATCTAATAAGTCTCTCATAAGTCTCTCATTTCGCTATGCAGATATTCGGAGCAAAACATTGCAGTATGCCATAAAAAAGTCCGTAACAGTGCCATCGCGAATCCCTAAACCTCTACAGAAACAGAGAAAATCATTTCAAGAGTCGTGTCAACACGCTGGATATCTGGAAAATGCTATCATGGGCGACAGTAAATACTCTCCTTCATCATCAATGCAAAACGGGACACCAAATAGTGGACATCTGAAAAACATATATCAGATATCTAGCGCTCAAGTAATCATTACGCAGATATTTGTTCCGTACGTCGTCAACTCCGCCTTCCCTCACAGATTACTCGAAATTATCTGGAGTTGAAGGTATCGAAGCGTTTGTAGGTGTATCCCAGGAAGGGGATATCCATCTCAGGCACCTCATCTCTAACCTGGCCAGCAGCCTGTGCAGCCTTGAGATGAGTAGCGGTATCGGTCTGGTCGATCTCATCGATAGGGAAGTAGGTGGTATCGATGTTGGACGTGAGCCTAGGCTCGAATGGTGCACGAATGCGGCGAAGGCTATCGAAGTCAACGCCGCTGAAGAAGGGGTGAGCCTTAATCTCATCCGCCGAGACCCTGCCCAGGCGGTTCTCAGAGTTACAAATAAGACTAGGTTGTGTCAGTGGCTTGCCTGTAGGATGGCATATAGAAACTTACCTTCGGATAAGGTTCTCCGCCTCGGCTCCAAGCTGGATATCGTCGGGGAAGTGAAGGGTTGTGCGCCAGTTAACAATCTTGCGGTAAGTGTCAGGTGCCTCTTCGGCGCAGAACGGTGGCCATCCAATTTGGCATTCGAACATAATGGTCCCAAGACTCCACCAGTCACAGTCGTATGAGTAACCGTGTCCACTGAAAATTTCGGGGGCAATGTAATCAGGTGTACCGACAGTAGAGTATGCCATAACACGCCTAGACCTACGCCAGTCGTTAATGACAGCTCGGTTGCTGACCGTCAAATTGATCTGATCAAGATTAACAGAGTTGCGGTCACGAGGCTTTGGCGCAGGTTGGCGCTGCAAAAGCTGTTGGTAGTAAGAGTTGTCGTGGAGGCGATGGAAGCCAGTAGACAATCCGAAATCAGTGAGCTTGACGTGTCCGCCCCGATCAAGCAGGATGTTGTCAGGCTTGATGTCACTGGTAAAAGTTAGATACAATTCCCTGAAGAGCGTATGGAAATATATGACTTACCGGTGAATGAAACCAAGCTTGTGAACAGCTTCGATTGCCAGAACAATCTCAGCTATGTAGAAGCGCGTAATATCCTCCGAAAATATTTCATACTTAATAAGCATGGTCATCAAGTCTCCACCAGGCAAAAACTCCATCAACATATAGAGGAAGTTAGAGTCCTGGAACGTTGTGAACAACTTCACCACCCAGGGACTATCAGACTCGGCCAAAATGTCACGCTCGGCGCGAACATGGGCCAACTGGTCCTTCTTGAACATCTCAGTCTTCACAAGAGACTTCATTGCGTAGACGCGGCCATCTTGCTTCTTTTGGACCAGCTTAACTTCGCCAAAGGCACCCTTTCCAATAATCTTAAGTGTCTTGTAGTTGTCGGGCTTGTCCCTTGTCCTCAAAAATCGTAGATATTTCCCCTCCTGTCTGCCAGTGTTTGCCCAGGTTTGTTCTCTTCTAGTTTGTGACATATTCGGGTCCTTCAGGCGCTGCTCCGTTTCGCTTTGTCTATAGGTCATCCAAATTAGCATCCAATATCAAATGAGGGGTTGTCCTTCATGTCTTACCTCAAATTGCGGTCACGAGCACGCTTGACGCTGTCTTTGAAGAAGTCGGATGCAAGCTGAGCACATCTCTTCTGGTTGTTATGGGTGAGAGGGCCATATTTATCTGGGTTTCGCTCTGGGGCTGGCTCAAACTCGGGCTGCTGTGGGACAACTGGAGCGGAAGCAGCGGAGTAGTAATTCTGTTGTACGCCAGTCGAACCAGCCGTTCGAGGTCGCTGGGCACCACCTTGTTGTCTGGCGTATTGGTTTCCTCGAGCAGCACCGCCTAGGTTCTGGTGGGAGAACTGGTGAACAAGGCCATTGGTGGTCGAGTCGGCGTTTCCACCCGGGCCTCGGGACTGGTATGAGGGCTGCGCATATGCCTGCTGGCCAGGCTGGTACTGGTTGCTTTGTTGGTTGTTCGCCGGGTAAGGGTTGTTCATAAAGTATCCCTGGGTAGGTGTGTAGCCATTTTGCTGCTGTTGTTGCTGCTGTTGTTGGCTTTGCCCCTGATTGTTCTGGCCTTGAGCTTGGAAGACAGGCTGTGGGAAGGTTGACGGTGTTGTTGGGTATGATCGATCGGTGGGCGAAAATCGGTCATTGTTGTTGAAGTTCAGGAACAACCGGTTGTTATTGCCATTGTTCGCATTATTGCCATGGGCGCCGTCGTTCTCCATGCTGTCGACGTTGTGTATATCTGGTAGCTATGCCAGAAAGAGGGGTTGTTGATCGGACCGAAGATGTCCACAAGTACACACGTCGGAGAGGGCTACCCACAGGGAGTGGTTTGTGCTGGGGCGCTATGATAATCTGTGACGGTTTGCGAGTTTGACCATCTAGAGAATGGGGTCGAGCAAACTTTGGAAGTTGTTAAGACGTTGGTGGAGGGAGGCCAGTGCACTGTTTGTCGTGCATGCATGTACACCACCAAACGTACAGTAAGCGCTCTGATGTTAGTGGTGCCCAATATTCACCGCTTTAAAACATAACACGGAAACAATTGGTGCCCTTTATATTACGAGACGCCATCAGAGCATATTTAAGAGCAGCTTGGGAGCTGTTTGTGAGACCGATTTAAGACATTTACGAAGGGTTCTAGGTGTAGCAAACCCCTGATGTTTCTGTGCTACGTACATAAAACGCTGGCTCCATACTCGAGCAGTAGGACAGTTCAAGGGCATTTTAGCCAAGCAACGGGGTACAACAGTCAAGAGCAAGAGGCCTTTTACGTGCCATTATCTAGCCATCAAAGCAGTTAACAATAGATAACAATAAATATAATTCTCGTTAAAAGTCTCAATAATCCTTTGTTGCCCTCTTACGCTATGGCTCTTGGCTTTAACTAAGCACACTATGTGACCGCGACTAAGGGGTACCAGAGGGGTCTGGAAGCTTGATAAACTCAGTAGTGGCGGGGAATTTATAAACCATCATCGACGGCAAAAGTCCGTGATAAAGTATACAGGTCTTTTTGGCGGCTTCACTTTCTGTGCAAGTCTATAAAAAAATGGTGTGGTATTGCTGCATCGTTGGACTATTAACGCGGAGTTGTAAATTGTCAGAAACTTCACACTATCAGGGGACACGATAGGTCCAACGATTGTTAATATTTGGGATATTTCCAGTGAAAATGTTTTTCTATTGATGGGGAAAGGAAATCCATCTTCCTTGATCTATCTGTCTATATGCCCTAGCTGAACTCTCCAACTTCCCTTGGTTGGGCGTGAGTAAATCCCATCCTGTGGCATTCCCAGCCGACTTCTCCATACGCCAATCCCAAATATCAAGAGCCTCCATGGCCATAAACCTCTTTATCATTCAATGCCAAGTGCTCTCAATTCCCTCAACAATCACCATGGCGCCCATATATGTTTAGTGAAAAAGTGGCCACAATCCTCCCCTCCCGTCTTGACCTAACGACGATATCTTGGTTAACCTAACCCCTATTTATATCATTAAATGCGCAAGCCTAGGCGCAGATCCGGTCACTTTTTAAGCGGTGCCTTTCTAGGTGATGATGATGATGATGATATTTATTTACGTCTAGCGGGACACGGGTGTAGCCCACGGCCCTAAGACTCCCGAAGGGTATAGGGGCATGCTAATAAGCTATGGGTTTATGTATAGAGTATGACCTTAGAGAGCAGTTCTTGCATGTTTGCGTAGCTGTAAGGCCCGTTAACTAAGCGCCTTCCCTGCTAGTTGGGATGGTGTTAGTAGAGGGCGGTTCCTTAGAGGTTCTCTAGAAAGGGGGTGTATGTAGGACTAGTTGGTCTAATGTTATAAGCCACTGCGAGTGTGGTGTGTAGTGTGCCCTACGGCCTTGCTACGGAGTTGCAGCTCTATAGTTAAGTAGTAGGTGGTAACATAGTAGGAAAAATAGAAATGAGTGTAATGGTGGGTGCACCAGATGTGAGAATCTAGCCACCCAAGGAAGGGATGATTTTACTAAGACAACACACTGTCTTAGGAAACAGAGCCAAAGGGTTGTAGCTTAGACTATTCCATAATGCAGCAATCAGGTGTATGATGTGGTGAAGTGGTTTAGACAAGTTGCAACAAATGTTGAGTCTGAGAACTCAGGGGTAAGTCAGAGGTTAGCACCTCACTGACTTTTCAAAAACAGAGAATAACAAGATCAATGCTTGGAAGCTTGGAAAAGACGTAGAAGTATGTGCTAGTCGATTTACTGTATTGCCTGCTTGCCCTTTCTTAAGGAAAGGGCAATCCTATTTATGCCAAAGGAGTGTAGTTCTCTCATTTTCCATGACTTTCCATGACTAACCAGGCTTGGTAAATGTATTAGAAATCAAGTGCGACCCACAACTAGCTTGCTAATCATGTAGTGAACGTAAGAGAATCCCATAGAACCATCTCTTGGGTTCCTAGCCTATAGGAAGTGAAAAGGAGGTCCAAGGTCAGAGTACCTATAGACAAATTATGTCATAACTTAACCAATCTTGTGGGTAACTAAGGAGCGATAACGTGTAATGAATCATAGAGGGTTGTAGAAGCTTCTAGAGCTATCGTTCATGTTCCTAGGCCTCTAGTTGGTAGAGATATGCCATGTGGTAGTATTGGCCCACCCCCTT